TATCTTCATTAATGAACATTTATCACCATTCTTCAAACAGCTCTTTAGAAAAGCTAGAGAGGCATGCAAAAAACATAACTATAAGTTTTGCTGGATAAGAGATGGTAAAATATTCGTCAAAAAGACTGAATCCAGTCGTCCAATACACATCATAGATGAAGAAATCCTTCGTATTTCAGTCAGAGCCTAACTAACTCACATTTATACCAGTCATATCTCTGGATATTCAGCTTGCAGAATTCGATAATCCGAGACTATTCTATCAAAATACCAGAGGCCTTAGGACAAAAACTAATGAATTTTATCAATCAGTGTGTAGTTGCGAATTCCAGTTCATCTGTATAACAGAAACTTGGCTAAACGACAGTGTGCTGTCTTCCGAACTATTTCCACCATCGTATATTGTGCACAGAAACGACCGTGACCCTGTGTTGAGTGGTAAATGTGAGGGTGGCGGGGTTTTAGTTGCTGTAAGTAGTGAGTTTTCATCAATGCACATCCCTGAATGGTCCAGTACAGGGTTGATTGAAGATATATGGATCACCGTTACGCTGAACGATGGTAAAAAACTATTACTCTGTTGTGTGTATGCTCCACCAATCTGTAAAGCTGTTGACTATATTAATCACTTGAACAAAGTCGAAGAAATTATAAATGCCAACCATAATGACTATGTGATAATTATTGGTGACTATAATTTACCGAATTTACAATGGCGTGAAACGGCATATACAACTGTTGGTTTGATACCTTTCAACGTTTCTGATAGCATTAGTGAATTATTTGTTAATAACATTTCTTTGCTAGAACTTGGTCAATTCAACAACATTCAGAATTATTATAGTAAAACTTTAGATCTTGCTTTGTCCAAAAATGTCCCTTTAAAGGTAACAGCCGGTAGATATCCCTTTGTCAAGGAAGACAAGCATCATAGGTCGATAGAAGTTGATTTCTCCTTACACATAGAAAAGTACCTTCCGAAAAAAAGTTACGAAAGGCTGCTATTTTCAAAAGCGGACTATATAGGATTAAATGAACATTTCAGCTCCATATCTTGGACAGACAGTTTACACAACCTCGGGGTGGACGAGGCGGTTGATGTTTTTTATGATATTATTGATCAAGCAATTGAACTATTCGTCCCCAAACTGAAAGTTAGGAATTCCAATTTTCCAGCTTGGTTCTCCAAGAACACCATTAAACTTGTCAGAGAGAAAGAAAAGTTTCGTAAACTTTGGAAGAGGTTTGACAATCAATCTGATTATGATCTTTACTGTTTTTACAGAAGGATTTCAAAGGCTCACATAAAAACAGATCACAAAAAATTCCTCAAAAAATCAGAAGACAACATAAATCGTAACCCAAAACTTTTCTGGTCGTATCTATCAGCGGTAAAAAAAAGCCACATGCTTCCACAGAATATGCGACTTGATGACATATCTGCCTCTGATGACAGATCAATTTGCGGATTATTTTCATCATATTTCAATCAAGTATTTGAGCCTGACTCCACGCCTTCACTCCTCGAAGTCGAAGCACCGAAGGGTAATTTCGACATTAGAGTTATAACAAAAAAACAAATAATCAATGTTTTAGCAGGAATGGATATAAATAAAGGGGCGGGACCAGACGGAATTCCTGCCATTTTCTTAAAGTCGTGTAGACACAGTTTAATCGAACCTCTGTACATTATTTTCAATAGGTCATTGACACATGGTGTGTTTCCTGAAAAATGGAAACTTGCTAAGGTCATACCCATTTTCAAATCAGGTAATAAGAATGATGTCAAAAATTACCGACCCATTTCCCTACTTAATTTGTTAGGTAAAATACTGGAGGCCATAATCACAAATGAACTTTTTTTCTTGACAAAAAATTATATTTCGGTCCATCAGCATGGTTTCTTCAAAAAAAGATCAGTCGTTACTAACTTGGCACCTTATGTTCAAGATATTCACGAACAGATGGAGAGAAGGATACCAGTGTGTGCCGTGTACACCGACTTTTCCAAGGCCTTCGATAAGGTACACCACCCGACCTTGTTAATTAGGCTTGGAAACTTCGGTGTGCAGGGCAACTTGCTTCAGTTACTTTCCTCATACATAAGTAATAGAAGTCAGTACGTGGCTATTAATAACTGTGCGTCAAGATCTTATAGTATAACATCCGGAGTACCACAGGGATCCCATCTGGGTCCTCTGCTTTTCAGCATATTTCTCAGTGACGCTGAAAAATACCTAAAGCACTGCAAAATATCCATGTATGCTGACGACATCAAAATTTTTAAATACATTAACGAAGATTCGGATATTTTAAAGTTACAAACTGATATAAATAATTTCACCAAGTATTGTGCCACATATCGGCTTTTCTTGAATATAAAGAAATGTCACCAGATTACTTTCACTCGAAATCTGAACCCCACTATGATTCAACTACAATTGAATGATGTCCCCATCAATGTAGCTTCTGAGGTGACTGACTTGGGAGTGAGGCTTGATGGCAAACTCTCTTTTGAAGCTCAAATTGAACATATTGTGCAAAAATCTTTGAGGACCCTAGGTTTCGTTCTAAGAAGCACTACAGAGTTTCAGGACTACCGATCTGTGATTAAAATTTTTAACTCGTTAGTCAGGCCAACACTTGAATACTGTAGCACTATATGGAATCCTGCGTATGATAAATACATTAAACGCATCGAATTTGTTCAGAAAAAGCTCGTCAATGTTCTCAATTACAGGTTTCATCGGTACAGACATTACTTTTCATACCAAAGTAATCTGACTTTTTATAGGCTAGAGTATCTCACCATGAGACGTGATTTTATTGACATTTATCTTGTGTTCAAAATTTTCAATGATCTTATAGACTGTCCACATTTAACTGATCGCTTCTATCTTAGATGTAACCCCTATAACACTCGTGTTAAACAAACCTTCCAAATTCCTCACTACACGAATAATTACTCAGGTAATGCACCCATCACACGTTGTATCATAACATTTAATACCATGGTAAGCGACTCCTCTATTGATATATTTCGTGCCTCAAAATCCATAAAAAAAAAGTTGAAGGAACTTCTTGTATCGATGTATGTTGCTCTCCCCTGATGAATGTGATGAATTTATCAAGTTTTGCATACGTTCGTATGGCTTTCTTTTTCTCTCTTCTCCTTTTTTTCCTCTCCTATTGGATTAGTTCTTATTTGTATCATTGATGAATTACACGAACTTATTACTTTGTTTGCATGTGTATTTTGCTATCATTTCTCTTTCCTAATTAATTTTTGTATCTTTTATTTTTTGCACAATTATTATAACTGCATTTATAACTCACAAAATGTTCACCCATAATAGATATTTATTTTCTGTTTATTATTAGGATTCTAGATTTAGGTACGCATATGTATGTATTATTTTGTAACATGTGCCTCCTTGTCATTGGGCTTGCGCCTGTTAGGGGGCCTGCACATAAATAAATAAATAAATAAATAAAAAAATAAATATATAGCTTCATACCAGCAACAGTTATCACCGGTTATCACTTCATCATTTTCAAATCGAAATATTCCGAAAATGGAACAACAGTATCGAGTTTCACCAAAGGTACCTTTTTAGTGTGAAATTGAATGATGTTCAAGATCACATCAAATTTGGATTGAAAAATATAACCTCAAAAAATGTATGTTCAAAACTACTCGTTACGAACCTTGTAACTAGAGCCCTCTATTAGAGTCAGATATGAAAACAAACGCATGCGATGTGTCAGATTTCAAGAAACATCCATACAAAATTGCATCACAATGTTGCTAGTAGTTTCGACATAATCTTGAATAATGTATAAAAAAATCATTTTTTCAACACCTTGTATCTTGATAACGGATGCCGTTACGAAATTTTTTAATTAAGACTTATTTTGCAGTGTTCTACCTACCCTAGTAAGGGGGTCAGGCAGGCACAATAGTCCATTCCAAAAGCCATTCAAGCGATAACCATAGAAGTTTTTTTCATAATATATTAGACACATTTTTGGGATATTGCTATAACAAAAGTGGGGCCAAGACTCAAAAATAATAGTAATAATGAAAATTAAAAAGAATGAACACAAAACCGGGAAATGTTTTGAGGTTATTCTCCATCATAGGATGGACCAATTTTTTGGTCATCTACGGGATCATCTGCGTACTATAGTTGCGCACAATAAAAAAACCTGGTTCAATTAATGTAAAAAGTTAAAAGTTGACCAATCCTTCTACTTGTTATTTATTTGATAAAAGATAATTGTTAATTGTCTGCATAAACACGACAGTGATTGGAAATTGGAAGTTCAACTATAATAATTGATAATTGTAAATTGATAATTGTAAATTGATAATTGTTACTTGATATAATCTCGTTGATAAATTGTTAATTGATGCTGCATACATCCACACTTAGATGCATTTTTTTACTGGAACCATATATATTATTATTGCTTCTGGCGACTTGGACAAGATATACCTTTCTTAAAAAAAGAGGGGATAACACATATTGTCAGTCGAAAAGGGCATGAAGTGTATAGCAAAAAATTCACGACCGATTCAATAGGGATATATGGAACCCTGTACGTAGCGCCCTCTATCATTTATCACAAAACTAAGATCATATTTGAATTAAGCATGACAAAAAACACTTATATCTTATATACCACCATATACCACATTTTATCCATTTCTTGCTCCTCTAAAGGTATTAAAACATAACCCAAAGAAAAAAAATAAAATTCAACACCCCGTATCTTTTAATCGAAGGCGTTGCGAACCCGTGTTCATAGGAACTTCTCTTCTTATTTTAGTGTCCTCATGCAATTATGTGGAACTATGCAATGTTCTTTTTTGATGTCACCCTGTATATAGTATATTCTTACCCAACGTTACTCAATATAAAATACTCTCCAATTCGGCTTGTATTAATATATGCGGTAGATGCCTAGATGGTGAATAATAATATATGTATACTCACTTTCTACATTACCCAATCTTGAATCGGATGGAAAACACTGTGACCACGTGTTTTCAGTGTGATGTATCCTGGCCGCCAATATTTTAAGTATCTTCAGATGCCGACCAATCTCACGATCACGCTATTTTGTTTGTTTTGTTTCACATGGCAGACCGCGATTACAAAGTAAACTACCTACACCACAGTTGATTTAATAGCGACAGCGATGATTATCCGATATGCGGATCGCCTTTTCTCGCAGCCACGACAACTCACGATTTGAGAATAAAAATTAGAAAACGAAATTCACAGCTACAGCTACTAGGTATAATAGCGACAGCGAGCCATTATACAGGGTGAGTCATGAGGAACTGTACATACTCTTATATTATACCACGAAATCATCTATCATTGAAATTGAAATGGGAATTCCTCATGGAAGCGTTGCTGGTCCTTCTCTATTTATAATTTATCTAAATGATGCTGAAGATATAGGTGCACTAATCTAACCCCTAATAGCACACAACGTCCTAAGGACGTCCCTATCTAGTACAATTCATGTACGAATGTCCCGAACAAAAAATAAGTGTCCTTGGGACGTCCCATCCCGTACATCTCATGCAATGTCCGAGCAAGGACGTCCACGAAATGTCCCAGCTGGTACATCATTTCGAATGTCCTAGAAATGGCATCCCTTAGACGTCCCACGTGGTACATATTGTAGAATGCCCATGCAAGGACGTCCTTGGCGTGTCCCTGATGGGATATGATTTTAATCGTTCCTTTAGGGACATCCATCGGATGTCCCGAGTAGTACATATACTGGCATGACTTCAGATCTTATATAATGTCCCTTCTAGACGACCCTGATGGTACATTCCTTCAAATATCTCTGCACAGGCACCCTTAATATTTCCAGGATCGTATGACAATCAAAATGTCCCTTAGGGACGTCCTTCGGATGTCCGTCGGATGTCCCAATTGGTACATAAAGTGTACTCTTTCAATGTCCTAGAAATAACGTCCTATGGACGTCCTAGTCGGTACTTTCAATATGTTGTCCCTGCGAGGACGTTAACTTACACCTCGCCGACGAATGATTGCTCGTAGGCTATAAGTACTCTTCGTCAATGTCTTTCACGTAAGTCCATTGGACATCCTTGGGAAACTTTTTGGGGACCTTCTATGGACCATCAACTCAAGTGGATGTCCTAATCAGTTATGCAAGATCTGGTCTTAAAGGGACCCAGACAAATTCAGATTCAAGAATAATTCGTACGTCCCTGGGACATCCTATGGACATCCAATTGATATCCCTCAGCGTTGATGATAGGTTGTCCAATGGATGTCCTAAGGACGTCCTCTGTAGTGCTTGATGAGGAATACTGTAGGATTTAGGTATTCGATAGTTGTCCCAGGAACGTCCCTCAAGGACGTCCCTAGTTGGTCCTCAAGTGGGACATTTGTGCGTCCCACAGACGTCCAATGGACGTCCACGGTACCAAATTCGAACGTCCTATGGACGTCCTTAATGTCCCGACATGACGTCCTAAGGATATCCATGGGACATAAGTGTGTTATTAGGGACAATAATTAATTATGCGGCCGATTCAAATTTACTGATATAAAGGCACAGGATTTTCCGAATCTGATATCTAATACAAATGATGGACTAGATGAAGCCAACGAATGGTATTCAAGAAACAAACTGATATTGAATGAGCAAAAAAGACAAATGCAGTTCTCTTTACCACTACTCATCCCAGCTTTGATCCTCCAAATGAGATGAAATTGAAAAATTGTATTTTGCCATGTACAGATACTAATACTTTTCTTGATGGACTCCATATTGATAGTACTTTATCATTTGTGCCACATGTTGATAATCTTATCAATAAGTTGAACTCTGTAATATACTCAATTAGAGTTATTATAAGGACTATGCGTAAATAAGGACATTTTAAAAATAGTATATTTTGCAAATTTTGAAGCAGTAATGAGATATGGAATTTTATTTTATGGTAATTGTGGGAAGATAAATCGAGTTTTTGTATGTCAAAAAAGGGCTTTGAGAGGAATGCTAAGGATGGAGATCGGAGAGTCTTGTAGAGGCAAATTCAGGGAATTTTCAATACTTACTGTTGTAGGTATATATATACAAGAAGTTTTGTTGTTCTTTTCCAAAAATAAAGAAATATTCAGCAGTTTCAAACCACAGAATATATATATATATCCAACGCGATCACTTGAATATACTTATCCAAGGCATCGCCTAACTGTTTTTGAAAAAGGCCCTTTCTACAGCGGAATCAAATTTTACAACAAACTCCCAGATGACTTGAAAAAATTAAATGACTTGAAAAAATTCAAAAAAGGGCTACATAAGCTATTGTTGGAATTGGAATAACCTTACACAATAGAAGAATATCTACATTCTTAGCCATTTCTCTAGAAGCACGAAAAACTTTGACACTATTTTGTTCAAATCTGCCTTACCTGTGTTAAACATTTGTACTGTACGATTTCCTCAAAATAAAGAGTATTATTATTATTATTATTATTATTATTATTATATTATTATTACACCTTATATAGTAGAACTTTTAACTCAAACCATGTTTATAGTGATCCTTTCATACATAAATAATGATTGACGACATAATATTCGATCGAAAAATCAGCTAAAATGTTTTATTTTTGGACATAAATAACAGTACCTTCTGAAAACGGACCCTCTTATGACGTAGAAACCTCATCTCGCCATAGTTAAAAGAAAATACCAAAAGCCCGACGGAGACTGAGGCAACTGATATATTAATTCTTTCAACTGTGATCTCGCGCTAATTCACTCTGTCAGATGTATCATTCATCTATGTCTGGAGTCTTGTTTCAGTATTAAGGTTTTGACGTCACATCATCGCCTCGTTTTCAGAGGTCCGAAAATTCGGGGATTTCAATAATTTTTTATAAAACGTAGGGAGCTCACAGCAAGAAACGGTTTGCGGTGGTGAGCTAGTTTGGGTGAGTTCTATCGAATTATTAAATACAATTTTTTTGTGATATAAGCCCATTGCCACCTATTATCCACGTCGATTCGACGAGAATTGACGTCACCCTGCTGGCTGGGATGAGATTTGGCAAAAACATCTTTTTGGTTATAGCTTTTCAACGGTTCTCTCGATTCGTTCTGATTTTTTCATGGCATATTCCTCTACTAAATCCTAATCGACTGACCTATTCAGAATCGGAAATATCCAGGACCGTTATTGAAAAATTTCGATAATTGTATGTAGTTGTTGTTGCTGTATATGCGGTCTTTGTAAACTGTGACAAGGAATTCTCAAAGAACACAAACAAAACATCAAAAATGAAATATTCAGAATTCTCCTCATACTTTCACAGAATTCTTCAAAAAACTATAAATTATATAAGCAAAAACGAAAGTTTGACAACAAATATTTTATTCATTCGAAAATAATTACGAAAATAAAAGTGATACTCACATTCTCAATGCCTTAGCCCAATCATAGATTAACCCCTTAATCTGCTATGGCGCAATGGAAATAACATGTTCTTTCATTTCCAGGCCTGGATTTCGTCTTTTAATTTGTTGTGGAGGGTTAATAATCACCCTGTATATAGATCTTTTTCAAATCAGTGGATGGGTTATCTGTTTACAAGCTAATGGTCATCGATTCAAATTATTCAAGATAGTCGAATAGGAAATAAATGTTTACTCACAATTATTTTTCAAGAGCTATACTGAAAAAAGAGCGGATAATATATTCTAGTACGGAAACTAAGTGACCAAAAATCGAATAGATGAAACTGTGAATTGAAATCATAAAATTATTCATAGCGATGGCCATCAACATTTTCACATATACCTCATGCACTGATTCGAAAAAGACCTATACAGGGTGATTATTATCCTCCACAGAAAAAATGAATTGCTATAAATCCAGGCCTGAAAATAAAATAATATATGTTGATTTCCATTGAGCTGAAGCATTGAAAATGTGTCTCACTTTTATTCGTGAAATTTATGGGTTGCGAAATATCAATTTCCAAATAAATAAATGTTTTGCCAAATTTTCGTTTTTTGAAAAAATTTGAAATAAGTATTTTGTTTTTGATGTTTGTTTGTGACCCTTGAAAATTATCTGTCACAGTTTGCAAAAACGATATACAGGATGAACTTTTTGCTATAAACTAAACTTTCCAAATTTTCAAAGGACGGTCCTAGATTTTCCGGATTCTGAATAAGTCAGTCGATTAGAGAGTAGTAGCGGAATATTCCATGAAAAAATCTAAAAGAAGCTGTTGGAAAGTTATGACCAAAAGATGTTTTTGCCAAATCTCATAATCCACCCTATATATAGGAAAAGAAGTGCAGAAGACACTTTCTGATCAACATTTGGTTTTTCCCTCAGGGACGTCTATTTGTGGTAGGAAGTATATGTACAGTTCCTCATGACTCACCCTGTATAAAAACGACCGCGATTGTTGAATCGATAAGCGCGAGATTAAATAAGTATTTAATTTGACAGTGTCAGTAGGTACAGTTAGATGCATTGAACATGTCGCACATGGGCGGTGATAGCAATAGCACTTCTATTCACGTTTGCAATAAGAGCGCAAACACAAATTGGGCACTTTTAAAGGGAAAATTCCTATTCCAGTACAAAATAGTATATTCGTTAAGAATTTGGTACATAATTCCTCTCCTTCTTCTACCCCAGCGACTCACCTATCAGTCACGATGAAAATCCAGGTCCGGATTAACAAAAAATTATGATCTTCTGGGCCCGAAAGAGAACACCCAGTATTTTCGAATCTCCAAAATCCGATTCCATATTTGGAAAGTTCACAAAGAATTGAATCGAATTGTGTACTTCAATATCCCGCATGCTCTTTATTCACTAATTAATTTCGGATTCTGAACACTCAAAACTTTCCATTTTACCTCGATTTCTACCTATCCAAATACATAAAACCTCAAATTCAATGAAAATAAAAAGTAGACAATCCGATTCAGCTTTTTGTGCAATATTCAAATATGTAAGCATATTATGGATATTCGAAAATACAGGGTGTTCTTTATGGGGCCCAGAAATATAATCAATTTTTGTTAATTCGGACCTGGATTTTTCTCTTGAATGATAGCGGTGAGGGGCTTGGGTAGATCAAGGGAGAACTCGTGTACCAAATTCCAAAAAAATATACTGGGTGGTTCGTGATAATATTATTCGATTGGGAAAAACTCAAAACATATATTATTTGTACCTACCTATATCTAAATGCACAAAACCTCGAATACAAAATCAGAAATTCCTTTGTGAAATTGCATGTGGGAAGATGAAAAATACACCATTTAATAAATAACGTTTACGTATTATCGTTAAATTGAGTTGAAGTCGCCACTTTATTGGTCGTCACTGTCATCATAACGTTAATAATACATTTTGTTTTCGGTTCGTATTGGTCATTTTTGGTTGTGTGTTTAGATTCGAACATTTTATTCCTGTCAAAATTAGAGGACTCCTTGATGCAGAACTCGTTGGTGATCTCGAATTTGATGATTTTGACTCATCGGCATATTTCGAGTATATATAGTTCGGTTAACGTACGTTGATATTTAAGGTATACGTGAAGGAACGTAGAGATATTATAACGTACACCCGTAAGCCCACTAACAACGCAAACGTGAAGAATTGGAAAATGCGCATGCGCGTAGCTGTCAATTTCTACGTTTACGTTAACGTTCATGACAACACTTCAATGCCTGGGAAGATTCAACATCAAGTTGCCAGTTTTCCTGAGCACATCTCTGTTTCAGTGATGAATCAACGTTTTATTTGAACGACTTTGTAAATGAACATAATTGTAAATTCTGGGACAATGAAAATCCACACATATTTCGACAGGACCATACTTAGTTTCCTGAGAAAATCAATGTGTGGGCTGGTATTCTAGAAAATGAGATAATTGGACCACTCTTCTTTGGAGACAATTTAAATGGGGATTTGCAGAAGAGGTGCCATAGAATGGCCAGCAAAATCTACAGATTTGATACCTCTTGACTATTTTCTGTGGGGTCCCTTGAAAACAATGGTTTATTATCCCGGGAAACGGTTCAAAAAGTTCGTCAAGAATTCGAAAATAGGCAATTGCTTTGAATACCACTCTGAAAAATTGTATTTCTTCCTATACACGATTCGTCAAAAAAATCATTCTAGTTTTGGTTCTGAAAGGAACTAACTAGTAGGGTATATACCATTCTCAGCTGGATGAAGCACCAACATATTCTGTTCTGATTCTCAGGAAATATATGTCACTGTTCACTGAAACCATATACAGAGTGAACTGTTTGATAGCTGGCAGAATATCACAAGTACGATCCTGGATTTCTTTTCAATTCTGTAAACGTTAGTCTATTGGTGTTGGAGTGCATAATGTTCCTTCAAAAAATGAAATGAATCAAAGAAGCTGTTGAAAAGTTCGGGCCTCTGTTCGTGGTAGGAGTATTTACAGTACCTCATGACTCACCCTGTATACGAAATAAATATTTTTCACCTGGTTGATTTGATCATTCATAGACCTTTGATTTTATGTATCTCAAAGTAGGGGGTGCCATTTGGAATTTCAAAGTAGGGGTGTCTGGGGATGAAGGGGATGGACATATCCCAGCGAGCACAAACATCCCTGGGATGTTTTGAAAATGTTGACATGAAGATGTTATTTTGAGAAGTAATATGCACTGACCAAAGAGGTCTTTGAAGGATATTGAAGTATTGTTTTTGTTCTTCTGTGGCATTTCTTTGTTTGCCCACTGAGAGGTATCCCTAGCTGGGATGTTTTAGAAATGTAGGCATGAGGATGTTTTTTTGAGGCGTAATATGCACTTTCCAAAGAGGTGTTAGAAGGATATTGAAAGTATTGTTTTTGTTCTTTTGTGCCCTTTCTTTGTTTGCTCCACAACAACGTCTCATGCTTACGTCACAATACGATGAATTCTGATTTGCTTTCGATTTTGTTCTTCTTGTTCGCAATTGGCGTTCGCGTTTGAAGCGTGTCACGCTTACATCACGCTGCTAACGAACAGAAAGGAATTTGGTGAAGTTTATTGTGTTAGAAGACTTATTTAGTTTGTAATAATGACCATCAGATGCAAGATGTGTTGTTCGGTGCCTCAGTGTAATCAATATATAAAAGTACGAATTCATCAATACACAGCTTCTCTGCAGTTGCAAAATTATGCATTGTGGAGAACATTTCAAACATTGGGAAACCTATTTCCAATTATATGTCTGTGTGTAGTAAGCACTACTCAGAAGCCGATTAAGAAGGAAATTTCATATCAAGAAAATATTGTTATGTTCAATCTATTTTTGATGCATTTTTTCATTCAAGGGAAATGGAATCCTAATGCAAAAGTTCGTTTTGACAAAAGGCTTCAGAAAAGTACCTCGAAAATGTTTTTATTACAGCGAGTTGATGTGCGCAAGACGCGTTGAAAATGTTTTGTTGTGTCCATAAAAAGGCTTTAAAAAGAACTAGGGAGAAGGTAGTTTTGTGACATATCAAGGACATCTCGATAATTGCCGCCTGCGGCGGAACATTGGCTGTTCTATAATAGTTCTATACATGTGTGAACAGAACATCGCAGTGGAGGTTCAATGTCTCGAAATCTCGTACTTTTAACATCTCTGAGATGTTATTGTGTTCGCTGGGATGGCATTCAATTCATACTGTTATATTACTTCTCCCTGGATACCTAAATCGACCTGTTTTTTCAGAAAATTGTAATCTTCGCAGATCAGAAGATATGCAGGGTGGTAAGTTTTGAAATGTAAGCCCTGTATAAGGGGAGAAATAGAATGATAAATATGTTTCAATTATCAATATTGTGGTATACTATACTGTTATGGAGGATAAATAATATGTAAGACCATTGCAAATATAAATGTTTATTCAATGCATTCTACTAACACAAGATTTATGTATGGTACCTCAACTATACCATAATTAGGCATCAATTTCTATTTTCGTGATGTATTTGATGAATACTGACAAATAATAAATCATAATCATTACGTGAAATATATAATAAATATTACAGAGACTTGACACTTCAAAAACGTGAAAAAATAGTTAATTTAATCATCTACTTGTAATTAATGATGAAACACAGCACAATCTTATAAATATGTCGACGAATTAAAATCTAGTATAAAAATCACAATCATTCATTAATAATCAAGGAATGTTGAATAAAATAATTCATGAATCGACATCAATACAATATTCTACGAGGAGATAATGCCAAGAACTTTCCGGAATTCAATATATGCGTGTACTAGTTACAATAATCTGACACAGAAAGTTTCAAAAAAAAATCAAAACGTTATGGAGCAAGAGGGTTCCGATGTAAAAATCTCATCCTCATGTTCAGTCTCAATGATATCATCATCTGCGTGATCTTCTGCCGTTTCTGACATTTCATCGAAACCTTGTGTTTCCTCGCTTTCCACGAAAGTGTTAGCGGTAAAAAGATTCACCAGATGTTGCAGAGTCACATTATTTTTGTCCCAATTTTCTGCGTTCGAGGTTGTAGCTTGGTGAATACTTTCCTCGATGGTGTTTTTTATCAAAAACTTATGTACAAAGGTGTGTCTGAAAACATAACACATTAAGAAATTTTACTATGAATTTTCAATAAAAGAGCTATTTCTGGAATTTCATTCCAGAAATTTTATATCAGCTCGATTTTTTTCCGAGAAATGTAACATCATATTATTGTTCCTCAAGCTTTCGAACCTCCATATGCGGAAATATCACCTCATCCCGAATAAACAGGATTGGCTCCCGTTCTTCTGAATGTCAGCCTCAAAAAAATAGTGAATTCAAACCAACTGCAGATTTTGGAACTTCATATGGCTCCCGTAGATAGAAAATCATGATGTAGTGAATTTAAATCAACTGCAAATTTTGGAATATTCAATGTCTCCGGTAGATAGAAAACCATGATTTGGAAGAAATAAGAAGATATACTATTTTATGTTGAACTCACCATTCCCCAGTAAATAATTATCTAGTTCGCTAAAATATGCTGTTCAGATGTGTTTTTGAAACCCTTTATGGGAATCATATGAAAATTTACATATGGGGGTTTGAAACCATGAAGAACTATACTATGAGGTCAGTTTTTCTGTAAAAAAATCCCCATGGCACTGAATATAATTCTATATATAATAAATTACAATCAAAAAAATTGGTTTGGTTGAGTACGCCAATGTTGAAGGCAACAAATTGAAAACATAGGTGTCTCTTTTCTGGAATCACAAAAGGATTTGAAAAGAAGCAAAATAATTGGGGGTTGCCATTTAAAATTAGGGGTAGTTGCCTTGTCGGTGAAGGTGTTAAAAACGAATACCTCAAAAGTTGTCCCCTGTAGTATATAGATGATTCAGGCTATGATTCGGATGTTTATGTAACATAGCGATATGAGGTGTGGAGACAGAAATGTGAGTCAGTCAATATACGATAGCCGAGCTATAAAGAGATACTGGTGTTTTATTCTATACAATACGTGATAGTGAAGATTATACATCCCCCTTGATATACAGTGTCATACATAAAGTCGGCATCATTTGGGAATGACTTTCAATAATAAGTTATTTCGAAATTTGAGTTGGGCGTTAAGTTTTGCCTTGAAAAATATGAAAAATGGATTACTCTTTCGGGGTCACGTGACTTTCGCTATATGTCAAAAGTTACATTTTTTCAAGTCAATCGCTGAAAATAGGCTTATTAATTTGAATTTCCAGAAAGTTTACAAAGAATATTCATTACTATTTCGATTTTACATATGTCTCGAATTAACGTTTTATTTCAATTTTTTGATATTTTTTCGGTTTCTACGAAATATCTGTAATATTAAAAAAAATTAACACCGACAAAAATATTTCAGTCTAGTAGTTTCATCATAAACTTCAAATAACTAATGGGCGTGTACACCTTAGTAGAACTTTTAACTCAAACCATGTTTATAATGATCCTTTTATACATAAATAATGATTCACGACATAATTCGATCGAAAAATTAACTGGAATGTTTTATTTTTGGACATAAATGATAGTACCTTCTGAAAACGGAGACCCTCTTATGACGTAGAAACCCCATCTCGCCATATATATATATATATAAACCATATATATCTACTACTGATATATGAATCATAGCTCTCCTCAAAGCGGGACCCATTTCTGTCTCTATAGGTAATGAAATCGACCAATAGGCGTTGATACCGACGTAGGGAAAAAATAATAGGAAATTTGTCAAACCAATATGGCTGTTTCCATCCTTCACTTTTCGTTCTCATAGATTCAAAGAGTACCTCTCATTTTGGTCCCATTTTTGTTGAGATATCTTATAGGCGATGCGCCATATATAGAAATAGTAGATATATGGTTGAAACTGACACTCTCCTGACACTTATTACTGTTGCCATATCATCCAAACAAAATATCCGAGAAATCGAAATCGATATTGAAATATCTTTTGATATCCACTACCACTACTGCAGAAAAATATATTCGAGTTGTCGATTGTAGGTTGAATCATTGGAGTATAAACAATCTCGACAACGAAATGTCTCAATCTCAAAACCATTTGCACCATTACAATTTCACAATAATCCAATATATTTCATAAACATAGCAACATTGCTTTGTTGACCCGTTTCACATGGAGCTGCAAAAAGTCAATCTAGGTTAGAATTGATTTGTCAGAAATCATGTATCATTCATCTCTGTCTGGAATAGTCTTGTTTCAGTATTAGGGTTTTGACGTCACATCATCGCCTCGTTTTCAGAGGTCCGAAAAATCGGGGATTTCAATAATTTTTTATAAAACGTAGGGAGCTCACAGCAAGAAACGGTTTGCGGTGGTGAGCTAGTTTGGGTGAGTTCTATCGAATTATGAAATAAAATTTTTTTGTGATATAAGCCCATTATAGACAAAAATATGATTTTCTTCAGAAAATAATTATCTCCGTTTCAAATATCTGTTCTTTGATGCAAAGTTGATGTATAGTGTCCATGATTCAGGTTTGAAATTTATTTTAATCGATTTTTTTCAGTACTAAAATGATACCAAAGTCATCTATCAAAAGATCATCGAACTACTTTACGCATCCTACCAAAGTTTAGGACAGTTTTGTTGCAGTCACAATGAGAATAAATCAAAAAATATCAAGAATAAAGTTGCAATAGAACGTTCAAATTCGAGATACACGTGTAACATTGTAATAGCAACAACTTTTCTCAGTAAACATTTTCAAAATCATAATTGGTATTACACGTTTTTCCTATATGATGCTAACTTTATGAATGACCCTGTATACGTTGACATGTATCACCAAATTTCCATAATGTCATCAGTTGAAGGAATATCGATTGCTGCTTGTTTCAAAATTGTCACCCTGTATAAGCTGGCGATTCATTGGATTCGTCATCAGAATGCGGTGCAAGCGGTCACTTATTACTCATCAACATCAGAACGAGTCAGTCGTATTCCATTCATGAGTGTGTGTGAGTGCATAAGAGTTTTTAAGTGTGTGAAAAGTGTCAATCTTTACCCACATTTGAACTATTTGAAGTGCTGTATCATTAACTATTAGACCTAGGGTGCAGTAAGACTCAAATTGTCGAAAATGCAATCTTCTTCAAATATGGTATGATTTGCTTTTTCGCTACCACGGTAAGTGAAAAACAAAAAAAAGTGCGAAACGCGCCAGGACATTTTGTTGTTTTTTCTACTCACATAGCTAAAATGGCATTTTTCTACTCACATAACTAAAATGACATTTAGCGTACGGATATGTACCACGCTAAATGATCGATTAATCAGGGATTATCGATCTGTGATTTATTCCAAATATTAAACACGTTTCCATGGCAACACGATTTCTTAAACACATTACCATGGTAACGCAGTTCATTAAACACAACTTCAGTAATTTGAGACATGTTTGGCCTGTCACTGTAATTTTCATATTTTGTATCAAAATTATTCAAACAATATTCGTTTGTATCAGAATTCTTCATTAAAAATATATGCGAAATGTAGACGAAAGTGAAATCGAAAAGAATGTTCTGGTACTTGCATATCTCCAAGAAGTGTAAAAATGAAGCATCCATCTTTGAGAACAATTTATTTATTCTGCGCTAAGCATGACAATAAACGTGAAACAAAGGTTAATAATCAAGCAATGGACTGGACACATCTACAACCAATATCATTTATACGTGTCTCGCTGGTTGCATGCAGTTGCATGTATATGTTCTCAATTCTCATTCCTTTCGAAATATTTCGAATTATTTTGTAGGTTAGCAGGACTTGCAGGTATGTTAATGTAATTTTCGGAGTTCGTAGAAAAATCATAGTATGTAGCGCGTTTATAAACTCTTCTAGACACTCATTTATTAAACACTCGCTCCGCTCGTGCTTAAACTACTCGTTACTAAAAGGACGTTTATAACACTTGTTACATAATATACTATTATCGTACGGATATGTACCACGCTAAATGATCGATTAATCACGGATTGTCGATCAGTGATTTATTCCAAATATTAAACACGTTACCATGGCAACACGATTTCTTAAACACATTACCATGGCAACGCAGTTCATTAAACACAGCTTCAGTAATTTGAGACATATGTCTGGCCTGTCAATTGTATTAACTGTCAACTGTAATTTTCATATTTCGTATCAAAATTATTCAAACAATATTCGTTTGTATCAGAATTCTTCATTAAAAATATATGCGAAATGTAGACGAAAGTGAAATCGAAGAGAATGTTCTGGTACTTGCATATCTCCAAGAAGTGTTAAAATGAAGCATCCATCTTTGAGAACAACTTATTTATTCTGCGCTAAGCATGACAATAAACGTGAAACAAAGGTTAATAATCTACAACCAATATCATTTGTACGTGTCTCGCTAGTTGCATGCAGTTGCATGTATTTTGTTGTCAATTCCCATTCCATTCGAATCATTTTGTAGGTTGGCAGGAATAGCAGGTATTTTATAGTTATTTAACCAACTAGTGTATTAATGAGGGCGATTAATGATCGAGATATTTTAACGTGCGAGCGAAGCGAGTGCGTTAATGTTCGAGATCATTAATCGCCTTTTAATATACAAGTTGGTTACAAAATTTTTCCGTCGACAATATTTCTCATTTCTGCTGCAATGAAGAAAACTTGGTTCGCGAATTTATCATCCATCCGGAAACTAGTAAGAATCACTCAGTAGCCTTGTTACTGACATTAGTGTCATTTGACATTTGTCGAAATGATCAACATAGGAAATAAATTCCTTGTGTTAGAAAACAGGGATTAAAATCGTGTCAGAAACTTGGAAAGGCGAACCCGTTAACGGAAAATCGTCGATGAAATCCATATTTTCGATTTAAATGCAGATTCCGCTAGTTATAGCATAAACAATGAATGCACGCGGTGTATGTTTGGTTGCCTATAAAACAATCGTGCATTAATAGACAAATCGTCCATTAATAGGGGTCATTAATGAACGATTTCATATACATTAAACTTAGTCGTTAATACGAGGTCGACGGAAAATGTAATTTTCGGAGTTCGTAGAAAAAGCATAGTATGTATCGCGTTTATAAACTCTTCTAGACACTCGTTTATTAAACACTCGTTACTGAAAGGACGTTTATAGCACTTGTTACATAATATACTATTGTATTCAGCGCACCGAAAATCATAGGATAATATGATAAAACCGACTACTGATTTTTTTTGCAAGGAGAGGGAGTATTTTTATATCGTTTGCCTGAGTTAATACCGAGGGGTGAACCGCGGCGAAATTTTGGTGTACTAACAACTGGAATTCCTTGAAATTTCTTGGAATTCCCTAGAATTTCTCGAGTAAAGTGCGGTATATACCTGGTCAACAAACAACTGGAATTCCTTGGATTTCCTTAAAATTCTTTGGAATTCCTTGGATTTCCTTAAATTTCCTTGGATTCCCTCGGAATCCTTTGGATTTCCTTAGAATTCTTTGGGTGAAGTGCAGTATAATTGTGGTGTACAAACAACTGGAATTCCTCGAATTTTCTTGGATTTTCTTGGAATTCCTTGAATTTCCTTGGATCTCCTTGGATTTCCTTTTAATTTCTTGGAATTTCCCTGGAATTCCTCGGAATTTCTTGGAATTCCTTGTGTGAAGTGCGGTATAATTCTGGTGTACAAATAACTGGAATTCCTTGAAATTCCTTGGAATTGCTTCGAATTTCAAGTGAAATTGAAGTTTGGTGTCCACAATTGTGGTCGCGGTTTACCCCTCGGTTGATACCCATTTCTGTAAATATTTTGAAGCACTTACTTAGTCTGGCCAATCCGATTAACTCTTCCGATAGCCTGAAGTTCATCGGAAGGATTCAAAAGTGGTTCGACGAGAATAACGTGAGTCGCTTCGATCAAATTCAAGCCCTTCGAGCCCAAACTGACAGGTAAAAGAAGAGCAGTAACGTTATTTAAATCCTGGAAACCAAATGTGATCAAGCATAGGAAATCATCTCGGAATTGAAAACGTTTGAAAACGATGATAAGAAATGTTTTGCTAACAGGAGATTCTTCAGGTAACTTTGTGTTGATCTTTATAACAGAGTGTCCCGTGACTGGATGCCTATAGCTTAAGGGGATATTCTTTCAACAATTTCAAGTCCAAAGTGCCCTATACACCTTTGTCCAAAACTCTATAGTTGAGGAGTATACAGTGTGTCCCACTTACCATGCTCACCATGGGTATCTTTTTAACGGTGAGAGATACGAGGTCGGTTAAATGACAACAAATGTGGAGTTTGTCAAGGCCAATTATAATGTGAAAAAATATTTTTATGAAATCAATTCGTTTTTGTTTTATACGCAAAAAACAGATTTTGATCATTTTCATGTCTCCTCCGTAACTTTTTTATTTATGAAAATATTCATGTAGGAATTTCACATTCTCATGGCAGATTTTTAAGTGATTTCGAAAAAAATATGGAATTTATACCAACTCTTCTAGAATTTGAGATATCAGCACCAACTTTAGTTTTTCAAATGTAGGTCATAGCTCACTATTACTTAGTTACAAATAACTTTTTTTTCTCTTACAGATATGTCGCAGTGATAGTTTTGTGTTGATAACAATCTTGAATTTATAAATTTTAACAAAAAAATCATGATCTCCGGCCTCAAAAACCCCCACTTACCAATTTTGAATGGAATCGAACCAAATCTTGTCCGCCATCTTGGAGCAGCCTTTTTTTTCAACAAAAATTCCATAATGTAGTGTCACCGAAATTATGAACACTTGCCAAATTTCAAGTTAATCGGACGACCAGAAGTGGGAGATGTTCGTAAATCCGGTGACAAGACATTATGGAATTTTTGTTGATATTAAAAAAAAAATGGCTGCTCCGAGATGGTGGACAAGATTTGGTCCGATTCCATTCAAAATTGGTAAGTGAGGGTTCTCGAGGTCGGAGATCATGATTTTCTTGTTGAAATTTATGAATTGAAGATGGCGGCTTCCACATAATTTTTTTGTTTTTGTATAAATGACGATAACTCCGTTGTTATCAACACAAAACTATTACTGCGGCATATCATCTGGAAGAGAAAAAAAAGTTATTTGTAACTAAGTCATAGTGAGCTATGACCTACATTTAAGAAACTAAAGTTGGTGCTGATATCTCAAATTCTAGAAGAGTTGGTATAAATTTCATATTTTTTTCGAAATCACTTTGAAAAACTGCCATGAGAATGTGAAATTCCTATTTGAATATTTTCATGAATAAAGAAGTTACGGAGGAGACATGAAAATGATCAAAATCTGTTTTTTGCGTATAAAACAAAAACGAATAGATTTTATTAAAATATTTTTTCACATTATAGTTGGCCTTGACAAACTCCACATTTGGTGTCATTTAACCGACCTCGTATCTCTCACCGTTAAAAAGATACCCATGGTGAGCATGGTAAGTGGGACACACTGTATAGAGCAATATTAAATTTGACAGAGTGTGTGATGAAGCAAAGAGAATGTTGATGAAGTTAAAATCCAAGGTGGATAGAATATGGTGTTATCACAGACAGTGTTTTGTTTCTCCCAAAACGCTTGACCGCAGATTCCGCAATTATAGCATATTAGTGCTCAGTTGTCGGCAAGACGGCGAAACTTTTTACAGATTTCTTTCATAACAAAAAACGGAGTTTACATACCGCTTGCACCAGAAATAATTATAGGTTCCGTGCAAGAACTGTCAGATGACCGACCCTGGAGTTTAAGCTCCGTTAGTGAGAAACTGCTGTTCCATCCATTAACAAAACAAACTAGTTATCATCACCCAGGAGGTGAAGCATTGAAACACAACCTCATTTTTTTTATTTGTTCAAAAGCGATTGAAACAGTTTTTCATAATTATTTTGGCATACGAATCGTGTTTTTCGGCTATTCATTAATTCGCGCATGCCATCTGTGTTGTTGTACAATGCACAAAAAATGCAGCGGGAAACGAATGAATCCGGTTGGTACAATATGATTTGAAAGTAACTACCTACTAAAGTCACTCACATAATATATAGTTTTCATTTTTGAAACTTGGTAATTTCTCTGATTTCTCATCGGAATTCCTTCTGAAATAGGAGCTAAGAGAAATACTCGTGAAATTTCTAAAATAATGCAAGAAAATTGGATTCATGCAATCAAACGCGAGGACTGGTCTGACATGCTGACAAAATATTATCGTGTGTGTTGTGGACATTTTCAATCTATAAGCAGTATTAGCTGCTAATACAGAAGTGGCAGAAGGAATTTTAATAAGAAATGACGAAATTTCATAATGAAAACTATGTGAGATTACTATTTACCTGAAAAATCATATTCCTTCGTCTCTCGCTGCATTTTTTGTGCATTGTACAACAGCACAATGAGAAGGCATGATCGACTTAATGAAAAGCGCAAAAAACACGATTCGTATGCCAAAATATTGTGAAAAACTATTCCAAAGCTTTGATTCCCCTGTAAACAGATAAAAAAAGTGATGTTGTGTTTCAATGTTTTACAGGAAAGTGAGGTTGTGTTCCAATATTTTACCTCCAGGGTCGGTCATCGTGCACGCGACCTATTTCAAGAATTCTGGTTTGAAATTGATCAAAAATGAACATTCTCGATAAATATCAGTATGAAAGCTTCCACTGTGTCAACTTGATGGCTTGGTTTATATTGAATACCAGTCACACATGGGAATATAGTTGATCCTGATTTTATACGTACAAGTACCTAAACATTGGATTCATAATTGTACATCGAAGGTTGAAATGGTTCAAATTTGAAAATAACATTGAGTACAGCTGAGAGATAAAATATCCAGCATTTGAGATACAGAGGGCTTTCAAATTTATGTTTGGTCACTATTTTTCTAGACGAAGAACTTTTCATTTGAACGATATATTAATAGTAAGAGTAACCGTTAGCAAAACATGTTGTTTCGAATGTTAAATTATTATCGTTTGTTGAGTTTTCACAATAATTGGACAAGTTAATTCAAAAATTCACCTTGAAGTTGACAATTCTCTTTTCCAAGTTTCCTCCTTGGGCCATTTCACAGCGAACTGAATTCTCCACTAGTGCGTCTGTCAAGCTTTTCAGCACAGTGACCCATGAAGAAAATACTAGAACTTTCACTTCCGGATCATCTTTCTTGAGGTCGAGCAGCAACTTTACCACACCTTCAATTTTCGTGGAATAACTTCCCTTGATTTTTGAACAATCGCCATCTGTTACAGTGTTGCCGGCTTTGATGTAGGAAATTTCTTGGTACTTTTGTTTGTTTCTGCATACTGAGCATTGTATATGATCACCAGCAGTCTACATAGAATTAATTAGTTCATTTCAGGAATGAGCAAGTTTACTGCAGATTTATTCTCATGAAATCAAATTTTTATAAAGATTGATTCTGAGCAAAAATGTATTTAATTTTAAAAATTATTATTGATAGGAACTTATAAAAAACATTTTTTCCTGATAGCTGAAGATAGCATACGGAAGAAGACGAAAATATATAGCAGAATAACCTAGTTGATGTTGCAAAAGTCGTGTTTATTCAAAACATATCATAAAATCGTAAATTTTTTCTTGGATTGAAGGTCAGATGTTGGACACGAAAACGTCAAAGTCGTTTTTCTTTCATAAGTGTCATTTTTTTCCAATTTCAGTTCCTTTTAGTACTGAAGGCAAACTGATGTTTGTATGAAAACAATTTTCCTATTTTATCGCTATCATATTCAACCTTATCAGTGCCAGTTTTTTCTGGCTCTTCAGTATATTTAAAAATGATCTACGAATGCTCCAGATTCTCCCAACCCGTTGAAAAAAATCGTATAGTACCATGATTTATTGTTTTACATGTTGAGTTCCATATTGTTTGATAGGCTTTAAAAAAATGTTTCGTCATCATTATTGTCAAATAATAATATTTTAGGAACCATTGTCTGATGATGGCCGTAATACCGATACCTGTAACATTTTACTGAAGATTTTCATATAGTGTGGTCGACCGGCTTTGTGTTGCTTATTTTCTCTTTTTAAATGATAACTTTAGACAAGAGTTCTTAAATTTACTTGACACTGCTGTTTTGACGTTTTTTGTATATCAGAGTACGGACACTATGACAAGCACTAAGAATCAGACATAACCACGAATAGATTGATGGAAAAAGCGGGAACTGACAGTATACGGACGTACATGACAAAAATTTCAAAGGTTTGACAAATTGAGAGAATTAGGAGAAAGATGCAATTTTGTGCAGTTTCCTACTGTGAGAACACGGGAAATCAATTCACTCTATCCGTGGAATATAGGTTCAGGCCACAAAATTTGCGAGGTATCCAAATTTCTTGATAGGATATAGAACATTTTTCAACGCATTTTTATCAGGTACACTTTAGAACGGAAGATTTGATGTTGAAGAATATGATCGTATTGAGAGAAAGAGCCGAGCCCACAATTTCTAAACTGAGCGAGTATCGAAAAGAACCTTATTCCAATATATACCTACATATAAGAGACTTATTTCATAGAGAAAGTATATGTATTTCATTGGTATATACAGGGTGTCCCACTAAGGCCACTACTAGAGCAAAGAATTAGGATTATAATTAATTATTTTGTTCGCAGAGCCCACTCACTGAAGATACCATACATAAAAATTAGTTATTCGCGAATAACTTGAAGACAAATGAAGATATCGAATCGCGGTTTGCGCTAAAATGTAGCTATTTTGATGCTCTTCTAAACAAATGATGTGAACATGTATCATTCCATTTGAATTTATCGAGAAAAATCGAAAAAAAGTAATGGTTAGTAAACTGCGCCCTCTATAAGACGCGGTGTGAACTAGCGACCATAAACAAAGTCAGTTTTGAAATAAGAGTGAAATTATCTTTCAAACGAGCCCAAGTTGATTGAATTTGGATGAAGGGTATGGAAGATACAGCAATTCAAAAAATATTTTGTTCACAAGCTTCCCCCACCATTATTATTCAAGATACGAAAAAAAGTCCATATACCAACCTGACCCAAAATTAATGATCTTTTCATTTCCGTTATCGAAAAAGTATCTCACCGAGCGATTTCCTGAGATAATTTGAATTTCTTGTTTTATCATGGTAACTTATTCGCCCCCTACCGGTCATTTGAGAGACTTGAAAATATTTTAAATCAATTTCTCTTTGCCAATTTCATGAATAGATTTTTTTTCCCGAAGCTGTAAAGTTAATGGATTCCGTACCTCGCCGATCTTAGTGGGACACCCTGTATGTACATACCAACTTGATATCGATCTCCATTGAGGTCCTTCAGCCTTATCATTCAATATTTCGAGAAGAAATACTTTTCTTATCACTTTATCGTACCCTTTTACCCACTCGAGGAGACGCTATATACTCTCATACAAAAATCAAAGACAGAGGAAGATATATTGATGTACTCTTCCCAGGACTTGCGGAGGAAGGAAGATGCGAGGATCCTTTATCTAAGCGACGCACATATTCTTGTCCTTGTCTGGCAAAACATATGATTTGCTTCAAAATCGTTTGTGGTTATGTTCGATTGTCACTGCTTGCCTAGTGCCCGTACTCTAATATACAAAAAACTTCAAAACAGCAGTGTCGAGTACATTTAGGAACTCTACTTTGGACCACTTTGAGATATGGATGATTTTCATGATTTAGCTAATCAACTTCTTCAAATGATATTAAGAATCTCGTCGTTAAATCTCACTTTTGCGAATTCACTTATTGACTATGCTGCTCTACCATTGGCCACGTGAAATAATTCAGAAAATATCGGACATACACAATGGATCACATTCAAAAAAAATTTCCCAACACTGATAAAATGATTGAAATAACTTCAAAAGAAGCGTTTATTATCGGTGTACCTCAAGATTCCATATTATTACCCTTATTTAGTTGTGCTTCACATAAATAACCTTCACAATATTGATTAACTAGGATGATGGAAGGAATTTACTTACTTGTTCTAGAAGAACCTGGATACATTCCAAACAATAACTATGGCCACACAGCAGAATGCTCCAGTGTTGTTCCAGAGCATTCTTACAAATAGGACACGGATCAGGACTTTGTCCTTCATACTGTTGCTTTCGCAAGGTTTCCAAGTATTTTTGAGTGCCTAAAAGTTTCTCCAATTTGTCCGAACTAGTTCTGTGCTCATTTCTCAGAAGACAATTCTGATAATCTAGCTGAAAATAATCGTGATAAAAAACTGTCTCCAAGAAAAATGAAAAAAAAAAATGTTTCACCTCATGAACGCTGAGTAGATTGACATGTTCGTTTTTGTTGTTTGCGAGGTTGAAGGTGAGATTTTTCAATATTCTAGAGACTTGGGTATCTTTCGTTACTCCTTCCACACTTTTCAGTTGTAAGCGGACTTTACAAATTTCTAGCTCGTCTTGAGCGCAAATTTGTTGATCCAGAAACGTCCACAATTTGCGAAGTTCCTTGAAAAATATATTGTTAAATGTGGTTATCCCAGCAAACATTGAACTACCGGGAGAAGTCTGGCCTAGTGCAGGCAAGTCTGGGAATGTGTCGATGTCGGGGTATTGGTAATTATGATTTCCCTATGCTAAGTAACCATCAGCTAAAAATACGATGATGGTAAGATATCTGGAACCAGTTGAACACTAACGAGTTCTGGCCCTTTGTTGGCCAATAACCTGTTCACTACTTGTCCCTCTGGTGGATGTTTTGGGAACGTCTACATCAACAATCAGCTGATCATTTGGATCATTATTGTATGTGACTCTAGTGATAGCGTCTGTTTCGTTTTTCTCTAGTTTGTTGTCGAATTATTGTGCTCCTCACTTTTCCTGGTCGATATTTATGATGATGCTGAATTGATAATATAGACGATGGATTTTTCAATTATGATAATATTGAGTAAGTACCAATCTACCTATCTAATGTTCAGAATTTCATTATGAAATGCATGTGTTTTGTATCTCATAACCTCATATACCTAGTGATCATAATAATTTGAGTGGTTCTATCTCTCCAGAAGCATAACTATCATTTTTAACTCATTCGTTGCTATCAAAAGTGATCTTAGGTTATCTAAACCTGTCTTTTATACAAGTAAATATAACAGTAAAGAAAAAATGAGAACTGAAAAGCTCCATATGTTATCACGTTATCAGACTATATTGATCAAGTTATAAACTCATGCAACAGTATTTCGTTTCTCATACTCCTATGGAGGAAGAATTCTGGTATCAAGAAAGGCCACTGATTACTGATGAAGAATTTTATATTTCAGGAGTACCTACCACGCAACGAAGAATTCATTTTGAAGGAATAATGCTACCCAAATAACATGTAGATGTAGAAACTAGCTGGTAAGCAGTTGCTCTGAGAAGTTTCAACATGAAAGGAGAGAGAGGTTAAGAAGATATTGTGTCATTCATGAATTTCATCCTTGAAATCCGGCATGTGTCTGTTTGATATGATATGAGAGTGTTACATTATAACATATAGAGTTACTAGAACTCTCCGATCTATTGAACCAATAATATCACTACCCCTCCCCCTACCTCGATAGTTTATTGTTTATTGAACAACTAGCTTCCAGTCAGAAATAACATTCTGGTATGAGGAAGTTGATTACAAACAACAGTACTAAAAAATCTAAGAATGCTAAATCGATCAAGTCATAAAAATAGCCACAGGGACTAATCAGTAGATGGCAAAGTATCAATTTTATCCATTTCGTAATGAAATCATGTGTTTTTTAAATTCAATTTTGAATTTAGGAATATTTCTGCAATTCATTAAATTATGTGGTAATTTATTAAATTCAGCTAGAGCAGCGTGAGTAATTTTTTTTTGCCAATTATAGAAATAGCAGAATCAAGATGAAATAAGTTTAATTGTCTCGTGTGATGACCATGAATCACTGAGTTTCTTACCAAAACAAAATTGGGTTTCAGATTATTGTTCATTATATTATATGAAACTTTAAGAGAATCTATTTTATATAATTCATCCAATGAAAATTTTTCTGTTATCGCATACAGATCATTTGTTGGGATATCAAATGAGAGGCGATACAATACTTTCAGTGCTTTCTTATAAAGTGCAGATATTGTACTGAAATAATTTTTTGAACAAACGTTTATCATAGTATGTAACCAATGTCGATAATTGGCCATTACAGTCCCATCCTTTATGTATGTGCTGGGCTTGCTATGGAAAACTCAATGTGTTGATTATGTTGCACTGGCCTTTTGCCGGGGAACTGAATATGATTGCTGGGTACCCAGCACTGGGACCAGCTGCCGGCCGCAGTGTACTGATATACACAGTCCCGCATATGGGACCATTTACTGGGCTGCTGATGTCAGGTATGGGGAAAATATATTTTAGGACATTAATGCCCCTTATCAAAATGTTTGCTGAGTAGCTTAGGTGCTTCTAACAATGAAAATGTGACAATTAAATGTTTTGAAAATATAGGTGGGAACACTAATTTCTATAAATAATCTTATGAAGTTCATCACTATGAGAAGATGAACATAATTTTTTGGGATTTTGATTTCTTCTAGACTTTCCAGATTAATATTCCAAATAAATGATGCCGTAAGAACACAACGGGAAATCTTGACATCACAAGTACCTACAAGAATGCTCTGACCGTCTATGGGTAGTGTGGAGAACAATGGATTATACTGACACGCAGGCTACAAAATCGGCGCAAATTACAGGAATAATACCAAGAATCCGTACAAAATTCGCGCATTTTTTGTAGAATAAATTGAATTGAAACAACTCTTGAGCATTTCATTCATTACCAAATTGCGAAGGACTTTGAACGTCATGTTAATTTTAGCGTAATCCGATGCTGTTTTGTTAGTTCAAAATAGCGTACATGAGTGGTCAAGCAACGAACCGTTTGGTTTTGACAATAATATTATCCTAAGATTATTGGTATCAGGTCCTTTTCAGGTATGTAAATTTCATATTTTAATTTGTAGTGAATGTTGTCATTCTGAACGATTTCCAGGTTCTTGGTTAGGAACACTTTTATTTGTCCTGTATTTCCTTTTTAGATGAAAATAGAATTCAAAATATCAGAAACATTCACTGATTGTTCCTCCCTCAGTTTTGACACCCTACACGTGAGATTTTTTTACGTAACCGGCATATCACTTGCCGGTTTTGCAACAAGACATATGGGTATACTTCAGTATACAGGGTGATCCACGGTGGATGGCCTATTAGAAGTATCTGGAGAACGAAAAGACAGAACATTCGGAAAATCGGAATGCTTTGATAATTGAACATTCTCTATCTGTCTAAAATATTTTCATCGATATAGTGTTTCCACTTCTATCAGAAACAACTAGCAACTTCATCTTTTATTGCATTTTTAGATACTTGCTGAAGAGCTGATTTCATCAATGCATCACACTTGGGGTCTAGCAGGAATGATTATAGAGATATAGGGTGTTCAAAATAGAAATGTTTCAATTTCAGGATTTTTTTGTGTCGAAACTATTCATTATCGATCAAAATGGCTTACATGTTCCTATCTCAACTCTCGATTCACTATCTACTGAAATTGAATTGGAACAGATACTGGGTGATCAGAATTCTGAATCTTGAAGCACCCTGTATTTTTTTCAATTAAATTCCAGTAGATAGTTAATCAAAAGTTAAGATAGGAACATGTTAGCCGTTTTTATCGATAATGGATAGTTTCGACACAAAAAAATCCTAAAATTGAAAAATCTCGATTTTGAACACACTATATCTCTGTAATCATTCTTGCTAGACCCCAAGTGTGATGCATTAATGAAATCAGCTCTTCAGAAAGAATCTTGAAATGCAATAAAATACAGAGTGTTCTATTTTAAATATCAAAGTTGCTAGTTTTTTCTGATGGAAGTGGCAACACTGTATCGATGAATATATTTCAGACGGATAGAGAATGTTCAATTATCAAAGCATTACAATTTTCAGAATGTTCTGTCTTTTCGTTCACCATATACATTCTAATAGGCCATCCACCGTGGATCACCCTGTATAGTAATATACCAAATAACTAAAATGACTCAACAGTGTTCGGGTTTTCCATAACCACAGAATACCTCACAAAAGCATTGAAAAGGTGTGTATATCGCCATATATGTTTGTCGAAACTTAGTCCACTGTCAAAATTATACCTTTTTGCCTTCAATAAACTGATGAATTCAAGTGTTGAAATTTGAAATATATACCATTCCTATGTTTTATTGGATGTTTCGTAGTACCTGTAGTGAATAAAAATTTTCTGAACAGTATTATTTTTTAACCCAATTTCTGAAACAGCACTGCTTCACTGAAACATATGACCTTGAATTGATTTGATTCGTTTTTTGAAGTTGTGACGTACGCGCAAAGAAATATTATACAGACTGTAAGTACCTTGAACTCCTTTTTGAGAGATTCTACCATAATGATGTGAGTTTCTCCATCTTTTATCAACTCCGACTTAGAGTTTTTAAGTTTCAGTAGAGCTAACATAGCTGAAAAATAAAAATCATCAATAAAAAAGGCCAACAGATTACAATCACACATACATCTCAGTATCAATTCTTCCTGTTTTGGTTTCCAGCTCCCCTTCAATGACATGTCCTCGAAAGTCTTTTCTCTTCGAATCATGTGGAACAATTTTCCTTCGTACATTTTCAGGTGCACATCAGTTTTGCACAAGGGGCACTTTTCAACCTTGGATTTTCTGTTGGGTCTCAGATGGCAGTCCATAGCTTTTGTCACGATATTCTCTTGTATCACGATCTTATGTCTACCTTCCGGTTTGTACTCATACAGTGTGTCCATCGAGTCGAACAGTTTGGTTCTAGTGAGAGACAGATCATCATCCCAAGAATATATCAGATTTAAGATGCTCCGTTCGCTTGTAGCTCTGAAAAAATTTGATTCACAACCTTTACCTCTTTTTCTATAGGTAGGGTGATATACCAGGTGACAGCTAGATCATTTGACAGGGCGTCATTCAGTTGATTTTCAAGTTAGAATTCTTGAATTCAGACCGATGATATAGTTCCCTGAAAGCTTGATTTTTCAATAATAAAAACAATTTAATATCACTTCTGGTTTCCCCGGAAATTGATTCAGGTCAAGGATTTTGAATCCAATAATATACAATACAGGGACCAGAGAGTTCACTGAGAAACAAGTGGAAGATTTTTCTTACCAAAGCTTCTGAGGGGTGCAAAAGAAGACTTCAAGTAAGTTATTGTACAGGGTGGGGCATAGGAATCAATTGTTTGTGAAATAACAATAACAAACACGCGTTGCTCTAGCTCTATGTTATACACAATAGCATTTTAACAGTACGCCACAAAAATTTTTGTATATAGTTTTAATTTAAGATATGAATAATAATGCACACAAAATACAAATAACAGTTTTAATCTAATGGCCAAGTACTAACCAAACCAAAAACACATGGTTCCTATGCCCCACGCGGTATATCACCTTGAAGATTTTCTAATCTCTAACAAAAAACAACTGAATGATGTCATGTTCAATAATCTCGGTGTTACCAGGCATTTCAGGCATTTATACAAAGATAACAAAGGGTGCACTTTTTCATCAATGTCAAAATGACGTCATCATCAAATGGTGTTTTCTGTACAAAAGTTGATTTATCATGAATGTAATATCACAAGTGATACTATTTTGCCGGTAATATTCGGCGATTGTTACGACGCTTGTTGCCTAACTAAAGCAGCAAGCTGGAGTATGTCAATTGACGAATATTTCTAGGAAAATGATTGAGACAATAAACGAGCGCCTCGCGAGTGTTGCGCACACCCTGCTTCCATCATTCTGACTTCCACCATAATTGACATTTTAAATGTCAAGAATTGTATCACTCAAAACGAGGTTGGTCAATTCGTCTTCTGTGAAAATGGAAAATGGAATGAAAATGGTCGATTCTGATCTCGAGAACAAAAGTGGAATCGTTATATGAAGTGATAATATTTGGCCGAAAATATTCGGCGAGTGTTACGACAGCTTGATGTATAATAATTGAGATAAATGAGTATTACATAAGAATTAGTATATCATACAAATAAATTTTTATGAGAATGTAATATAACATTCTGGTGCCTACAATGATGGATTAGTGGTCCTCCTGATATTTCATTTAGGACAATAATTTTATGTTGAGGGAAAAAGAAAGATAGACCGGAAAGAGTGAGCTTAACCTAACTTACACGTTGTGTTTCTTGCGTGGTTAGCGCTGTTGCCAGGCTTACAAAAAAGTAAATGTTATTGAAAAAATTCACTAATACCTTAAGCTGGTTTGAAACGGAACACTGGCATTGTCACAAGCTGTATGAATTCTTTCGACGAGTTCCCCGAAATGCCTATTTATCACAATCCAATCCAGTCCATCCGAATACCATTGGCCATCTTTCAAAATGAACTCGCTTTGTACTTTTGCGACAGTCATCATCATCCTACTAAAACTCCCGAAAGCAGAAAAAGACTGAAAAAAAAAAATCCCAATGTGTTAGGTTAGTTCAGATGATGAGTTTCTGTCAGACGCGTCAGATATATGTTTGTCTTTTGACATGAATATTTTTGTTTTTGTAAAAAACGAAAGTTTTATTAATTAGATGTTAGTAGAAAACAACAACTAAATTAACGGCCTTCTCTGTTCAACCACTTTAACCTCGTCAAATACAAAACAATAAGTGGAATGTATCTCTGGGAAATACCGAGATGATCCCGAAAACGGACTGCAGTATAATATATTTGGACCAGGGAGGAACAGCGAAGGTCTACCTTAAGCTTAAAGCACAACAACAACACAGTATCTGCTATGATATTTTCGATTTGAATTCTTTTTCTCTTTATCCTCATCTCCACTTCAGCCTCCTTCAGAATTTTCACTACCTACTATAAAGGGCTTCAATTTGCTTCAGCACCATTTTCTGTGGGTTATTTAGTATAAAATGTGCGAGATGAGACATTACATCTATCAAAATCAAATAATCCACAAGTTGTATACTACAATAAAAAATTTCGAGCCAAATCCATCAACAAAAAGTCACTCAAAATACTCAGATAAAAATAATGTTCCAATTACAACATCCTCAGGTTCAGTTCAAGTGTAGGTTTTAATACAGGTTCATTTCAGAGGTAACAAATTTTCAATCGGAAAGCGGCTCAGGAGATTGTTATAGGATACTTTCTAGCCCAGCAAATTCGAGATGGCGGATCCACCGATCCAACATGGCGGTTTTTGTGATTATGACCCGATTCTATTCATAATTGGTATCTGAGAGGGTTCTCGAGATCGGAGCTTATGCATGGTTTCTTTCTTGAAAATTGGGAAATTCAAGATTCGATGCCGTAATGAACGAATCTGTGGTGGAAATCGGGAAATTTTGGAAAATGGAGACGGAGTGGTCCTATTGACAATGAAAGCGAAAAACTGACTTTGAGGGCCGATATCTCATGAACTATATGTCCTATGGGGCTGATTATGGTGTCATTCGATTCAGCGTGTCATTTTCTACTGGAAAAGCGATAAAGCGCGTAAATTTCCGCGGTTTTCTGGCACTTTCGGCCGTCCGAAGATGGCTCGGTGACTATATCGTACTGAAGTCTTAGGTGGGAAAATGAAAATTTTTATTTGACCTATTGAAGATCTGAAAAAAGTCACATAGACTAATTTGATGTCGTCATAAACGAATCTGTGGTGGAAATCGGTAAATTTTGGAAAATAGAGACGAAGTAGCCTACCGGAATGCTCCTATTGGCATTGAATGCGAAAAGCTGACTTTGAGCGCCGATATCTCGAAAACTATATTATGTCCTATGAGGCTGATTATAGTCTCATTCGATTCAGCGTGTCATTTCCTACTAGATAAGCGATAATTCGCATTTATTTTTGCCGTTTTCTGGCACTCTCAGTCGTCCGAAGATGGCTCGGTGATTATATCGTACTGAAGTCCTAGGTGGGAAAATGAAATTTTTTATTTGGCCTATTGAAAATCTCACATAGACTAATTCGGAGTCGAAATAAACGAATCTGTGGTGGAAATTGGGAAATTTTGGAAAATGGAGACGAAGTAGCCTACCGGAGTGCTCCTATTGGCAATAAAAGCGGAAAACTGACTTTAAGCGCAGATATTTCAAAAACTATCTGTCCTATGAGGCTGATTATAGTCTCATTCGATTCAGCGTGTCATTTTCTACTGGAAAAACAATAATTCGCCTTCATTTTTGTCGTTTTCTGGCACTCTCAGCCGTTCGAAGATGGCTCGGTGAATATATCGTAGTGAAGTATCAGGTGGGAAAACGAAAATGTTTATTTGGCCTATTAAAAATATGCAAAAATTCACATAGACTAATTCGGAGTCGAAATAAACGAATCTGTGGTGGAAATTGTAAAATTTCGGAAAATGGAGACGTAGTAGCCTACCGGAGTGCTCCTATTGACAATAAAAGCGAAAAACTGATTTTGAGCGCAGATATTTCAAAAACTATCTGTCCTATCGGGCTGATTATAGTCTCATTCGATTCAGCGTGTCATTTTCTACAGAAAAAACGATAAATCGCGTGGATTTCCTCGGTTTTTGGCACTTTCGGCCGTCCGAAGATGGCTCGGTGACTATATCGTATGGAAGTCTTAGATGGGGAAATGAAAATTTTCATTTGGCCTATTGAAAATCTGAAAAAATTCACATAGACTAATTCGATGTCGTAATGAACGAATCTGTGGTGTGAATTTTGTCGGATCCAATATAGCGGACGAGATATTATGATCCGATTCTATTCAAAATTGGTATCTAGAAATTTCCGGGATCGGGGATTATGATTCCTTCGTCAAAATTAGAAAATTCAACATGGCTGATTCAATGTGGCGGACGAGTTTTGTAATTGAAATCTGATTTTATTAGAACTTTGTAACAAGGGGCTTTCGTGATCGGGGATTATGATTCCTTCGTCAAAATTAGAAATCTATTCAAAATTTGTGAGTTGAAGTTTTCGGGCTCGGAAATTATTATTTCTTCGTCAAAATTGAGGAATTCAAGATGGAGGATCGAATATGGCGGACGAGTTTTGTAATTTTTATCCGATTCAATTTAAAAATTTCATCTTGGGTTTTTTGAAGCGGAGATTATGATTCTTTCGTCAACATTTGTGAAATTCAAGTGAACTAAAAAGGAGTAGAAAATAAAATAATAATAATAGTGTGCTGATGAATAATCAACAAAAAAATTGTTTCAAGAAATAACGTATATAGCAAAACAACGTTGTCGGGAACTGCTAGTATGACATAAAAAAGTACCCTTTTTAGTTTTCACTCATTTTCCTTAACTAAGTACCTCATCGATGAATTTCTCCATATATTTTTCTTCTAATTCTCCACAATCCTTCCTCAAATCGCAATCTCGCAAAGTCGGCTGGTCAGGCGTATGGTCATCCAAAACTTCGGCCAAGTTATACAGAGTGTGAATCACCTGCGGCTTGTCGACTGTCAATTTTGCTTCACCATGTTCTTCGGAAAATCTAGATTTCAATTGTAAAACTTGCCTGTAATAGTCGATAGCCTGTTGGGGATTTTGCAGAAGTAATTGAAGTCCAGCAAGTCCTAAAGAGTTTCGTAATATAAGTAGAAAATACATGTATGCACAGCGTTACAAGATTCATCGATAAATAATGATCCTAAAAATTTCATAGCAGTTATTTTAAACCAATCAGATGCGTTATTTCGACATTGTTGCTTTAGTAACCAGCAAATTTTTTGGAAATTCTTCATCCACATGAGCATGAAAACGTAAAATCAATGTGAGAAAATTTTCTGGCATATGATAGTTATCATATAATAAGACAAAATTGAAATAATTTTGAGTCCAAGTGCCGGCTGCTAATTTGGTCAGTCATCTGATAACGAAATAATATACGGAACGACAACTGTGTCATTCACTACCCTGAGCAAAATGATTGAAAAATTGCACTTTCCTGTGCGGAAATTTGCATTCGATGTCGCGATTTAATAAAGAATACATGAATGGCATCTCCGACACAGATGGCATAATTCTTATCAAATCGCAAAATCGAGTGCAAATTTCTGCACAGGAAAGTGCTATTTTTTAATAATTTTGCTCAGGATAGTGATTGGCACAAGTAGAAATCTGCAGCCGGCTCTCCTACTATAAGAAAATCATATAAAATCAATTATTTTTACATAGGGTGATTCATTAAGAATGAGAAATTTCTGAACTACAGATAGTAAACACAAAAATAATGAGATTTAGCCCATTATGCCTAATGAGAATGTTGCTGGTTAAGATACAGGGTGTTCTAGAGGGAGATTTTATTTCAAAATTTCACAGTAACTTTGTTAGTTTAAACAGCAGGTGGTCAGGTAGCCGTGCGGACAGAGTGTCTATATTCTAATTCGCATTCGCTCGCCGGTCGTGGGTTCGATCCCCGTCGACTGCAGAAATTTTTCTGATGGCCCAAGAAAGTGTTTGGGATCACACGTTAAAAGGTAAGGCCCCCGTCATTCCTTGCTCGCACAAGACTTTCGAAGACTTTTGAGGGTTGCTCGTAAGGGGGCAACCGAATGACGGATAGAACAAATTTTAGAACAAAAATTTTTAGCATGAACATGAAATCTTGTATTTCTAAGTTTTCTGACAAGAGGAATATGAATTTGCACCTTATTTTGTGATTGCTCATACATCATATCTTCTATGTCAATTCATTGATTATCAAAATAAGTGGAAAATCTGAGAGCTCGTTCAATTCCACATGAAAAATGTATTCTTTATTAAAGTGTCTAGCTTCAACGGTTTTTGTGTTATTCGCTCTTGAAGAGATTTATGTTACAATTATAACATTTTAATAATTTTATATATTGAATTAAGAATTGGAAATCCCTGAACTACAGATAGTAAACATCCAAATATAAAGATTAAGCCCAACATGCCTCATGAAAATATTGCTGGTTTAAGAGATACAGGGTGATTAAGGAGTAAATTTCATTTCAAAACTAACACTAGCGCCCTCTATGAGCAATCACAAAATAAATTGCAAATTCATATTCCTCATGTCAGAAAACTTAGAAATACAAGATTTCATGTTTATGCGTTTAAAACTAACAAAGTAATTGAATAAAATATCCCCCTAGAACACCCTGTATCTCCTAAACCAGCCACATTCTACTCAGGCATATTGGGCTAAATTCAATTATTTTTGTGTTTACTATCTGTAGTTCAGAGATTTCCCATTCATAATGAATGACCCTGTATAATAATGTATCTGATACTATACATTTCATTTTGCTAGGGCACAGGGAAAGTAAATATCCACTTAATGGACACCCTATACAGGGTGTCCGCTAAAAGGAGGTCAATCCATTAACCATATATTCCTTGAACATAAATAATATGAGTTTCTAAATATCATTTTTCATTTTAGCCCTTCTTATTCGATATACAGGGTGTCAAAGTTGAAAATTAAAAACTGTTTTTTTCTAATTATTCGCGTAATTAATAAGATATTAATCTCAAAATAGGTACATTACTTCAGCACAAAGAGTTACATCGTGTGAGGAAAACAAAACAGAAAATAACTGTCAAATATTCAAAATACTGGGGGTCAAGTACACACTTACCCCCATATTTTTTTTGTACGTGCGCTAATGACTTCCTATCTATTTTTCTTCATGTGTTCAATCATTTTTGAGTATTTTTTGATTTTTGTAAAATTCCGATAAAATTATTAGTTTTTAAGATAATTCGAAAAGTACTGGTTATTGTTTGATGCCTTGCGGCTTACGGTAATCTCATAATGTTCACATACTCCTATTTATTTCGTCGAAATTGGAAGAGGGCGTATCTTATTACGTACGGAAAGGTGAATATGGAAATACCGGGTGCTCAGAGCGAATGTATTAAAATAATTTTTACACTTTTTAAATTTTTTTTTTTGTAAAAATTATTTTAGTACATTTGCTCCGAGCACCCGGTATTTCCATATTTACCTTTTCGTACGTAAAAAGATACGCCCTCTTTCAATTTCGACGAAATAAATAGGAGTATGTGAACATTATGAGATTACCTAAGCCGCATAGGCATCAAACAATAACCAGTACTTTTCGAATTATCTTAAAAACAAATGATTCAATCGAAATTTTACAGGAAACAAAAAATACTCAAAAATGATTGAACACTTGAAGGAAAATAGATAGGAAGTCATTAGCGCACGTACAAACAAAATATGGGGGTAAGTGTGAACTTGACCCCCAGTATCTTGAATATTTGACAGTTATTTTCTGTTTTGTTTTCCTCACACGATGTAACTCTTTGTGCTGAAGTAATGTACCAATTTTGAGATTAATATCTCATCAAATACGCGAGTAATTAGAAAAAACCAGTTTTTAATTTCCAACTTTGACACCCTGTATACCGAATATGAAGGGCTAAAATGAAAAATGATATTAAGAAACTCATATTGTTTTTGTTCAAGGAATATGTGGTTAATGGATTGACCTCCTTTTAGCGGACACCCTGTATAATTATCATTTCGTCATCAGATGCAGCCGGTTCTCCCACTATAAGAAAATCATTTGAAATCATTTATTTTTATGAAATAATGCATCTGATACTATACATTTTATTTTGCTAGGGTACAGAGAGAGTGAATATCCACTCAATGGACACCCTTGATATCGGACCCATGTTCATATGATTTTTTTTTCATATTTTCTTGAAAGTAATCTCTCCTATGCTTTTGTCACCACAACTCTGAAACACCCTGTATATCCACGTTATTTGAACTCAAATTTGATCGCAACAAAAAATAAATAGTAGATTGTTTTATTAGGATCAAAAGTGACACTTTGTTTGACAAGCGAATTTTGCATTTGCGAGGCGGAGCGTTCAGCGAAGCCGAGCGACAGCAAAATTTGCGAGTCGAACAAAGTCACTTTTGATCCGAATGAAACATGCTATTTTTTCTGCAACCGAAACAATTAACTCAATTAAACATGTGAAGTAACCACCGATGCCGTGCCATATGTATGCAATGCAACAAATATTGTCAAATAATCCATGTGGTGAGAATATTCTACCTGCATTAACAGTAGGTTAGGTTTTCTAGGATGTTCGAATTGTAGTTCCAATATAAATACAACCACAGAGTGACATATTTGTGTATGGACCAGGTGCTCTTATGGCAAATACCGCGCCAGTGCCAGCTATAGGAACAAGACGTGGAAAATGTTAGGTTGTTAGGTTAGTGAGCATATTAACAATGATAATAGTGATCATTTATTCCTATCCATACTGGCATACTACACTGTGTTTGACTTGATAATCAAATGAAGCTAAACAATATCGTTGTTTGAGACAAAAAAACTATTGCTTGCCGTGATTATTCAAGAACAAGTTATCCATCCCGAGAATAACGAATGAAATACAGATCAAGCAAGTATTTGAATCTTGAAGGCTTCCCTGATCAGAACAAAAATACTTAACTGAGATGTTCATAATTCCAATACTGAACTATAATAAGGTGTATTTATATCTCCAGCATGGGTATGAAATGCCAAATCTGCTGAAATCGGAAATAAATCAGTTATGTGTCTCAACCCAAATAACCAACCGTCACAATGTTGTTTATTCTTGATGACGTGCAGTAGATCTTTTTTAGTTCCTAGGAGCTGAAGTTCAACTTTAGCTCCTAGGAACTAAAATTCAACTTTAGCTCCTAGGAACTAAATATGTTGCCTAGCAACATACCTATTTTTGTGTCAGTAATAGAAACGTCAATTTAAGAGCTAATTTCGGTATCAAAATGGACGACTTTTGTGTCGGTTGCAGAAAAAAATATGTGTTTAATGAATTCTAATACACTATGGCTATCGTACTATCTGCTACATAAACTAGTTCAATTCATTCATTTACCATTCAACGAAGATATTATCAATCTGAGACAATCTTCACTGTCTGTGGTATTCTTCAAAATCAAGGCATTCAACAAGTCTTGCATGGATGTCACTTGTTTCTTTGTAGCCAAGTATCTGCCTCTCACTGTATTTGGCTGGGTGCAAGTGTGTCTCAAGGTATACAAAGGAGCTAGTAACTAAAAATTTGTTTTCATAAAGTACCAGTAATTAGGTAGCCTATAATGGGTAACCTCATACCTTTTTTAATGAACTCTTGTCCAGTTTTTCCAAAAGTAAGGTAGAATCGAATTTCATTGCTTTGGACAAAAAGTCTTTAGATATAAGTTCGTGTTCTCTTTTGTAGAAATATTTTTCTACCGCAGAGAACTCCAACAGATGCTCTTTATATGATTGTTTCGGAATATTCACCTGAAAATTATTGTTGAGTTTGTGATAAAGATTCCTACAAATGTTTCTAACAATGAATAATATTACAACAATTGAAACTAACAGAACTGCACTATGGACTGCTCTGCAAAGAATAACAAGTCTTCACCTGTTGTGGCTGATTTATACAGGGTGTCCCAAAATTAGCAAGCCAAACATCAGCAGCGGCTTTTACGACCAAAAATAGGGAGGATAGTTTCATGAACATGAATCGAAATGTCCCCTAATGGAGCTACGGCCCCCTGAAATAACCCAATCAAACCCGGTATTGTTGAATTCGTTGTAGTAATCTCTAACCGATTATGGAATGAAATACAGTCATACTATCATTTCCGGGAGAAACATTTTCTGAACTGTGAGAAAGTGCCTTCTAGTGAGCATATTCGATGTTCCAAATTTCAGAAATATAGCTCGAAAAATGAAAGAGAAAAGGGGGTAGTCAGTGTCATAAAGATGCTCTTGTTCCGGTTCGATCAGATGTATCATGTTCGAGTGAAATCGATTTTAAAATATTGTTACATCTCACATTCAATGCATAACGTTGCCAATTTTCGAACCATATACTTACAGAGAAGTGCACAATAAACGGCCGGTGCTGTAACTTCTGAATCATTTGAGATCGAATTTTGAAAATTGGTGGGTAGCTAGTATACCAAATTGCTCATTAACTGACGAACCAATTTTTGTTCTATCACTTCCGGTTTCACCGGAAATGACCCTTACTAGATAGGACACCCTGTATTTTATTCCATAACCGGTCAGAAATTATCATAACAAATTCAAAGATAGGGGTTATTTCGAACGATTACGAAGATATTCGCGTTCTAAGTTTCCATAAGCTCAATGGGTGTGACTTCAAAATATCGAAACTTGTTTCTCTGTCCCACTTATTGAGCAAATGGAAACTTAGAACTGGAATATCTTCGTAGTCCTTTGAATCAACCCTATCAAACCCGGTATCGTTGAATTCGTGATAATAATCCCTAACCGATTATGGAATAAAATACAGGATGTCCCATTGAAAAATTAATAGTTAGGGTCGTTTCTGGTGAGACCGGAAGTGATTGAAGAATAATTGGTTTGTCAATTTATGAGCAATTTGGTATACTTGCTACCCACCAATTTTCGAACTCCGATCTAGAATGTTTCAGAAGATACAGTACTGGCCGTTTTTTGTGCATTCCTCTGTATAGTGGCGTTAAAAAATCAACTACTTTCTTTCCACCAAACAGTTTCTTAGAGGCGTGTAAAATAGGAAACAGTTTCTCAGAGGGGTGTAAAACTAGTTTTTTCTACGGCTATAACACAAAATGGGCTTATATCACAAAAAAAAAATTATTTCATGATTTGATAGAACTAGCTCACCACCGCAAACCGTTTCTTGCTGTGAGCTCCCTACGTTTTATAAAAAATTATTGAAATCCCCGATTTTCGGACCCTAATACTGAAACAAGACTATTCCAGACAGAGATGAATGATACATGATTTCTGAGAGAGTGAATTAGAGCGAGATCACAGTTGAAAGAATTAATATATCAGTTGCCACAGTCTCCGTCGGGCGTTTGGTATTTTCTATTAACTATGGCAAGATGAGGTTCCTACGTCATAAGAGGTTCCGTTTTCAGAAGGTACTATTATTTATGTCCAAAAATAAAATATTTCAGTCAATTTTTCGATCGAATTATGTCGTCAATCATTATTTATGTATAAAAGTATCATTATAAACATGGTTTGAGTTAAAAGTTCTACTAAGGTGTACACGCCCATTGCTCTTGCTTTACTGTGTTCGATCGTTACCGCCGATCAATGAGGTACTTTTTATGTCATCAATTTTATTTCCGTATCTGATATCACAACGACTCCATTGTGTTATTTCAAAAACAATCTCATCGCTCATGAAATGTCAAATTTCAAGCAATGACAGCATTACTTGACAGGAAATCAGATGGCTACAAGACGGAGAAAACAAGAATGCCGCTGTTATCTGTGACAATCGTATGAAAATTATAGTGTATAACTCGCACGGAATGCTAATTTCCCACTGGAATGAATGCAGCATCACTGCACTATCATTCCGTACTTGTTAAACAATATACTATGATTTTTGTGCATTTTTCCCATAGTCACTACAGTTTATTGCAATGTTATGCAGAATATGTGATGTAACAATATTTTTAAATCAACAAGAGCATCATTTTTCTGTAGAGGTGTGGATTTTCATAATCCGAGATTGAATTGTCGAAAAATATACATAAAAGTTTGAGCGATATTTAATGTAGTCCCATCCATATATATACACTCCTGAATAAAATCTTGGAATGGTTCAATTTTCGCATTGGGCATGGAAATAAGTTCAGTTCTTGTACCGAATATTCCAGAAATATAATCTTCCAGATCCCCATTTTAGGGGGCCATAGTTTCCTAGGAGACATTTTTCGACTCATGTTCATTGAAACTTGTCTTCCTATTTTTGGTCGTAGAAGCCAGTGGTGACGTTTGGCAGGCAAATTTCGGGATACTCTGTATAGGTATGTATAAGTTTTGAAACTTATATCAGAACTGTCAAACGAGAATTTCAATATTTACCAAAAATTTTGCACGAAATTTTCGTTGTTTTTAATACAATCTGAATGATTTGTGGATCCTTGAGTACTTCGAATTATCGATTGGAATGGATCATTATATCAAATGACAAAACGAATATTTTCGTATTTGACTATTCAACAATAGTCTCCAGTGGAGCTTTAACCAAAACTAAAAATTAATAGGATTTATTGACGAAAATTGTTAAAAAACACTCTGTATAGTCAAAAACCAGAAATGGAATCAAATAAGCAATTACTTATTTCACTTAAGACATATTCAGCAAATCACCGCTAGAGATAGCGCACGCTCATTTATCATCGCAAAGATCAGCGATTGACAGAAAAAAATTAAATGATCTGTCTTACTTGATCAGCAACATCTTTTTTACAAGTTCTCCACAGCACTTGTGATAGGAAGTCGATCATCGGCTTCTCGTTGCCAGCGACATAAGGCTGGTACAAAATACTTTTCCAAGTTAAAGCGTCATCATATGGCGTTATTTGTAAGTAATCAATCAGACCGTATAGATCTGAAAAGAGATTTTTTTTTATTTTAAATCCCAAACATGTTTGGGAAAATTATGTTTAGTTTAGGTCGGTAATCTTCCATTTATGACTGATAAAACAATCATCCATTATGGTACTTCCAGTTTTATTTTAAAACAGTGGTTCAAAAATAAAACAAAACTTTTATTTAAAAAAAATCAGCAGTATAGAAACAAAACTTGTCCAAAGGTATATTTATGTTTGATTTAGTATTGGTGGAAAATATACAACTTATTCACTATAACTTTTGTATTATTAGAACGACCTTACATGCACAAGACTATCTTTCTAACTCACTCACTGTTCATGTCCACATATTCTCACAAAAATGTCCTTATATAATTGTATTGTTAGCGACGGTGTTCAAATCACCCCGTAAATGAGAAGAACGCCTAAGGAATGCCTGAACACAAGCGGCGACTCATCGGTATTCGTAATCATCGTGTGATCGAAGATTGAAGCAGGTTTAGTCATTAGCATCGTAGCATCAGAACGAATCACTTGTCGATGTTGTATTTTTATAAACGGTCATCTTTGTACAAGCCTTCCTGAGCGAATAAAAATGTGTCTATCTATGGAGCCTCCATTTAGAATATATACATTTTCTAAAGCATTATATAAATGTTGGTTGCGATGATTCAATTTTGAGAATAACTTCAAGTCCTCAATTGCTGGGGATCTTTGTCTATGTAAATCGATGATATTGTTCATTCTTAGCAGTCTCTCCAACCATATATTTTTTTTCTAACCACCAATTCACTACACACTTTTAACACTTTTAAACACACTTTTTAATACCACCATTGTCCACATCAAAATGGCAATTTCTCTGCACAAAAAGTTATTTTTTTCCATATCTTGACCTTGTACGTCAATTTTGAAGATCTCAAGAGGTCAACTCATTATTTAATATTTTGCAAAAGAATTTGGAAATAACCGATTTACAATGGGTACATGCGGCAATGTTTTTGTTGTTCATACTCAGTTTGAAGTTTGACGTTGATGTGACATTTGATAGCGCCATATTCGCGGGAATCAATGTTACCAGGTGGCGCTCGGTTTTCATCGTTCCATGTCAAAGTCACGTCAAAACTGGGGGAAAACAAACTCAATCCTCACTCAATCCCATTAGTGCCATTAGCTTTTGTACTGTGTACTAATAAGAGTGATAAGTTTTTGAATTTCTTGTCATTAATTGTCAATATTCGATCGAAAACGCTAATAATGCCTGTTGCAGATGTTCTCTTGGCAGATATTTTCCTCTATTTAGACGGAAAAAGCCGACCAGTAGTGGAAGGAGAAGTAGTTCTCCCTGCTAATCATTTGATTTTGTGTGAGGCAGAAGACTTCAACAAAATACACATTTTTGCACTTTGTCTACAAACTTCGGCGATGAAGTCTTTCCCACATGAAGAAAAATTGAAGTTGGGGTCTAGAGGAACACCTGTAGAACAATGGATTTGTATTTGTTCATGCAAGTGAGGACAATCTGAGTATTGTAAACATGTTGTAGCTGTTCTTTTATATGTCGATTGATTTGCTCGTCATAATTAGTTTGAATTGTTTGAACTATCTCCAATTCTTAACCCGTTCACTGTCCACTAAACTAATAAAAATGTAATAATGTAAAAAAATTAACCAACTCAACCATCATCACTACCAACAGTGCCAACACTTCATGTCATTGACAAGTTTGACTACAGCTACAGCAAGCTGAATGCAATGTAGTCTATGCACTTTATCCATAGACAACAGTTTGTTTTTTTTCCCCAGTTTGAAGTTCGTATTATGTAACCTAGATGTCGCCCACTTCATGATTCTCGCGAATATTGGTTCGTGATTTTCCAGGATATATTTACTATTTCTATATATGGCGCATCGCTTATACGATATCAAAATGAGAGGTACTTTTTGAATCTATAGAGACGGAAAGTGAAGGATGGAAACAGCCATATTGATTTAACAAGTTTCGTATTATTCTTTCCCTACGTCGGCATCAACGCCTATTGGTCGATTTGGTTACCTATATAAAGACAGAAGTTGGTCTGTTTTTGAGGATAGCTATGATTCATATATGAATAGTAGATGTATGTTCTCGAGAATTGATCATTCTAGAACATGTGAATTTGACATGGTTTCTTGAGGGGCACAGAAACTATCTGTTAGGTTACCTCTGATGAGCATAGCCCTGGCCATTCGTGCCACATCCACAATATAATAACAGTTTCACCAAACAAAATTATGGAATTCTTTCTGGTTCCAACTCGGACTCCAAGGAAAACGATCCCACTAATTCTGGTTTTATATGACAAATCTTGCCAAAATACAATGTTTGCCCCTCATCAACCTGTCAAATGACGTAATTCTGGAATGATTAATTGGTGATGGAAATTATTTGATTGTTAATGTATCTCACTCAAAAGGTTATGCTTTCATCTTCTGAATTTTTGTTTCCAGTTCGGGCTCGTTCGGAGAGTCAATTACCAACAGTAAAACTCATCATACCTATATTCACACTGAATTCATCGATCACATCATCGATTGTTTACTGACCTGAAACGTTTTTGGAAATGGGGGTCCCTGTGACGGCCCAACGATATACGGCGTCGATTTTTTTGGCCATGGCAGAAACCATGCGACCTGGTGTTTCGACGGTTTGTGCCTCGTCCAAGCACAGTCTCCACCATTTTATCCTGGTCAGAGGGCTGCCAGGATGCGAATACTTTCTTTCTCTTCTCAAACTGATAGCCTGATGAACAACTACGAGTTTAGAATGAAAAGGGGCTACTAGACTGATAATGAATTAGTGGCATTCATTGAAAAGGTATATTCTCAGATATATTATGAACATGAAAAAATGGAAATATATATACAGGGTGATTCATGAGGAGACTCTTATAGCCAAATCATGGTATATAACCTCTTACGAGGTGAAATGGTGAATAGGCGGAATCAAGACGAGTTGATGTATATGTACAAGGTGTTCTTGAAATAAGTGCACATATTCAGCACATTGATATGATACAGTCTAAGGAATATTCCCATGATATCAGAGTTTTTCTAATTCTTCTAACTGACGAGAAATTTCATCCCAAAAATGGAACAAAATACGAGAGAAAAATGAAGTACGCGACTTTAAAACAATTTAAATGATTGAACTCCGCGTGATTGTGCCTACCGCATGGAAATTTGCACAGAGGTGACGTCAGATTTGCTACAGTGTAGAACTTTGATGGAAAAAGGGGTCTAACCTCAAATTTTATTTTGATCCCTAATTTTTTTTTATTACTTTGGAGACCGATATTTCAGAATCGATTCATCTTAATTGGCTGAAATTTGGCAGCGACGTTTCTCTATTGAAACTATTCAAGATGTCATATTATTATGAAAGACAAATACAGATCCGGATTAGGAAAAATTCATTTTTCATTGTTCTGTAAGAAAGTTCACTTTGTGAAAAGAAAACAACAGGAAATAACGATATCTGAAGATATTTCCTACATTCTTTCGTCGAAATTGGCGAATTCAAGATGGCGGACGAGTTTTGTAATTATGATCCGAATCTATTCAAAATTTGTATCTAGGGGTGTTCAAAATATATTTTCTTCGTGATATCTCTTCTAGTACTAGCTCGGTTATTCATTTTTGAATAATCAGCAATCAAATTATCTTTCCACATTCACCCCTCTCTGCCACTTTCTATATTATTTTTTATGTCGTCTTCTCGCAACGAAAAAAAAAAATGCTTTCAGACACCTCACCCGACGTCCTCTACGTACAGGTACCACAATAATCGTTAGCTACAGAATAACAAATATTGTTCCGTAACGATTATCGTTCGATAACGATGTCGTTGAGCATTTCAAAATTGCCCCCTTCAGTCTTCAGTTAGGACGACAATGTAAGTGAGAACAATAAATGGTAGTATAAACGCTCATCCTGAAGATCCTGATCAGGATAGAAGAAGAAAACCATTCAATCATGCGATTGTCATCGGTACTTGATGAGTAATGCGAAATTTAAATTTTATTCGACGTTTTGAAGTTGATCAAAATGACCTGTCCCTCTGGATGTAACTATCCATATGAGTACTGCTGTGTCCATTGTAAAGTTATCCAAAAGAAACACAACATTTGAATAGGAGCACCACTAAAAAAAATCGTTCATCCTGAAGATCCTGATCTCCTCAGAAATACTAGAAATTCATATGCGCCACTTAGTAAATGGGGAAGTTTCCTACATTTTATCTCACTGTGAAGTTAGTGAAAAGTTAATAAATACGTATTTTTTCTTTATTTCATAAGATCAAATTTCACTTCAGAAAAAACTTCATAAAAGAGGAACTTTTCTCCTCTACCATTCCTATGACTCACTTTCTGAAAATCCACATTCACACAGTTAAAATACGAGCCCCTGTGCCAGTACGACGTTGCCGACATCTTCAATATGTCTAGATTTTCGGAAATTGTTCCTTGAATTCATAATAACTATATCATAACAGCAATGGGAAATAATAGGTTCTTCAATCCTACTTCGTCAAGTATTATGAATAATTCCCATAACTCTCTCATGGGCTGAATGAAGTTGTTTACTAATTAAGATAAATTATGATATTTTGTGAATGTATCTATAATTTTCCACTATCGTTATATTACAATATGTTATTCATAGCTTGTTGGTCATTTTTTTGCTAATGAATTCGTTCCTTAATAAAACGGATCTATTTTCTAGGAAAGTTGCAGATTATATCTTGCAACAGCGCCTAATACTCCGAGTCCGTCCACACCACTCGAAATACTGACAGGCACAACAAGAGGAAGGAGCCAGGGGTGTCGGCTTCATTTTGCTCTGACCGATGGCAGTATATTAGGAAGGATAGAATCTTTGAATGAAGCCGATAGTGATTCATTGATTCAATGATATTTTCGTTTAGGATCGACCCCTATTCAAGATATTTCAATGCATAAATAACAAAACCATAACCTGTCAGAATGTAGCTAATCTTTAGCTATTCGCTAGCTATATTCTTCACCATCAACTATTTTCAGACTAGATTCAGAATGTACCTACGTCACAGTTTGCCGCCCCGAAAATCAGAAATTGCTTCAATTTGAAAATGAAAACGACTTGGACTCTATCGGTCGCCATTCTGTACAGCGTGGACATGAAACTGGAGAGTTCCGAACTCATTTTATGAAAACTCAACTGAAGGAAACTTCTAGTCCAATAAATAAAGGGAAAAAGTTAACATTAATTACGCACTATTTTCATCTTCCGGTTGGAAGTAGCTTTTGGTACCTCATTAGACAAAGTTTGACTGGAAAACGCGTGCGATTGCGGAGAAAATGGCCCCAAAAGACCAGAAAAATAGGTTTTCAGCCAATATCTCCTAAAATATGGCAGTTAGAGATGTTCGGTTCAGATAAAAATTGAAGTTCAGTTAATTTTCTACAAAAATGATCCTCATCATTTTTCTCGAAAATTTGCCGGGTTTCGATAAAAACGGCACGAAGCGCACCTCGAATAATGAGCTTCTGTTGTATGCCGGAGAGCACAGTCCGTGTATTTACACATCGGCGGGGGGACAAATTATTCAATAACTTTGTTGAAAATGCATATTTTCTCATGATTCAAAGTTCATGTGAAAGAGGAATTCTGCTGCTATCATACCCTGTGAATTGTGTCACGCTTGACTCTTTTGGCCATATCGGAACATGGGTCAAACTTTCTGCTCCCGGTCAATTTTGACCTCGCCAAGAATTTGTTCCTATTTTTTTTGTATTGCACTAATTTACTCAAAATTTTCTTGATTATGGGTCCTCATAAGGTCCTTTGTCATCCCTGAAATTTGTATACCCCAATTTTTTGTAATTTTCATTTAATCTTTGTTTATTGAATCCCAATTTTTTGCTGTTTTTGGAACGCGGGGATGGTTTCTATGATACATCATTTGAAAGCTAAGAAGGTCTACTTTTCGATTGTTCAATTACTTTTTTAGACGAACTCGTCCATTTTTCAATAAAATTAGAAAAAGCGGGGTCAAGGAAAAAACGCACTTTTTTTCGGTGGTTTTTTTCTTTGTGCTCATAAGTTCTAACATTTTATCACCTTAACTTGTGTAACGGGGGAAATCCCACCTTTCCATCGATGTATATAAGTCATACCTTTGATATCCCGGGAAAAATCCAGTATATCTAAATGTACACGCTATAATTTATTACCTTCGTTCCTCCGTCGTTCGCCGCGTGTGGCGTGTGTGCTCTACGTGGCGCTCGGGTCGTCTCCTACAAACCATGCGGCCACGCAGGGTCTGATAGCAGCAGAATTCCTTTTTCACATGAACTTTGAGTCAGGAGAAAATATGCATTTTTAACAAAGTTATTGAATAATTTGTACCCCTGCCGATGTGTAAATACACGGACTGCTCTCCGGCATACAACACAGGCTTCGTGCCGTTTTTCTCGAAACCGGGCAAATTTTCGAGAAAAACGATAAGGATCATTTTTGTAGAAAATTAACTGACCTTCCTGGTCTTTTGGGGCCATTTTCTCCGCCATCGCACGCGTTTTCCAGTCAAACTTTGTCTCATGTTTAATGAGTTACCAAAAGCTACTTCCAACCGGAAGATGAAAATAGTGCGTAATTAACGTTAACTTTGCCTTTTTTTCCTCCTTCATTTATTGGACTATTCCCCATTCAACGACGATACATAAAAAGTGTGGTAATAAAATATGGACAGACGATACCTGTCCATTCTCGGTGAGCCTCAATTCATTCTGCAACACATTATAAGTGGTGACCACGATGTGGTACTGCTTCAACTGCGTGGGATAGACCGGAGTGGCATTGAACCCGTCGTACTGCAGCACTTTCAAGTCTCCCTGCAAGTGCCTGCAAATCTCCTTGCACCATTGAGCCCTAAGCGTAGCGGGGGTCACGATCAAAGTAGCCCCACTTTCCAGCAGGGGCTCGTTCATCCAACACTGAGGACACAGGTACCTACGGAAAAGCGTAAAAAGACTGCACTGTTGTGTGTATTTTATTTCATCTCGGTATTTCGAGTTTTTCTTTGAATTCAACGATTTTCTTTGAATTTGGACTTGATTTTCTGAATGTACACTTTCTTCTCTGAATTCAACTAAAGTGCCTTGCAATTGTATTTAAAATAATTATAAATCTTTTCAAAGTTCCGAGTTATACCTCGAAAGTTTAAAATTCCGAGATATAAGTCGGAATTTTCATGTAAAATTTCGAGTAATAACTCAGAATTTTGAAGTTTTAATCTTTCTATTTAAGGTGTCTCTTCAGCAATGCTCCGTTCTTCGTAGAATTTGGAAGGGTTTACATATTTTCTTAATTACAAGGAATCAAACAAAATTCGTCCCATCTTGTATATATACATACATTACATTAGATTTGAACAAAATAAACCAACTTCAAAAATTGCAAAATCGTGGTATGAGGGTAATACTGAATACAAGTCGTGATACTCCTATTGTATTGATGCAAAATACACTACAATGGTATTCAGTTAAACAAAGGGTATATTATTTCACTATGATTTTTGTTTTCAAAATACTGAACAATATGGCTCCAACTTATTTTAATGCATATTTAATTTTCAACAGAGATGTTCATAATCACGTGAAACTGCAACAATATTCATATTCCCAAAACAAATTATAAAAAGACAATGAATTCATTATTCTTCAAAGGTTTTCACGAATTTAACGAACTACCTGAACAAGTAAAGTATAGTACTTCTTTGATTAGTTTCAAAAACAACCTCAAAAAATATTTGTCAATGTAATTTTCTATAGCTACGTATATATTCATTTCATACTCTCCTTTATTAGTTTTGGTATTATTATTGTTATCACTATCAGTACCTGATGTTTTTATTATTTTATTATTATATAATCATTTTAATAATAATGTGTATTGTTATTAATTAATATTATTTATTATGTATTATTATCATTATTGTTATTTATGTGAATGCTATTCGTTGTATATTAGGGTTTCCTATTTCAATAAAGATCTATCTATCTATCTATATAAAACATAATCTCTGACAAGCCGTTTTAGTATGGAAAGGAGCATTAGTATGGGTTTATTTACCTGCCCGAATATCATTGACACCATGGCAATCGTTTTGAAGTTAAACATGAAATTCATTTTTTTATTTTAACTTGCAAGGTCAGTAACGAAGCGCGATAAACATTTTCTCAATAGAATTTTGGCTCACTCTATGTATATTATGTGCTTATTCATTATCAAAAATAATGTGTTACAGGAGTTGCACACTGTATATCACGGTGACGTAGGGTCCTTCTGCAAAAAATGCTACATGGGATCTTTTGTTTCTTCGCGAACAATGCGCGGTCGAGATTTTTCTGACGTCTACTTTTGGAACACCCTGTATACACATACACATATTCAAGAAAGAAGTCTGAATTCAGAGTGAAAGAGTATGATTTCAGGAAAAGAAAGTCTGAATTCAGAGAATAAAGTCATAATAAGCAAGTAGACTAACAGCTAAATAATTACCGCGAGTAAAAACTGACGTCACGATTAAGTAGTTAGGGGCAGACCATAGCACAGTTGCCATTTGTTGAAAAACAAAACGATTGGAAACTTCAGAAATATTATTTATTCAAATATACATAAATTCTCAATTATCTATTGGCGATATTCTTAATTAGCATAAATAAATCAATTGTCTCAAATTGTTTCTTCATGTGTTGTGGCTTATTGGTTATAAAACATTTGTGTAAATGATAATTATATTAATTCACACTAAAGGACGACAGGACTCTAAAAACTTTTTGTTAACATGATCATAATTGGTGACTTGGCAACCTTGCTTCATCAGTGGAAATGAAAAATTATCTTTCCAATAACGAAACAGCATAAAAGCTGACATCACCATTTATTCTACGTATCGCCAAATAGCGGCCATGATTGTACGTTTGAAATGAGCTCTGAATTTCAACAATTTCAAACAACCCATAGACATTGTTTACAGGAAAAAAGCGTGAGATGTGTTGCAAAAATTAATTAAGGTCCCTAAAACGAAACAGTGAAGAAATTGAATGCCAATAATTCATTATTAGTATACTCGCCCATTCAGACAAAAAGTTTGTATCCAGAGAAAAAGGTCATAGGTACCTTCCGAGGGACTTCTTGTAGCCCAAGCATTCTTGGTGCTGGTATTTGCCACAGCAGTCACATTCGACGGTACCCTCTTCCGAGGTACTGCCGCAGATGCACTGCACTGATCTCTCTTCTTCTTCATCTTCTTTGGTTGCGCTGATATTCGATAGTACGTTGTCGTACCACATTTCCAAAGCTACGCGTGTGGCACTCTTTCTGCTGGAAGACTTCACCCAGTCTTCTGGTACTTTTATTTTTTTAGCTTGGTCTAGGTGGCTGATGTATGGTTTGTTTTCGTCCACTTTGACTGTGGGTTTTTTCGATTGGTGCACGATTTTTAGTTGATGACTGCGCGGGTGTTCTGATTTGATGATTTCGATTTTTGGGTTAAGGAGTATGCAAGCAAGTAATTCTACAGTTTTTCCTAATCCCATCTCATCAGCTAGAATACCGCCTTTGCTGGATGTGGGGATCAGAGGTTTTTCCAAGTTTATGTACCCTGTATATTTGTCGAGGTATATTGTTAAACCAGACTTCATTTCCACAGTGGTGTATAGTGGATGCAATAATTCTAAAATTAATAGAACCTGTACAGGATTTTTGATTATGTTGAACGGTAAGTTATTGCAAAGTTTTTTCTGAATACCAAATTGTCTTCTAGAAATCATCTGAGAACTGCTATACAGAAAATTGAATTTTATTGAATTGTTATAGTTATCATCAATGTATGGATGGATTAATGCTACTGGATGGATTAATGCTACCCGATGGGCTTTAGGATCTAGTAACGCCTTGTGGTGCATACAAGATTTTATTTTTCACGAAAAAATTACCTTAATCGAAGTTGTTTACTTCTTTCTTCTCATAGTATTTCCTGAGTAATAAATTTATTGAACTGCAGAAAAAGACAATTAGCGGGCATTATAATTCATAGTGCCCTTCATAACGCCCTAGCAACCGTTGCCAAGGTATTATAAAGCAGTAATAGACAACGGGAATGGTGAAAAATAAAAATCTTATAGGGCTCTTGAATATCATTGTGCAATGGCTTTATTTACGAAAAATAGACCCATATTATGAAAAGACAGATCATTCTAAAAATTGGTATTCGAGCATTCTCTATCCGGCTGGAATATTTTTATCCGAGTTTTTATCAATACAGTGTTGCCGCTGGTAACAGAAAGAAGTAGCAACTTGGTTATTTCAAATGGAATACCCTACATTTCTTTGCATTTTCAGATTACCCCTGAAGAGCTGATTTCATCGAATGGGAACAGGCAGGAATTATTACAGAGATCTAGGGTCTTCAAGATCAGGAATTTTCAACTTTTGAATTTTCGTGTGTTGAACCTATTCATTAGGTCAAAACGGCTTACAGGTCCCTATCCTAACTTTTGATTCACTATGTACCGACATTTAATTGGAATCAGAATCAGAATCAGAATTCTGACCACCCTGTATATATAGAACAGTTTTCACGGAAAAAGTTGAATAACTTGGGAACCGTGGAGTCAAATACAGAAAACAAAAAACAATTGTGTAGCAATCTTGAAGGTGAATAAGCATATCCGTTAGAAAAACATGTCAATTTTGCCTCTATTGTATTATTTAAATTTTACTATTGGACGAAATTAGTAGAAAATACAATGAAATGTACTAAAATTAGAAACTGGATCAGTAGCGGGAATACAAAGAGTAGAAGATCAAGGTTTTTTTCGTTTTTGAGGTTGGTTATATTTTCAAAACGTAGGGAAATTCAACATGTTTTAGAACGGTTCGTTTCTCGAAAAAAGTTGAGGAGCAATAAAAGTCTCTAAATTGAACAATTCACATAATCCGGTGACTAGATGATAGTAGAGAAGTAATACGAAAAAGTCTGGGAGGATAAAAAAGCCGGTACCTCCAAAAATGTATCACTCTGTAGATTTTGAGAATCTTGGAAATGGAAAATTATTAATCTTTGACCTCATGTAGCTCCCCTGCTGATCGAGATCGGACTCATGTTTACATACACTTTTTTGATTAAAATGATGAGATCTATCACAGATTCCAGTTTGTGCCTTTAAACCTAAATCACCCTGTAAATTGAAAATGGTAGGACACAATTCACATAATATTATTATGGAAGTTACTTCGTTCGCCAACGAGTTCGCTGATATAATAAATATGTACCCTGGCATGTAGCCTCGGATGTACCTAAACTTCGCTGAGAAAATAATCTTCTGAAATCCGTGTACCTACTTGAACCCCTAAAGCTAAACTTCAATTACAGAGTGACATTTTCTAGGAGTTTTCCAAACGGACATGACAAATTTCGAAAATTAATTATTGCCTGAAACATTATGGAAATCAAAATATAAATGGATTGAATGGGATGAATTATTCAATTAAGTTGTTCACATTGAACAATAATATTCAAACAGAAAAAATTACTTTCATGAAATTGAAAAAAAAAACCTACATACCTAAGTGCTCCCATAAGTGTAAATTCGGCATGAAAATGAAGAGAGGTAGGAGCAAAATTGAAAGTACACTTATTCTGGAAAATAGGTCGCGATTTTATCTCTTGAAGTGCACAAAAGTAAATTCTTATCATGTTTGGAAAACATCCTGCGTTCCTAGGGAGGGTATAGGGAGAGGAGGTATAGGTATGTGTTGGTATTTTTTTTTTGAACTATTGGAGCATAGATCTAAATACACTTAAGGAAATCCTTATATTTCTTTTTCTGATGAACAAAAAAAATTTCTAAAAAATATTTTGGATAATTTGGAAATTCATATTGTGGAATACTTATATCTGCTATCAGCAATTTTTGTTTGGGATATTTCAGCTACTCCTTGCCAATTTCAAGAAACACAGAGAGAAATTATATATTATGAATTACAGTATTTTCAAACAGAATAAAGATAATATGTTTAAAATTATTGTTATTGGGCATAAAAACTATTAGGTATTCTATTAGTCATAATTCATTGACAATGATTTTTAGCATTTAGACATCAGTTGGCAATATCAGAAATATATCAGCATTAATAATTATTTTTGTCAATGAATTAATAGAGATATCATTGCCATTTTTGAGATTGATGTTCCAGGATTATTTTTTGCTGTTTTGTCACTACAATGAATATGTTTAATACTTCTGGGATAGGGGAAAACCTGAGAAGAAAACAAGGAAAAAACTACACTTCTACTCTTATGATAAACTAGTCAGTAATCTATTAATCTGATTCAATATATTCACCATAATTGAAGTTAATTACTGAGGGACATATACCTGATTCATGTGATGATTGTTTTTCTTTGTGAAGCATCCATCTTACTGACATTTCTTGATATGGTCTAAGTTTTGGTATCAAGCAAGAATGTTCAACATTTTCATTTTTCAAATTAACTGACATTTCATCTCTTGCCCTGGAAGATAATTTTTCAAATAGTTTAGCTATTTCAGCTGGACCATTCAAATGTGTGCCATTTATTGAATCAATATCTGAAATAAATTATATAAGAAAAAAACCAATACTTTTAGGTGATCTTATATTCTACCATTGCCTGAATCTGTTTCTATGCCATATAATAACTTGAACAGAGTTTTAATACAGTTTCCAAGTTTTGGATGGAATTTCGGCAGTGGTAGAGTTGTAAAAAACAATTCCAAATGAACTTCACCCTCAATTATTTTGAAATCAAAGCTGAAAACCTTTTGGCTGAATATCTCTGAAATAGTAAGTTATATGTCTTCATTAATTATTGTATTATCTATTATTTTCATTCACCAGAATACATCACAGTGGAAAACCTCATTTTTTCATATGACTTATTGTGTTGTAATAATGAGTTTTTTAAAATTCACCTTTCAATAGATCAGTATTGGCATAACTCTTCACAATGACCATTGAAAGTTTGTCAAACTGTATTAAAATAGTTTCGAATGATGATTTTGACAATTGGATATCATTTTCCTGACCATTTTCTTGTTCTGTAGATCTGAAAGCAACTTGGCATTCACTGTATTCAGTGGGCAAAACATTATTGGTATATCCGATGTTGATTTGGCCTATAAAAAATTGTTTGTGCTCTTCACTAGTCAACTGGATTTTGGAGAATTTGTTGGTGATGGGTATGTTTTTGAAGTTAGACCTTCTCCGTTTTTTTATGGCTGGAATATAATCATAGTACCCACAGTTGAGTTCAGATTCTTGTTTTCTTTTCGGGACATTCTTCAGTCTTCCCATTGAGATGAATAAGTAGAACTTTTATATCTCCTGAGATGATGAAAACAACAGATTTACGAAAACAATCACAGACTAATCTTATTACTATTAATATGATTTTCGGTTAATCTGATACATTATGACCCTTCATGGGTTATAAACAACAATCACACTGATCGAGTATAGGTCTATGAGTAGAACAAAAATCGATAGATTTTTATAATTTCGTATTTCTTTCCTTCCCCACAATCAAAAACAAGAACATCCAAATTAAATTAACCCTGTGGCCTGTACCTAACCTCATTCTTCTTTCTATTCAAAAGGTCGTACTTCGAAAATCGTCGGTTTTTGGATGAGATTTTGATCACAATACAGTGTTGCCAACTCAGCCATTTTGTGGTTATTTCTAGCCATTTTTGAACTCGTCCAGCTAGGGTCCCTTGTCCAGCTACTAAAAATTGCATCTAGCTATTTAGCCATGTTTTCTAGCTATTGTTTTTCTGAATTCCAATTGAGACTTCTTCATCTTCATAATATTCCCATAGATACTTCATTATATTCTCGATCTAATCTCAGTCAAATTTAGACCAGTAGGTATGTATTCAAACTACGTTTGTACATTCTTCATTTTCCTGCAATTTCACGTATTACTTTTTATAAGCCTACTTTTCGTCCTAGAATTAGTCACTCCATAAATTTTTCTCCGAGTTGGATTTCCGAAAATATATTCAGCACACATGACATGAGAACAGTAGTCCAGATACCCACATCCAGGTTTTCACGACCGTTTCTCAATCACAAGGTTCAGCTCATTCAGCTCATAGTTAAACTATCTACTGCTCAGCTTGAAATCAGAATTCATTCAGTCAATTCAGTCAACCCTGGTATATAGTCTAAGAACAGTCTCTTTTGGTGAAATATATTAAGCTTTTAGTACAAATTGTGAGTTCGCTTCCTCGCAGAGATTATGCTGGAGTAGTAAACTCTAAATCTAGAGGATTGTTCAACTATATCTTGGTATAGTTGAATCAGGAATTCCATATAGAAATTAGGTATAAAACGCCAATGACCTCAATATAACCTAAAAAACAACAAATGTCAAAAATCTGATAGGTATTTATTTGAGCCGATACCACTCGATACATCTAGAAATTTCAGAGTAGCTACTCCTTTGATTTATTTCCACTACGTGTACCAATATTTTTAAAACAAAAATTGTTCGCCTGTATGTTACTGTGGTGAATTATTTCTTGATAATGGAAAGGGTTCGATCTCTTCACTACATATTGTATGTGAAATTCTTCCATAATCACGAGATTTTTGGAAAAAATATATTTTCAGCCTATGTGAAATTCTTCCATATCGTTAGTGATTTTCTAAAAAAAAATAGCACCTGTATAAAAAATATCTCCCCCCCCCTCCCCCCGTATAATTCCATTATCAACACTAGTCATAGATAAATAATTTTTTGTTCGGAAATTAATCGGTTGGCAGCATGATTCAACTTATTAGTCATTCATTCGGGACCAGGTGGTAAATCAAGACAGTCTTATATTAGATGTCATCACATGCGGTCGAATTTTGTGATCGACATCGGAATATACGCGAAAGGAATAATTATTTATCGTTCCAAACTGAGTGTTCCCTAATAACTGAGTGATGGCATTGATTCGTATATAGTGTTTTTGTCTAGTGTTTCGTGTTGTTTTATCAAAGCCTCACTTTTTTCACGCTGGTGAGTGCTGAGAAATTCTCTCGATTTTTCCTCATATTTCTCTGTTCATTTAACTTCATTACCCTATACAGGGTATGTCACGACGAGCTTACACTATCCGAGAATCAGTCGGGAGAAATCCATGAAAATGTTCATGCTTATATTGTGGTAGACGCTTTTTTCATTGAAGATATGTTCGACAATGCAGTGTTGCCGCTTCTACTAGAAAGTAGTACCAACATTGATTTTTCGAATGGAACACCCTGTATTTTATCGCATTTCAAGATTCTCCCTGAAAACCTGATTTCATCGTTGTATCATACTTATCATACTTGGGGTTTATCGAAAATCATTACAGAGATATTAAAGGGTGTTCAAAATCGATATTTCTCAACTTTACGATTTTTTTTGTGTCCAAAATATTCATTATTGGTCAAAACGGCTCACATGTCCCTATCTCAACTTTTGTTTAACTATTTAGTGATATTTAATCGGAACAGATACAGGGTGGTTCAAGATTGAGAAGCAAAGTGTTGATACTTGTCACTGAATTGGAAAAAAAACCATCCAGTCACGACGAATCGATCAAAGAATCCGCGAAGAAAAATGGCCAGAGAATACTTTACAGAATTCAGATCTTTATATTCGTTTGGCCTTCAAGGTCCTTGATATAAACCCGAAGAATTGAACATGTGGAAGACGCCTACTGGAAAAACCACTATATACGGAAAGAAAGCGGATATGTAGCAATCTAGTTACGGACGTTTGAAATATTATTAAGGTATGTCTCAGATTGAACATCTATGTATTTCCTCTAATGATATTTTCTGATTCAAATGTACTTCGATTCAAATTTGATGTTGAGTTGCAGATCCAAGAAGCAGAGTTTGATACTTGCCACTCAATCGGAGAAAACCATCCAGTAAATACGGACCGAACAGAAGATCCGCAAAGAGAACTGACCAGAGTATACTTTACAGAATTCAGATCATTATATTCGTACGGAAGGCGATATATTGATATCCTTTCCAGATTCTCAAGAAAACAGATAAGACAGATATTCAGCTTTATGTCTCTATGGAAACACGACAGGTACCCTTACGAGGGGAGAGTATCAACTCGGCGTTTATAAACCCTCTCTGCAAAGGAGGTAGGCGCATGGTGGGTTAGGTATATACAGTGTTCTTCATTGCAGAGAAAATTGTTGTTTATCTGCCTGCATTGTCTTCATTGAGATAGTTGATGAATTGATAAATCACAGAAATATATCGCGTTCCAGTTATGAATGTTGAAAACAATATCCAGACTTTCCATAGATTCATATTCTATGTAGGTCTCACGATTAAAATTTCAAATTGATACTTAGTTTTAGATCTGAGCAGCACATTGTTTGGCCTTCAAGGTCCTTGATATGCCCCACGTAATTGAACATGTGGAAGATGCCTACTGGAAAAATCACTATACGGAAAGAAAGCTGATATGTAGCAATCTAGTTACGGACGTTGAAAATATTATTCAGGTATGTCTCAGATTCAACATCTATGTATTTCTTCTAATGATACTTTCTGATTCAAATGTACTTCGATATAAATGTGATGTTTAGTTGCAGATCCAAGAAGCAGTGTTTGATACTTGCCATTCAATCGGAGAAAACCATCCAGTAAATTTGGACCAAACAGAAGATCTGCAAAGAGGACTGACCAGAGTATACTTTACAGAATTCAGATCATTATATTTGTACCGAAGGCGATATATTGATATCCTTTCCAGATTCTCAAGAAAACAGATAAGACAGATATTCAGCTTTATGTCTCTATGGAAACACGACAGGTACCCTTACGAGGGGAGAGTATCAACTCGGCGTTTATAAAACCTCTCTGCAAAGGAGGTAGGCGCATGGTGGGTTAGGTATATACAGTGTTCTTCATTGCAGAGAAAATTGTTGTTTATCTGCCTGTCTCGTCTTCATTGAGATAGTTGATGAATTACAAAAATATATCGCGTTCCAGTTACGAATATTGAAAAAAATATCCAATATTCTATGTAGGTCTCACGATTCGAATTTGAAATTGATCCTTAGTTTTAGATCCGAGCAGCACATCGTTTGTCATTCAAGGTCCTTAATATATTCCAAGTACGTATTTGAAAATGTGGAAGATGCCTACTGGAAGAAACATTATTCGGAAAGAATGCGGATATGTATCCATCAGTTACGGACGTTGAATATATTATTTAGGTATGTCAGATTCAACATCCATGTAATTCATTATTTTATGATATTCATTTTCTGATATGCGAATGTACTTCGATTAATATGTGATGTTTTGTTGCAGATCATAGAAGCAGTATTTGATACTTGCCACTCAATCGGAGAAAACCATCCAGCCCATGGGAACCGAACAGAAGATTCACAAAGTGAACTGACCAGAGTATACTTATGATGACTAGTTATGTTATATATACTTGGTATATTATGATCTGATAGTCTGACATTGATGTGACATTTGTATAACATAATTACTTTCTGGAAACATGAGCCTGGCATTATGGTTTAATGTTGCTGAGTCGATTTTTGAAACTCACGGAGTTACTCCACAGATGAATAAATTCGGGACAGTGATTTCAATGTTGGATTGCAATATTGCGCTCTGGGTTGGTTTTGTAGTTCTCTCTGTATATATTTTTTTCCTATCAACCATTCGTCTCAAACACACTGTGTATTTTCTAAATATTCATCGATAAGATTTTAATCTGTCGCTGGTTTTTCTGCTTACCCTGTAATAAATTATAATATTCCATTTGGTACAAGATATTTGATCTGCCTCTGGAATACAGTTCGCTCTGTTTATGATATTTCTAATATTCATTCAGCTCAAAAGCACTGAGTATTTTTTCAATTTCCATCACTAAGATTTTGATCTGGCTCTGATTATTCAGGTCACCTAGTGATTAATTATAATATTCCATTAGGTTCAAGATATTTTATCTGCCTCTGGTTTTGTAGGCCGCTCTGTATATGTTTCATCTGATATTCATTCGTACCGAACATACTGTATATGTATTCATTTTCCATCCAACTCATAAGTCAACTGTTACACGTCATCGGTCATCTGTCATCGTTCATCGGTCATAGAATTGCAGAATTTTTAGAACTGGCTGATGTCATAAATTATACCGGGCATAGTTCACTGATCTATATAAGTTTCAGAAGAACCTCGGCAAGTTTACTTGCAAATTCTGGAGGAGGCATCCTTGCTTGGTAGTCTACGAATATCGCTGAAGGGTATGTGCAGCAATCTCTCACAAAATAGCAAAATATTTCGAATCAAATTGTGGGTCACTGAAGTTTTTTATGAAAATATCAAGAGAACTGCATTGGCTCCGGATCTCACTTCTAGTGGTATTCAAATAACCACTGCTCAAAACTGCACTTTAAACATTGATTCATACAATTATTACTCTACCACAAATTGAAAATATATAGGATGCAAGAGTGAAAATAACGTGCCCATAAGTTCTACTGTATATCTACTAATTTGTTACTTCCATCAATAAATTATTTGGAAATGACTATTTATTCAAGGGAGGCGGAAAAATCATGTATAACATGGGGGTAAAGTATATTCTATTCTTCATTTTCCTGCAATATCACGTATTACTTATTATAAGCATAGAAATCATATTATATATACTGACATATAATATGATTTCTATGATTATGAGCCAACTTTTCGTCCTAGAATTAGTCACTCCATAAATTTTTCTCCGAGTTGGATTTCCGAAAATATATTTAGCACACATGCCATGAGTACAGTAGTTCAGATACCCACATCGAGGTTTTCAGCATTTCTCAAGCCAAGTCTCAGCTCATTCATCTCATAGTTAAAGTACTGCTCAGCTTGAAATCAGAATTCGTTCCGTCAATTCAGTCAGTCTAAGAACATCAGTTTCTTCTGGTGAAATATATTAGGCATTTAGTACAAATTAAATGTTCTCTACCTCGCAAAGATTATGCTGGAGTAGTAAACTCATGGTCTTGGTATAGTTGGATCAGGAATTCTATACGGAAATTACGTATGATACGCCAATGACCTCAATATAACCTAAAAAACAACAAATGTCAAAAATCTAGTGTTTATCCCCAGAATTGAATAAGAATGGAACTATATAACTGTTTCACAAACCAGAGTGAGAGGAGATGAGGATCTGTCCGTACCCTGTTAAGACAATTTAACGTCAATTTCCATCAACCAAAATGCACGATTCAGTACTACCTGGATTGGTCCTTCTACAGACAGGGCGCAACAAATAACCTGATTTCGTTGTAGTAAATCATTTCAATAAAAGCATGTTCTAAATTTTTGGAACTTCATTAGTATGTATTGATTTTTAAAAACTGGATCCCATTATTTCTAGTTCTATTTATGGAATATGTATAATATTTGATGATCTTATTTATTGATGTTTATTCGATTGGGCTTCAACGCAAGCGAATATGCGGGTAAAATATATATGCTAGTATCAAATAAAAACTCAATTCAATATATACTATCATAATACATAGGTATATATCCATCCCTGTAGCGCATGCATGTGAAATGCATGCTAACGCTATACAGAAGGAATATTGATTATTTCACGAACTACATTTAGTTGCCTTGGATATAGTGGACACTCACACCCCACACGGGATCACAGAGTTGATTTCAACATGAAAACAGAATCTGTTTCTGTGATCCTTAAGCTCACAATTTTCAAAACACTTTTTACATACAGTAGGTGAGTTTAACGTCCATCCTAATCAAATATTTCTGGAGTCTTTTTTTCATGATTAAAGCACATACCATCGATTGCTTCAAATGTATATCTATAAACCATGATTATAAGCCATGCGAAGACCCGTTTCATAATAATTATACATCCGATATGTTGCATTCGCCCTGTATGGGAGGAAGGAAAGGTAGAGATGGAGTGTTTCCTGCAACATCATGTATAAAATTGAGTGGAATTTTTGGTGAGTGAGAACTTTGAAACGATAATAGGAAATTTGTAAGTCCGTTACAATACGAATATACTTGAAGAAATATGATCGAAGCTTATTATATTGGTATAAACCCCCACGATTGATGATGAACTCTGACGTCACTTGAATTATCCATATCCAAAACCCGACATATCCATATTGAGGTCAAATTGTGGAAAAATTAGAAAAACTGTTAGAATAGGTTACCATCAAAAATTTGAATGCATAAATATTCAGCGGGCATCTGAATAACATATATTTATTGAATTTTTGATTGAAAATCGTAGATAATTGTTTCAAGAACGCATGAATATTTCCAAAATATGAATAAACAAAATGTATTCGTCTGGTTCCGATTTCCAATTATGGATTTGTCGGGTACCTATTGTACCTCAAGTAACAGACATGCATGCATAGATGCATAAAGATAGCTGTGATTGGCTGATTCGGATCTGTCGGTGTTTAATTCCAATATTATTATGTTACTTGGATTTGTCGGGTTTTGAAACAAACTGAATATTCTAGATGCAAATATAAAGCTTGAATTTGGTGGGTTTGCGGTGTAGTTTGATATCAATTCGTAGAGGATCGACCAACAGAGAGGAATCCATTGCCGTATCTAGCTCATTTTTGACAAAAAATGGAGTCGTCGGGTTTTGAAACTAGCTGATTCATTCACTTCTAACTTGCTCATTTTCGGATGTTTCAAAACAATTTTATTGAGAGAAACGGCATTGTGATATTATTTATTGATGATTACTGAAAAAGTACCGATTGGAAAACATCGCGTCGATTCAGCAGTCATCCATCAGGCATGATAAAAAGATCAATCTCAGCATATAAGCCTTATATAGATGGAATAATTTTACCAGAACATTTGACAAAACAATGCTATATAATTTTCATTTACGTTTTGTTTTTGGTCACCAATAGTCACCATCGAGAGTTATATAATTGACGTCAGTTTCCATCAACCAAAATGCACGATTCAGTACTACCTGGATTGGTCCTTCTACAGACATAACCTGATTCCGTTGTAGTAAATCATTTCAATAAAAGCATGTTCTAAATTTTTGGAACTTCATTAGTATGTATTGATTTTTAAAAACTGGATCCCATTATTTCTAGTTCTATTTATGGAATATGTATAATATTTGATGATCTTATTTATTGATGTTTATTCGATTGGGCTTCAACGCAAGCGAATATGCGGGTAGAATATATATGCTAGTATCAAATAAAAACTCAATTCAATATATACTATCATAATACATAGGTGTATATCCATCCCTGTAGCGCATGCATGTGAAATGCATACTTACGCTATACAATGCTATATAATTTTCATTTACGTTTTGTTTTTGGTCACCAATAGTCACCATCGAGAGTTATATAATTATATATATTGAGCTCACTATATTAGATACCTATATTAGATTACTTATATTAGCGGTCTTAGCCGTTTCATTATACCTTTCTTCAAATATATTTCCAGAGGATTCAGAAGACACCATCCTAGTGAGAGGGTGTGCATTAGATAGTGGAACTTTAACAACTGATACTGAATTAGTTAGAATGTCTCATTGTGGAGCCTTCCGTTATGATAACAGGTATGGTAATGAATTACGATGGTAAGTTGCCATATAACCTTAATTATTTGTTTATTCAAGGTATGTTCGTGGATGTGTACAAAGCTGTAACGACGCAGACGCTTGTAATAGAGCTATGGATTCGAAGCATATCGCAATTTTGAGTTCAATGCCAGCTATTATTATTTCAATGATTATTTTTGTTTCACTCTAGGATTATGAAGATGAATCATAAACACACAGTTTACACCCTTTCGGTGTATACTGTGTGTTATTATTCGAACAAATTCAAGCACATATTATTATAGTTAGCTGAATAAATTTACGATTCCGTTTACGTTGCGTGTTTTTTATTTATAGTATGTGTACTAATACCATAAGTTCCTTGCACATTATCATCACCAAAACGATCATATATGTGTGAACTATTTTATTCAATAAATATTTGATTCATTATCTCAGATATGATTGAGATGTTTATACACCAAAATCTTCATGATTGCTGAAAATATGAGGACTCAATTTCAACTGTTTGAAGTCAGCGCCATGTTTTATTAGTAACAAAATATAACAAAAAGCGTCAGTGGAAGCACCATGAATAACATATACATCTTGTCTTTGTACCACGTAAGCCAATGTCGTATATGGGCAGTGTCTCATATAAAATGTGTCCTCGATCTTGCACCTTGCTTGTGTCATGTCATGTGTCATTGTCATTGATTAGTTCCTTATCATTTTGTCGTTGTTTCTATTTACTTACGTCTCAGATGTATATTTTAATTTTATAATTTGCGAAACAGAAATTATTTTTAAAATATCATTAAGTTATGTCTCTTCTAAATAAAGTGAGTATACACACACAATGTTTCTGTTCAGCGACAGTGAGAAAAATATAACCTTAAAATTTTGAACTCCCTGAAATGCTTAGAATTCCTTTCAAGGTGGTTTTAGAGAAGTTTGAGGAAAGAGTTGATGATTTATCGTCCCTGTAGCTGTTTCCTATTTACAGGTAGTACCGAAAATTGTGATACAAAGCAATGTAGCCCGTTTATTACACACAACCTCAGTCTGCCACAAAGTCCAATCAGGAAGGTACAGAATAACCCCAAAGAAAGATCTTCCTCTAACTTATGAAATGGCAAATCCCCCTCACCAAATTGCCCATCGAAAGTCTTGGAATTCTTGGAACACATGTAAGAACATTACAATATTTTTATTTGACCCAGTTCCTTTTATATTTTATTGATGATAATATTGAATGACCCATGGAGAGATAAAATGCATGTGAATTTGACTCCTAATGTAATTCTTGTTTTGTTGGTTGTGAAAACATATTTTGATCTCTCTGTTTTTCTTCTAGCAAATCTTGATGGTGGTTTGAGATCATCAGAAATAGCTGTAGAGGATGTATTTATTAGAAAATTCATAACAGGAACATGGCATAGTCTATTTCTAAGCGAAATTATCATTAAGAGACAGCATAACATAATTAGGATAGCTGGTCTTGTCTACAGAGGGGTTAGTGCAAGAAAGATGTACTTTTTACTAGGATATACTGAGGAGTTGCTTAGTTTTTGGTTGCAGTGTCCTGTAAAAATGGAAATTCAGACTGTTCCAGATAGGAAAGATGTTGTTTTCAAATATATTTAACTTAAACCATATGGAATTTAGTTTGAGAAACCATTTGATTATCTGTTCAAAGTGGTAATAGTACTCCAGAAATGATTGACTTCATATCAACATAACAGTATGAAGATAGAGGCAACTAAAGGTCTGGTAGTATAGTATCTTGTTTGTAGGATTATATGTGCAACAAGATTTGAAAAAAAATCTATCAATTTTCTTCCACTTGGGATGGGTCAGACATTTTGTGCTATTTGTTTTCAGCCATTATGGTCAAACTAAGTGTTAGGAGAGTGTTTATATTGAATGCATTGTAATTTGATTTTGTCAATGTCAAATATAATTATTTGTTTGAAAATTGAGATGTCCAACCCAACTAGTTGCTTCTGCTCCTATTTTCAAAAACTAAAAATTCAAAGGTCTTTAATCTGATGAAATCTCAGATGGAACTATAATAATTCCAACAGTGGACTGATTTTATTCACATTGGACATTTAACATTCAACACCTTTGTAGCTGAGATGTTTATGTTTATAATCCCTCTAGTGCTAGTTGGTGGACGATGGTGCTAGTGTGCCCACAGACTAGCTCGCTGATATGAACAATGGAATGTGAGTTCCAAACGTGTGGTTCTCATATTCGATGATAGATGGCGTGAACGATGTACAATTTCCAAGGTTGGTAGAACTGATGATAGTCCGGTCGACGATGCAGGAATTCAATAATAGCTGATAAGAAGCATCTAGAGACAAGGCGCAACAAATAATCCGTACCCAAGCATCTCGACCTTGAAATATCTGTCATGAGTGCCATGTTTTCAGCATATACAAGATTTTGTTGAAATTTCAAATAGAAATATTATAAATTGAGAGCATTAGTAGTTTATTGAGGGGGTATTGATATTATATTATTAGTTGAGTGAGTGTATTGTGCTTTCATCATGGACTGACTGCTGCAATGTGTAGGGATTATATGAGGATTATATTTGAAAATCCGAACTTTCCTGTCGTTCATGAAGTCATCTTTGACAGTCGAAAATATAACGCACCATTCCCATTTAAACAAAGAATTGTGAAAATGAAAATGTGAACTCAAATAAATGTGTCATGATGCCTGTGAATTTGGTTTGAAAGTTGAAACTTCGGAAATTTATAGCAAGATTCTCCCACGCCTCGCTATTTTTACAAAGTAGAGGTGATATCCAGAGATTTCAAAACTCCTTTCGATAGGAAGTGATAACACCATTTGACTTTCTATACTTCTATGTTTATAATTTCTATACATCTATATTGTAGCTAAGCTTACAATAAGAAATAAATAACGCTTGAAATTGATTCTGCAGAGTGCAAATATGCATGCCTACCAACTGATATTTTCATAATGATGTCATCAGATTGGTAAGTGTTTTCCATCCCAGCCAGCACAAAGAGGTCCTAAAGATATCTTGAAGAAATCCTTTTAGGAAATTGTGATGCCTTTTGTAACTTCTTTGAGAGATCGCCGAGAGTGCTATATCTATGCCAAATGTCCGCCACCTAGGCTGAGCTCAGCGAGGTCTTGAAGATATCGCACGCAGAAATTCTCATACAATGCCCTCAGGCGCGCACTTTGAGATATACGCTTTCATCGCCACTGGCGATAACTGAAAGTGCTCGCAATCATGAGCTGTTTGAGAAATTCGCATACATTGCTTTGTGACGAGGACATTGGGAGATTCGCATCAATTGCTTCTGTCGAGGTCTTTAAGTGCTCGCGACTACGAGCTGTTTGAGATTTTCGCACGCATCGCCTTGTGAAGAGAACTTTGGGAAATTCGCATCAATTACTAATAGCGAAATCTTCAAGTGCTCGCAACTATGAATTGTTCAAGAATCCGTGCACATCACCTTATAACGAGGCCTTTAAGAGCGATATTTGCATCAATCGCCACATGATCGCCATTAATATGGTAAGGTGTTCAATGTTTGAGAGGTCATTGGTTATCAGCAGTCTCCTGTCGGCGAAGTCTAACTAGCGCCAGCTATATTGTTTGGGGTGGAGTTAAATTTACTGGATATTTATTTCAGCGAAAAAGATTGAGTTACCAAACTTAGAGTTAGATCCACGTAATGAGCTTTAATTATATATTATCCTATAGCAAGACATTGATCAAGTAAACTTTATCACTTGAAAAAATCTCCGAGGAGTTGGCCATGTATCCTTTAAAAAAAAGGTCGTCCGATATCTACCCACGAATTTGAGGTATAGATATTTGATTCTCGATCCCACCTGAATTAGAACATTTTTGTCTTTTTCGTCAGAGCAGATAATTAATTATCATTAATTCACTGCAAAATTTGAAATAATCAGTAAGAAAATCTAGTATCTAGTATACAATTATTATTATCATAGATTAATGACTCCCATTTCATGTTAATACTGGGTGTCCCAAGTTATCGTAAAGGTACCGTCAAAAAATTGCTTACTCGACAAGATGAACAAAAAATAGTAAAAATGCTTCAAATGACATCAGAGAACTTTCTTTATGACTCAAAAAAAAGTGTATAAGATTGGACAGCCACCTGGTAGCAACTCCTCAATTTTCATTTAATGGACTCCCTGTATATTGTCATTGAAAATTGCCAATCATCCTATTTCGGGAATGAACGATAGCACATCGGTACTTTGTATTTTGTTCATTAATAACAACATTAACAATAAAAATTTTTGACCTCATTTACGTTACATCGATTGAAAATTGCCTCCTCCCATGTTCGTAAAAATGTCCCACAATGAAATTAGATTAATTATTACACTAGGTAGGTACCGTCTGCAATGATTGATGTTCTGCAGTTCAAAATGGAATATCTGTCATTAATATTTTGAAACAAAAATGCAATCCATACTTCTTATTTGTGAACTTCTTGAACACATAGGTGAAAGCAATTTGTCATTTGAGTAACGTAAAAAAGTCACAAAATGTTCATGTTTTTGTTGTTATCAAGAACAAAACACGAAGTATGTGCTATATCGTTGTATTCCAAATAGATTGACACGCAATTTTCAGAGACAATATGCTACTAGACCAGTATCTACCATCCGGGGGCTGCCAAATATATCACATTCTTCATAAGCCATTAGGAAGGTTATTCAATGCCATTTAATGCAGTTTTTTAATGCTTTTGATATCTTGACAAATAGGCGAGATATTGCCTGTAAACGATAACTTGGGACACCCAGTATTTGAATTATTAAGGCTATTGAAAAAAACAGCTCAATATTTTTGTAGGAATATTCATTAATTATTCAGGTTATGTTTGTGATTACTTTAGGAGCTCGCAATGGGAAATTCTCGATCTTGTTACGTCCAGGATATCCTTGGGTGCTCGCAGAAAGAAATGCCTATTCATTTCCTGTTATAGATAACCTCAAGGATTCGCAATAATGAGGAATATATCAAATCTGAGGCGAGATCTCCGCGATTTCTTTCGGACGACTCCAGAGAGTATTTCCCATGGTGACAGCCTATAGTGATCTTTGATACCTCGCAGAAGAATTTCGCATTTTGATCCTGAAGATAACTACTTAGAGATATCGCGGAGAGTACCGTGTTACCTGGGATCCTTATGGAATATTGAATGAATACATAAAAAAAGCCACACACAATAAATATCTATATGGGCGTGTCAAAGATATTGTGCATGTAAATAATTGTTTTTTTTCTGTGACGGGAAAAAAGTTTGGCATTTCATCTCTGTTGGCAGGTTATAAAATGTCACATTTCATAAATTACTTTTTTCCCGTGGGAAAAAAGTGAGTACTTCTTTCCCGGATATTTATCACATATATATACTCTGTTAATGGCTTTTGTTGTGCTATAGTTCCGAAAAATGAGTCAATAATACCGTCTCCGAGAAAGAACTGCAAGTCCTTTTATCTTCCATTCGACTTCGCGGTTTCGTATATTACTAAACAACTACTGAATTCGCAATTTTTTGAAATCAAATCACAGAATTGAACTGACAGAAGTGACATCAGATATTTGATTACTTCAAAAGAATGATAAAGATGCCTATAAAACGCAGGTGTCCCTACTGTTAAAAACTTGAAATTTTACGTCGATAATTTTCAGATTTCGAAATAATGTGATATCTTCTCGATATTGATTCGTCCTTCCTTCTGTCACAGAAAAAAATAGTGTATTATACACGGGAAAAATATTAGATTTTAGCTCACGGTTTTTTGTCTCCCTCCGCTACGCGTCGGGAGACAACACAACCTGGAGCTAAAATCTACTACTTTTTTCCCTTGTATAATAAATAACTATTGTTGTGAAAAATAACAATATGCTGAAGATATTTTATTTCATTTTGATACACAACAAGAAATTCTGGTTTTGCATTTGACTATCCTCTGGGAAACATTTCTATGAACTATAATTTCTGTGATGAAGACTAAGATGGAAACTAGATGTATTATCATGAGCGTCCCAAAAATTGGTCTCAAATTGTCCAATTTGATTGAAGTTTCATCAATTATATCATCGACGTCAGCAAATATACTGTCACGTTTATCCACCAAAATGTCTTTCTCCCACTTGGCTATGAATCCAACATTATTGATCCGATCGATAATCCTTTGAAATATATTATACAGAGGAAATCCATTCCTCATGATTATGATAATAGGATAAGTGACAACTTGGTCCTTCAAACAATATAACATTTTCTTCTTTGTACTCAGGTATTCAATGTTACTGAATAAATATTCCTTGTATAACTTTGATGTGCAGAAGGCAGCGTCTTTCTCTAACAACACTTTTTCAAAACATGCTGTGGAGTTGTAACAATCTTTCCACCTTTCATGAATAAGTCCAACTGGTATGTTTCCGATATAATTGTCTTCGCTTGAATCACCGGAAACCTGAAAATACCCCATCGTATCCGGAACAAAATACGTTTCTAGGTTATATTCATAAATGTCCTCCATCGTTGAATATCTCTCTTTGAAATCGTGGCTTGACAGCATACTGGTCAAATAGCTGGAGTAAGCTATGTTCAGATATAGGCTGAACAAAATCAATTGACTTATCAAGTACCGTACCATGTTAGATTTGGGCAAGACACTCGCTGAAAACCCTATGAGAACTGCGAAATTATTCAGCATTGCGTTTTCCACAACCCTATAGGCCGTGAATTCCTTAGCATTGTTCGTGCTCAAATACCAAATACTGCCAGTGACGATGGCATAAATGGATACCACCCCAATCCAAACCTCCCCACTTATAATGGCTATGAGAGATTTCAAACCCAGGAGGATTGGTTCGTGCGGAACACACCAAACCAAAGTGTCTTGCATATAGGATCTACTGCAATCGAAAAATACAGACCTGGTGTAAGACTGAGTGTACCCGCCAAGAACTAAATCTATGTCGCCATCGTATAACAACCCCATATCCCCAGTTCTAGTTTCGTTTTCGTAAATGTTTCCCCAGTAAGACACGTTGCTTTCTTCGAAGATGACGTACAGGTGAAGAGTTTCAGCTATCATATTCAACAGACTGATCTCTATCCCTGGATTTGAGGGTGAGTCAGTGACGAAAGGCTCCCATTTTATGTATCTGGCGGTAATGGTACAGTTGTAGAGCTCTTCTGTTATCTTGTCGCCGTACCAAGACACGTTGTTCTGCATGATCCCGAACGAACAATAGTCTATGGGCTGGGTATTGAAGAAGTTGTTGCCACAGCTCTTGTTACTGTATGGCTCCCAAGAGTAGGCGATGAATGTGGTCGAGTTATTTGGATCCCCCAGCAAGATGGCGGCGTTTATGACGTTGTACTCCCAGAGTATCTCGGTAACCTCGCTCGCTATCTTGCTCGGGTTTTTGAATAGTGTGGATGAAACCACCAGGAATTTGGCATGTGGGTTCCAAGATGACAGTCGCTTGAGTTCTTTCATTATTCCGGCAAATTCTCCACTAACTCTTACCTGGACGATGTAACTCTCGGACTTGACTTGATGGTATAAGTTGAAGGTGTGCGATACAGAGTTGACTTGTATCAACATGAAAGTTCCTTGGTGGTCGGCTTGTAGATATGGCAGTACGAAATTGCTGAGAAGATAGAAGGACTTTGGGTCCACTACTTCAGCTAGAGGCAATGAGAATGTGATGGCTCCAGTGCCAGCGAAATACGTTTTGCTGGTTTCGGTGATGCAAAATCCCAGAGATACTCTGGTCTGCAAGGTGTCCATACTGAGTGCTTCCAATTTCGGTTCACAAAATAACATGCGTGAAAGGAATGTGAAGAGGAAACAATTGAGTTTCATCTTGAATACCTTCATTGTGACTATACTATCAGCGTATGTGTGGACTCATTTTTAGTTTTTTTTTTTTCATTATAGATTGTAGATATCATTGGAGGGATGGGGTGAAGAAAAGATAAACCGGTAGCATGCAATCTAAGCAAACAATTAATTTTCCCTTGCCTATAGTAATTCTTCATAATTTCACCCTGACCTCGGGCTCCTCACATGTAGTTTTCATGCATTCATTATTTTTATCTTGATGTATTGAACAAATAAACAGAGCTATTATTCATTCGTAATGTCAACGCCGCTAATTATTTTTTTATAGTCATTATAGGCTTCTTGGGATCATGAGGTGATTCTATGAATTGTCCTAAAAAAATTCTCAAGGATTACTTATTCCACAAAGTTTAGCTCGTATTTTATCAATATCTAAAAAACGCACGAAGCCAAATTGAATTAAATTCTGTCAGTATTTCAATATCTCAGTGAGGTATCTTTCAAACATATTGCAGTCGGTTAAAATACCAACCAGTGATTTTTAACACACACAAAATACATTTTTTCTGTGACGGGAAAAAAGTTTGGCATTTCATCTCTGTTGGCAGGTTATAAAATGTCACTTTTCATAAATTACTTTTTTCCCGTGGGAAAAAAGTGAGTACTTCTTTCCCGGATATATATCACATATATATACTCTGTTAATGGCTTTTGTTGTGCTATAGTTCCGAAAAGTGAGTCAATAATACCGTCTCCGAGAAAGAACTGCAAGTCCTTTTATCTTCCATTCGACTTCGCGGTTTCGTATATTACTAAACAACTACTGAATTCGCAATTTTTTAAAATCAAATCACAGAATTGAACTGACAGAAGTGACATCAGATATTTGATTACTTCAAAAGAATGATAAAGATGTCTATAAAACGCAGGTGTCCCTACTGTTAAAAACTTGAAATTTCACGTCGATAATTTTCAGATTTCGAAATAATGTAATATCTTTCCAATATTGATTCGTCCTTCCTTCTGTCACAGAAAAAAATAGTGTATTATACACGGGAAAAATATTAGATTTTAGCTCACGGTTTTTTGTCTCCCTCCGCTACGCGTCGGGAGACAACACAACCTGGAGCTAAAATCTACTACTTTTTTCCCTTGTATAATAAATAACTATTTTACTTGCTTCTAAGTTTTTTTTATGTTGTTGTGACCCATCTTTACACTGGGTCAAAGCTATAATAAGCTCTATAAAACAGCATTGTTAGATTTTCGGTACGACGTACGTTTCGCTTCCGAGTAACCCTTCATCAACTTTTCCTTATGCAAGATCCTTATCTTGCATACCCCATAAACCAAATATTATCAATCCAAGTTCATCATATAAAAGGTGTGAACAAATTCTGTATTGAGACTTAACACAATCACGAACTTGTGATTGAAATAAGTAAATTTCTATCGTTCAAGTTTGAACCGCTTGATTGGGTATGAATGTTTTGAAAGAGAATATTATGAACATGAGAGGAATGGAAACATTTAATGAAATACATTGAGATTTCGCGTTCTCTATCTGATAAAAATTCACGAATTATTGTTTTTTTGGTATATTCAACAGAAAACAATTATCCCATACCTCTACTTTCCTGGCTATACAGGGTAATTCATGAGGAGACTCACGCATAGCCAAATGGTGATAGTGAAAATCAAGACAAGTTGATGTATATATTTGAAAATTTTGTTTTGACTTCATAACGAACTGTATTATTGGAAATAGCCATACATAACTTTGGTGGCCGATATTTGAAAAATGATTCATCATTATTTGCTGAAATTTGGCAGCGACGCGTAACTCTATTGAAACTATTCAAGATGGCATGTTATACAGAGTGGGCCTTTGAAAACGAAACAGAGGCTCTGTAGGTAGCCAAAACCGGATTATCAAAAAAAAAAACTGAAACAGGTCAACTACATTTTCGAGGGGGACATCTTTCTAAAATATTTTCAGCCCTGCGGCGTTGCCGCTTCTAAAGAAAAGAAGCAACAACTTTGTTATTTCAAATGGAACACCTTGTATTTTATTGCATTTTTAGATTCTCCCCGAAGAGCTGATTTCATCAATGCATCACACTTAGGGTCTAGCTGTAATGGTTTCAGGGATATAAAGTGTTCAAAATCGAGCAGATTTTTCAACTTTAACATTTTTTTGTGTCGAAACTATTCATTATTGGTCAAAACGGCTCTCATGTCCCGATCTCAACTTGTGATTTACTATCTACTGACATTTATTTGAAACAAATACAGGGTGGTTCAAGATTCAGAATTCTGATCACCCTGTATCTGTTCCAGTTAAATGTCAGTAGATAGTAAATCACAAGTTGAGATAGGGACATGAGAGCCGTTTCGACCAATAATGAATAGTTTCGACACAAAAAAATGTCAAAGTTGAAAAATCTCGATTTTGAACACTTTATATCCCTGAAACCATTACAGCTAGACCCCAAGTGTGATGCATTGATGAAATCAGCTCTTCGGGGAGAATCTAAAAATGCAATGAAATACAAGGTGTTCCATTTGAAATAACAAAGTTGTTGCTTCTTTTCGTTAGCAGCGGCAACGCCGCAGGGCTGAAAATATTGTAGGACGATGTCCCCCTCGAAAACGTAGTTGACGTGTTTCAGATTCTTTTCATAATCCGGTTTTGGCGACCTACAGAGCCTCTGTTTCATTTTCAAAGGCCCACTCTATATAAAAAAATCCAGATCCGGACTTGGGAAAAGTTCATGCTTTATTGTTAAGTAAAAAAAAAATCTCTTTGTGAAATTGAAAAATTCCATCAGATTTAGAAAGATCAGACAAAATGCCGTGACAACTGCACTTCAATTTGCAGGTACTTGCTGAGTGAACGTTACATCCAGTTGCTTCATTGAAAAACATTGCATAAAACTAATATGAATGATGGATGCTCTTTTTGCATAAATCAATTGAATTCGCGTGCCATATTAATATAAGATATACCTGATGATATTTTGCATTGACTTTGTGCTATTTGGACTACGACCTCTGTTGGCATTGGGCTATAGATTTCCCGGAAATGACATGATATCTATATATACATAGCCTGCAGTGAATACAAACACAGAATAAAAAACAATAAAGATCTTTAATCATTGATTAATCATCTTCACATATTGGCACAAACGTGCATGGTTCGTATTCCAATGGCTTGGCCTTTTTATCGCAAAAGTTGTCTTGTAGCGCCATCTCCTGGCCGTCAACGCAAACCACGCTCCGACGTCTAAAAACTGATTTTCCCTGAAAAAAAAAAAACTAAAGTTACCTAACAGCTTCGATGCACAAGTTTACAGTAGAGTCACTGGATGGTATTAGTAGATACGACTTAGGACACAGCTATGAACTTCTGTCCTTTTATATTTTCTAAATTACGATGCTTAAGTGAATAAAAGAATAAGATGTATATTCGCTCATAGATTAAATCTATGATTCGCTCTTTGTCTTTTCGATTCCCCTAATAGCGTCAATCAACGCTAATAGTTCGCGTGCACGATGACCGACCCTAGAAGGTAAAATATTGAAACACAACCTCACTTTTCTGTAAGACATTAAAACACAACCTCACTTTTTTTATTTGTTTATAGAGGAATCATAGGATTGAAATAGGTTTTCGCAATATATTGGCATACGAATCGTGTTTTTGCTCTATTCATTAATTCAAGCATATGCCTTCTCATTGTGTTGTAAAATACACAAAAAATGCAGCGAGAGACGAAGGAATATGATTTTTCAGATAAATAGTGATTTCACATAGTTTTCATTATGAAATTTTGACATTTCTTATTATAATTCCTTCTACCACTTCTGAAATAGAAGCGTCGTGCTAATAATACTGCTAATGGATTGAAAATGTCTACAATACACATGATCATAATTATTTCGTCAGCATGTCAGACCATTCCTCCCGTTTGATTGCATGAATCCAATCTTCTTGCATTCTTTCGGAAATTTCTCGTGTATTTCTATTAGCTCCTATTGCAGAAGGAATTCCGATTGCAAATCAGAAAAATTACCAACATTTCAAAATGAAAACTATATTTGACTGACTATACAGTCTGTTGAAGATAAGGTTGCACAGCATGGGGGGATCTCGGGAACGGTAGGAGATACGAAGTCGGTTAAATGGGGAAAAAGTTGCGCATTCGGAAGCTCATACCAACAGCCTTCGAAAATTTTCAAAATTGATTTGAGTTTTCCAGTTATATCGAAAAAAGTGAAATTTTGGAATATCTATTTTATTTTTTTTCTCCGTTATAATTAGAGATACAGAAAAACTGAAAATACTTCTTCATAGCAACTTTTGATGACGTTTACGTGGTGATACCGATTTTTTTATGCGACGTTTCGTATTCGTGTAGAACCATCAACAACTTTTGTTTTTCGAATACGGTCCTGATAATTCTTTCACAGATTCTGAAAGCTTTTTTCATTCTGAATTCAACCATGTATTGGTTTGAATGTGTTTCGAACTATTTTTAGCCATCATCAATGTTTTTTTCGAAATTCCAAAGGAAAAATGCCATGCAGTTTCACTTATTTCTGATTATTCAGTGTCAAACTTTGATGGACTAGTTATTCAATACTGAAAAGTGAAAAAAAAATCCACTAAATTATCCAATGCAGCGCTTCGAATTGTTTATGAATTGTATTCATATTTTAATCCGAAGGAGCTTGTCATAATTAAATTTTTCGAACTAATTATTCCTATAAGTCTATCAATCGGAACTAGTTGATGAGGTATTAGTTTGTTGGCTAATTTTCCTTCAAAATAAGTGGAACTGATAGCATTTTTCCTTTGGAATTTCGAAAAAAACATTGATGATGGCTAAAAATAGTTCGAAACACATTCAAACCACCTTGTATAATACATGGTTGAATTCAGAATAAAAAAAGCTTTCAGAATCTGAGAAAGAATTATCAGGGCCGTATTTAAAAAACAAAAGTTGATGATGGTTCTACGAATACGAAACGTCGCATAGAAAAATCGGTATCATCACGTTAAACGTCATCAAAAGTTGCGAAAATTATTTTCAGTTTTCCTGTATCTCTAATAATAACGGAGAAAAAAAAAATAAAATAGAGATTCCAAAAATTCACTTTTTTCGATATAACTGAAAAACTAAACAAAATTTTGAAAATTTTCGAAGGCTGTTGGTATGAGCCTCCGAATGCGCAACTTTTTCCTTAATTAACCGACTTCGTATCTCCTACCGTTTCCGAGATCCCCATGCTGTGCAACCTCATCTTGGACAGACTGTATAGAAGGTATACTGAGATGTACTTCTAGGCATTTTAGTAGGTACTTATTACTTTCAAATCATAATGTACAGTAGTATTCAATAAAAAGGCGTACAAGTATTAAACATAGAAGATTTCGGCATACTAGTTCTAGTTGTCTAGAACTGGCTCAGCCAATGCTTTGTGTTTTTGAGAACCTATGATTACTCTACTGTAAACATTTGGTAGACATACATTCCCGATAGCCCGTTTTACGCAAATAGGATGTCGTTAATTTCTCTCTTAAATATAACTTGTACGCTTTTTTATTGAATACGACTGTACTAACCAATACAAAATTGAGAATTCATGAAAAATTGAATAATTTATATTTCTGAAGTTCCAATCGTATCTCAACATATGGCAACTGTGCCATGGTCTGTCCCTACGAAATCGTGACGTCAGTTTTTATACTTGCGGTAAATTTTAAGCCGTTAGAAAATTACCGTGGCATTATTGTTGATTTTAGCACCTCAAAATTGAACGAAAAAATCTAAAAAAATATGAAATTGAAATGTATTTAAGTGATGATTCTATGAGGAATTAAAAAAAATATATATAGCCCACTCGTCTATTGACTCTTAGAGAACAGAAGTAACACGTATTTGAAACTTTTGGGTTCCATGCTGTACTTATATAACTTATGAACTTTCACAATATTGCATTGCGATTCGTGGAGTAAGTAAATACAAAGTTTTTATATCACTTTAGCAAGTTTCACTGCAAAGGGTATGAGTTCAGGCGCATAAGTAACGAGCTGGCCAATTTCCAAATGGAAAGGAAAGAGGAGATATGAAATAAAAATGAATCGAAATTCAAACACCGGAGTTTCTAATATAAACATCAGTTCCAGACGGTAAAAGAGATCGGCAGGTGGTGCTGATATCGCTGTATCAACTCAAAAGGAGACTACTGCGAAGGTAGCACAGACTGAATATCCTTCATATTTTGGAAGTTATTCTGGATGCTGATCACATTATGTTGACAATTCGTGTGTTTCAAATATAGGTATATCTTAATATGTTGGATAATTACTTTTGGTAAGTAAGCGTTATTTCAAAACACACACATCAGTGAGAAAGTAGTGGAGATGGCTTTGAGCTTTAATTCCTTCTTCCTTTTGAAAAATTCCACTCCACTTTGAATCCGATTTCGAGATAATGAAGTATATGGGGTTCTACAGGGTGCAGTACTGGGCCCACTATTATTTATCATATATATAAATGACCTTGCGACCTAGTAACCCAATCAGCCAAAGTACGTCTTGAAGGCGTCTTCAAGACGTACATGTCGGGACATAAGTACGTCTTAAAGACGTACATATTACGCCCAAGAGACGTCTTTAAGACGTCTTTAAAACGTACATTTTCCACTAATATGTACGTCTTTAAGACGTCTTTTTAGGTGTTTTTGGTCCATGACCTCAAATTGATCTTTCAAATTACGGAAAAATCACATAGTCTCAGTTGATTTTCACCTGTGCACTGAAGTTAGCAACAAGTGCAGACAAGCAAAAAAAAAGAAAATAAACGACTTCATCAAACGGTAGACACAAGCGGTCACCCATTCAAGTACTAACCGCGCTCTTTGTTGCTTGACTTCGATGATTATACCATACTCACTTCTTCTGTCACTCTGTTTGTTCTATATATCACATAAAAAGCTTTTACTTAGTTTAACATGTCCTTGTGTCTGTTTGTAATCAAAACGTGCAAGTTAAATTTGACTCACTTTAAATCGTCCGATTGATTTGAAATTTGGCAAGTAAATATTATTCCGGTGACAATTCGTTGTGATATTATTATTGAATGGAAAAAACAGAATGACGGATCCAATATGGCGGACGATTTTCTCATTGATTATGTTCCGATTCGAATCAAAATTCAATATTCAAGATGGTGAATCCAATGTGGCATATGGTTTTCTGATTATGGTCTGATCTGATTCAAAATTGGCATCTGAAGGATTTCGGAATCAGAGATTATAAATTGTCAAAAATGAAAAATCCAAGATGTCGGCTTCAAAATGGCGGACGACTTTTGTGATTATAGTCCGATTTTATTCAAAATTGATCACTATGGGACTTTTGGGGTCGGAGAATATGATTTTTTTGTAAAAATTCGAGAATCTAACACGAAGGCTCCAAAATGTCGGACGAAAAAATTCAAAAACATCACTTTTGTTGAAAATAAGAAAAAACTGAACAATTGAAAATAAAAAATGTGAAGAGATGACATTTTGTTTCTCTTCAGAAAATAACTTACATTATTGTTCTATAAGTCGAATTGACGTACTGGAATGTACGTCTTTAAGACGTCTTTTATACGACATGGAAGGAACGACGTGGATACGACCTAAAATGTACGTCTTAAAGACGTAAATTCGTGTACGTCTTTAAGATGTAAGTAAGTCGTAAAATGTACGTCTTTAAGATGTCTGGTGCTGATTGGGAAAAGCCGTAGGTTTTGCCTTGCGGCTTTACCCAAGTTTAGTCGTGTTGTTTGTGGAATGCGCGACTACTGCAGGGTTAATATAGTATACCTTGATCGCGCAGGTGCCGGAACAGGCCTGCCACGGTCCGACCCACCACTTGTAGGGGCACACGTCGTCGTTGCAGGCGCGCATCTCACGCTCGGGCTTATCTGCCGGCTCGCAGAAGTAGTCGTCGACGCTCGTCGGACGCTCCATCTCGGCGTCGGAGGCGTCCATGGTGGACTCCCTGAAATTGCGACTTTTATCTCAAGATTGCGACATTGATATCGAAATTTCGACTGATGACTCGAAATATCGAATTTGTCTCAAAATATCGACTGTTTATTCGACTATTAAATTCAGAAATATCTCGAAATTTTTACTGTTGGCTCGAAATTTCGACTATCATGTCGGAATTTCAACGTTTATCTTGAAATTGAGATTCAGAGATATCTCTACATTTCGACTATCTACTCGAAATTTCGACTCTTATCTCAAATTTTGGATGTTGAGAAATTTCGACTTTTATCTCGAAATTTCGACTACTAACTCGTGATTCCGACTACTATATTCAAATTTCTACTATTATATCGACATTGAAATTCAGAGATATCTCGAAATTTCGTCTATCAACTCAAAATTTCGACTTTTATCTCGAAATTTCGACTTTTAACTCGAAATTTCGACCTTCATCTCAAATTTTCGAATGTTTACTAAAAATTTCAACTTTTATCTCGAAATTTCGACTGCTCACTCATGATTTGGACTACTACATCTAAATTTCTACTATTATATCGACATTGAGATTCAGAGATATCTCGAAATTTCGTCTATCAACTCAAATTTCGACTTTCATCTCGAAAATTCGACTGTTAACTTGAAATTTCGACCTTCATCTCAAATTTTCGGATGTTTACTAAACATTTCGACTTTTATCTCGAAATATCGACTGCTAACTCGTGATACCGACTACAATACTCAAATTTCTACTTTTATAGCGACATTAATATTCAGAGATATCTCGAAATTTCGACTATCAACTCAAAATTCCGACTTTAATCTCGAAATTTCGATTGTTAACTCGAAATTTCGACCTTCATCTCAAATTTTCGGATGTTTACTAGGGATTTCAACTTTGGTGAAAACATTCCAACCGTTAACTTTTATCTCGAAATTGAAATTTAAAGATATCTCGAAATTTCAAGTTAACTCGCTATTCCGACTTTTATCTCGAAACTTCGACTATTGACTCGAAAATCCGAATTTCATCTCGAAATTTGGACTGTTGACTTGAAATATCGAATTTAACTCGAAAGTTCGACTTTTATTTCGGAATTGAAATCTAGAGATCTCTCAAAAATTTGAAAGTTGACTCAAAATTTCGACTTTTTTCTCAAAACTTACACTCTCAAGTCCAAATTGAGATCTGAAGATATCTCGAAATTTCGACTGTTAATTTGGAATTTCAACTTTTATTTAGAAATTTCGATTGTTAACTCGAATTTACGATTTTTATCCCAAAATTTCTACTGAAATCGAAGTTATGACTAATATGTCGGAATCTCGACTTCTATTTATGGATTGAAATCTAAAGATATCAGCAAATTTTGACTGTTCAGTCTAAATTTCGACTGTTCCGACTATTATGTCAAAATTTTGACTGTTAACTCGAAATTTAGAATGTCATCTCGTAATAATGACTGTTGACTCGAATTTTCGATTTTCAACTTTTAACTCGAAATTTTTATTATCATGTCTAAATTTTGACTTTTATTTCAAAATTCCGACTGTTCACTCGAATTTGCGACTACTATGTTTGAATGTCGACTTTTATCTCAAAATCGAGATTCAGAGATATCTCGAAATTTCGACTATCAACTCGAAATTTCGACTTTCATCTCTAAATTTCGAATGTCAACTAGAAATTTCGACTTTAATGAAAAAATTTCAACTGTTGACTTCTATCTCGAAATTGAAATTTGAAGATGACTTCCGACTTTTACATCGAAACTACGACTGTTGACTCGACATTTCGACTTTCATCTCAAAATTTCGACTGTTAACCCAAAATTTCAATTATGATGTCGAAATTTCGACTCTTATCTCGAAATTGAACTCGAAATTTTGACTTCTATCTCAAAATTTCGACTGTAAACTCGCAGTTCGACTGTTATTCATCTCGAAATTGAAATTTCTGTTTACTCAAAATTTTAACTATCATGTTGAAATTTCTTCTCTTCAATCGGATTTTAATTTTGAAGATATCTCGAGATTTCGAAATAGAATAATTAGCCGTGAAAGTGAGAGTGGAAATTCTGAAAATTTCGAATGAAATTCCGAGAATCGCAGAAATTCCTCATTCATTTCCTTATAACTAACTACCTTAAAAATTTGAATGAAATTCAATTTATGTGGATTGTTGGAATTTATAAAATTATTCTGGTTCTTAGGATATGCAAGAGAGGCATCTTGAGAATATAAAATACCCAACACGAACAATCTTGGAGAATGTGCTTGACACAGCAATGAGGCATGAATACTTACTTGACTAGTTGGTCAATTATATGAAATGAATAATTCGTTATTGTTTAGATTACTGTATTTATGAAATTAATGAATTGTGATAAACCACATTAGTTACGTGGAAATGCTTTTTTATTCCCACTACATGGAATGTAGAAGTGATGAAACTGAAAACCGACAATAGTCACTTATTCAGAACGTTAAATATCGAGTTCCTCCATAATGGATCAATTACAGTTCAGAAATAAACGAGTACGATTGGTTTGAACAAAGTAAGACAATTTTGCTTAATAACTTTTACTGGCATAACATGAATGACCATCATCTGACAACTCAAAAATATCGTGTAGCCAAAACCATATTATACACAGAATGTGCTTCAAGAGCTTATGACTCCGTTTAACGGGTATAACGGACCTTGGGCCCAAGGAAATTTTTTGTTCAGCATGATTTGATCTATCTAATTCTAGATTTTCACGAAATTTCACCGTGGACAAGATTTCAATGTAAATGGTGCGGGGTCCTTTCATATATTTCATGAATATTTTTAATGAAATGTCATTCCACAAATGAAAGTAACATTTTCCTAATCTTACCTGCACAACGGACCTCTACTTTGAACGCCACCTCCACAGGTGGCCGAACACTGGGACCACTCGGACAGGTGCCAGGTGTATTTGACCTGCTTGGTCTTCTGCTGCTTCCAGATGGAGTATCTGTAGTGCACGCCGGGGTTGAAGGTTTTCCCTCTGTAGTAAATCTGCAGGAAAATAATGGAGGTCGTTTTTATATTTTATACTTTCAGATGAATCTCCCTATACATGGTGATTCGTTGAGAAATGATTCTGACGAATGATTTATATTTCATATGGGTCTATGATTCCTTATAACCGAGATACAGGATGATTTATTGATTTCCCCAATTTTTTCAATTAATCATCACTTATGAACCACCCTATACAATTTGTTGATATTTGTTTTGTATGTTCCACAATGGTGACGATTGACATGATGAAAAAACGTTCATTCCAGGGCCGGCCTTGAAAAAATCAATGAGTAGTTTTCGAGTCGAAACAACATCCTACAGTGTGACCCACTTCTAATCGAAACACCTCTGTATTTTACGTAATCGTTGGGTAAGGATCCTGAAATTTGCTGGAGCGAGAAATTAATCCTTGACTATTATTTTAGTTGTTATGATGATTCGACAAAAGATAATATAAAAGAATATAACATGTCAATGAAAATAAGTCAGAAAAACTGACAATAATATTTTATCATAAACAGTGATACTTATATGGTCCTTCGAGAAAAAAGAATATCCAGTCTGTGGATATATACAGTTCACAAACAAGAAAATGGATGGAGAGAAGTATAGTGGCCAAACGAAGTCAAGAAGTGAATCTGATTTTCTTGGATTTCCACGAGATAGAATTGATCCTTATTCGAATGCAATTGAAGGTGTTCAAGATGGAAAATCGAAAAAAGGAAACACAGCTAACAAAGCAGGTACTTCAGTTCGAAAGCAGACTACTATTCATCCAAAGCGAGGAAAATTTTAGAATTGAAACTAGAAGCAGCTAAGAAATTAGAAAACATTTGACGAGATTCTAAGGCCTTTCGAAATAGATTTTGTAATGAAGTGAGATTGGAACATGGTGGATTGGAAATATCTTCCAAAGTGGAAAATAGTATTACATAGACATTTGAGTTCGAGTGTCGTGTCTGAGACAATGGACGAAGGAAGCGGATGTCTTGACTGTCGGAAGATATTTTGAGATTTATCTAGGGGCAGTTAACTGACTAACAGTGGCCGAGCACTGAAATTGTATGTTTTTACCCTGTAGTAAATCTACAGGAAGACCAATTGAGCACACTTGAATATTTATTTGAGACATTAGGAACGATCTCGCTATATGAGCCTTCGTTTTGGACAACATTTCTTGATATGACCTTTCCTTGTCACGATGGCTACCTTATTGGCACATGCGTTCAATATGACGTCAGGCAAAAGTTTTGACGATTAGTCTGACTGCTCAACTGGCAAGAGGCAGTAAACAGTGACAGTGACCGAGCACTGAAACCATTCTCAAACGTGCCAGATGTGAACTTCGAACCAAACATAACTCTATTTATCTTCATTCCAATTCGTCTTTCAAGTGTTTCAATCATGCAAAAGATAATACCCAGACTACCTTCCGAAGGAAAACGATAGCTACGGATATCTCGTTCGAGAATTCATGATATGAATCAAGAGCAAAAGCCAACTAATACTTATACTTTATGCCAGTCCGGCTTTGCTGACTGTTCTGAGATCTTGCACCTTTGAGATTTATTCAGTCGGTAACTGCATAAACAATCTCTAGCAACTGGCAAGTGTAGAATATCTGTAGTAGTAGACGCATGGAATGAATTTTTTTTTTCAGTATATAGTGAATTTGATCAACGTCATATCATCGAGACATTCCATTAATTCAGATATATCTCCATGAGCCTATGTTTGGATCAGGAAACCAGGTTGAAATCTGGCAAGATACTGAAACATAATCACATATGATTTCGATTCTTGTGTTAGTGTTTCAAGGGGGCGTTTCAGTATAGTTCTCAGATGGACTGGAGACCACTTCTGTGACCCAGAAGCCGTAGCACAGGAGATCCAAAACGAATTGAATCCTACTAACAAAATATTTATGGTCAAAGATATGCTACCAAAATAAGACACCGAAAGATGCAAACTGTGGAATGAATACAGAAAATGACACTGCCAAACATGTTATATACCATACTAGATGAAATTATTAATGTGTACAAATGAATCATAGAAACTTACGTATACCACAATGGGTTCTAATATTGGACCTGGGATTCGGATTTTCTCCAAATGATTGTCCCTTCCATATAGAGCTTGAGTCCCAGCAACTGTGTACTCTCCTGGAAGGGAGATATGTCTGTAACAGATAAGATCATTTCGCTGGATTTTCAAAAAGATTCAATTTGATTTCGCAATTCATGAATTCAATTTTACGATGCATTGAAATTTACTGTAGCTAGTTTTGTACCAGTGGAATGAATTGAATATATAGTACAAGATCTTATGAACGCCAGACCTTCGTTATTTTCGAGGATATTTTATAAAAGCTGAAAGTTTATCAGCGCACACTCCCACGCGAGTAAGAACGATGAGCAAATATGAAGATTAGGTCATGGTGCCTTTGGGAGGTTACAGGGACCAAAGGTGCTGAAAAAAACCAACTCACTTTCGTCATAATAGGAAGGGTACTTTTTATATATTTAATTCGGAATGATATAAGGAACCACGTCATTGCCAAACACGTTACCATGGGACTTACCCCTTGCCACTCACCTCCAAACCTTGATGAATTGAAATTCAATAGCAGAATTTTATACAGGTAACTTGGGAATTGTTTCCTCACTACCAGACCGAATATATCCACTATACTTTAAGAGGGCACGAAACCACTGTATATCTGCCTGGCTAGGGGTTCTCACCACCGCCAGAACTGAGTAAACATCTTCTAATTGTTACCCAGGTAACATGTATATGGAATTAAACTTTTATACTTCAACGAAAATGGAGTTTCAATTAATCAAGGTTTGAGGGTGTCTGGCAAGGGGTAGGCACCATATGGTAACGGTGTCTGGCAATTGATGACGTGGTTTCAAATAAAATACAAGAAATTTACTAATTTATCATTTTTAGGATGATGGAAGTAAGTTGGTATTTCTAGCACCTTTGCTCCCTGTCACCTCCAAAAGACACCATGACCTGAACTTCATATTTGCCCATCGTTCTTACCTGTGTTGGAAGCATACGCTGAGAAACTTTCCGTTTTTATGAAATAACGAAGGTCTGGCGTTCATGAGATCTTGCTCAAATCAGTAAATCATCTATCGACTCTACTGCACAAAATTCTCTAGGTCATACTTATACTAAAACTCATGGACGTTTGATCAACGTCCATTTTACGTACAGAGACGGACGTACATTGTATGACACAAATTGAACTCACATTGGATGTCCATTCAACGGCCATTCTAAGTTCAAGCATTCATGGATGGAGAATGAACATTATTTATAAGTATATAATGAATTGCTCAAAGTGTATACCTATATGAAATTATTTTAGACTTGAGCGTCTGGCGTGGTTTTGACGCCATTTTCAGTTGGTGAATGACCGTGAACATGATGTGTTGTGTTTGTGATGCATTGTGGAATGCAGAATATTTAGGACCAGATCATTCAAAGTAGGTATGAAAGCAGGTATGTTCGAATGTTGCTTCATAATATTATCTTATATAGTTATCAGTTATAATCTTAGGCTTTATCATCCTACAGAGGTTGTTATTCATTTTTATTGAGTGGCTTGAAAGAAGAAGTACCTAAGTATATAGCAATGTATTATCGTTTATTCAAATAAGGCTTTATTCGCACCAGTCAGAGTCAAGCTGAACAGGATTTGAGAAAAGACAATCGATATCTACCTATATCGCAACTTATATAATATTTCTCTTTTTTACAAAAACAAGAATTTAGAGTGGACTGAAGAAGACATGAATCAACACTACATTTATATATATGCAATCGACACCAAATATATTTCTGAATAAAAGAAGCTACATTTGCTACCTACTGATTTTTCATAATTTAATTTCCAAAGATGAGCATCCATTATACACCCACATATGAACATCCACTGAACGTCCAAAGTTTGACCCTCAAGACATCCAATAATGAATGTCCAAATTGGTACGTTCAATTGATGCTCAGACATCGACATCCATTGTGAGTCCGAATATAAACATCCATTGTACATCCAAATAAAGAAATCCACTATACGTCCAAAGTGGTGTCATCAGGACAGTTTCAGCAAGAATAAAGGATCTGTAGGAGTACTGGGCATTGTTTCCTGACTCTAGGTCAGTCTAACTTTGAAATAAGCAGATAAGTACATTATTCGAAAGTGGAATCAATCTATCGACTCACCTATCACCGTTCAGATAGAACTTCCTGGCCAGCGCGCTCCCAATGCTGATGTAATTCTGCGAATAGTCGTTCTCGTCGATGCGGATATTGCGAGCGCCGCGTGGCATCACCGCTATCTCCCTGTAGCCCGGCTCCCAGTTCTGCTTCTCGTAAGTGCCCTCCCTCGTCTCGCACTTGCTGCCGTCCCCTTGGCAGATGCCGCAGTCGTCCTCCTCCGTGGTGGAGTCCACTACCATATCGCACCCGACTTTCTGGAACGGATGCACTTAGGAAGTAGAAGGTCGCTTCAAATTGGGATAGTAAACATTTAGAAATATTGTCATAAATCGGTAATAACTCCATAATTGTTATTAAAATCATCAATTCGGTATCACCATGAATCCGAAATCGTGCTTCTTTACATGGTACCAGAAAATTTATAAACCATAAACTGAACTTCTGATATAGCAACGTACCGAGAATGACCTAAATATCCCAAGGTAACACGAAACTCTCCGTGATATCTCTAAGTAGTTATCTTCCGGATAAAAATGCGAAATCCTCCTGCGAGGTGCCGAACTATAGGCTGTCACCATGGGAAATACTCTCTGGAGTCGTCCGAAAGAAATCGCAAAGATCTCGCCTCAGATTTGAAATCTTCCCCATTATTGCGAATTCATATGGTTATCTCAAACAGGAAATGAATAAGCATTTCTTTCGGCAAGAACCCAAGGATATCCTGGACGTAACAAGAACAAGCATTTCCCATTGTGATTTCCTAAAGTCATCACAAAGATAACCTGAATAGTTAATAAATATTCATACAAAAATATTGAGTTGTTTTTTTTTTATTCACCTTTATAATAATTCAGTGAAACAAAATATCATTATCGTATACAGGCAGTATCTCGTTAATTTGTCAAAATAATTGAGAAATAGAAAGCTGCATTGAATGCCATCCTGATGACTATTGAATAATGATCAAGGATGTAATACATTTTCGAGCCCTCTGGTATTCCGTTCAGAGCAGCCATCATGGAAGATTATTTCAAATTTTGCAGAAAATTAATCATAATTATCTACTCTAACGAAATGGATAAGAATGTTCCAACTCAGGTAGGATCGAAAATCATATATCTACTCCAAATTCGTGGGTTCAGACGACCTTCTTTCAAATGTACACCCGGCCAACTCCTGAGAGATTTTTTAAGTAAAAATGTTTACTTGAAAAATGTTTTGGTGGGGGTGGGGTAACAGAAATTAGGTCATTTGATCGGACGGAAGACTGAACAGCCCGACTTCTTAGTGGCAGATCCCGCAGTCATGCTCATTCGTGGTGGAGTCTACCAGTGTTGCAACCGACTTCCTGGAACGGTTTCGATCGATCGAGATATTGCTTGTTGTTGAAGAACGCGAATTACTTTGAATACAATTGAATTTTCGTATAACGTGGGGACTTGGAACTTAACCAAGATTATCACGAGAACGAATGTACTCAGGAAGTGGAAGGTCGTTTCAAATCAGGACACTGAACACTTTGTATATGAACTCAACATATTTTCATTAAGTGTTCACGAGACATAACTAAAATATTGAAATGAGTAAGCAATATTATTACACGTCAGAACTCATTCCAGAAATCAAAATATTGTTTCAAATATGTGAATACGAATAGGTTTATTATTGAGTATTTAGCGACACTTGGAGAACACATATATAGGAACAGCGCAAAAAGATAAACCAAAGTTAGGAAAGAGTGTACAGAGAATTCATCAACGATGCTCAAGGTTAAAAGTCGAAGGAACTATCCGCAAAGTGGCCAAGTGAATGCCAGATCATAAATGCAGAATAAAAAAGTTCATAATCATTACGAACATCGGAATCTTTTTTGTGAGTTCGAGTGATCTCCGAGGTCGAATCACTATCTTGAATGGGGGCTGGACATAAAAACTTCAATAATCTCACTCCCTTGTTCATAGTCATTGAGTATGATTGTGTTTTGAGACTTCATGTTGTTCACACAAATGTGATCATATCTTTGGTTGTTAACAACTTATTTCATTCGATGCTAAGAAAACTTGATTTGATTTATGATGGTGCACCTACTACACTTATTCACGATGGTGGTCAGTACTTCAAGATTTACCTTGCATATACCTGATATGCATACATCTCTGGATACGACGCTGCATGGAGTACCATCTTTCGCATAGTCTCCCCATGGTACAATCACTGTCTCGTTGGCATCACTGCAGTACAACTGGCAGGGATCACCTGTACAACAGATAATAGTTTATCAGGTTATTCACGACAATCACGATGAAGTTGACCCCAGTTATCAGTTCAGTGCCGGCTACAGTACTGCGCACGATAGGATTTAACATTCAACAAAGAGAAATCTGATTCTTTCTGGGAATCATTTCGTAATATCATGTTGAAACCTCAAGCTCTTGCTGTAAAACTTTCGTTTTTGAAGGCTATAAATATATTGGAATCTTGTTGCAAGAAATTATTAATGTTCTCAATAGCAAATACAAAAAAGTATAAACGAAGTACTCTTCTTAATGGACTGACGTTGTTCTTTCATACACACTTTTGCTTTTGGCCATGAAATAGTTTGAAAAATAAAGATGAAAGTATTCAAAATAGAGGAAACATCTCGAAGTTCATATGGATGCTTGGGCTGTGGAGCATTTTGTAGCAGTGGATCAATAAAAAATAAATGCAAAGATGAAGATGAGAGAAATGGGTATATCTAGGAAGGAATCAAGGAAAATTTTATTTTCTAGAAGCTTAAGTTCCATATGGTTCTATATGGGGGCTATCAAAACCGTTACATTGAATATGAACTTTGAATGAGGCAGCAAGACATAATAAAATGTGATGTTTCGCCAATGAAAATATTCCAGGGCTGCTGATTTGGATGAATCAACTATTCACATTGTAAGTGCATGATTGTATAATATGATAACAATATATGAACATACCTATCTATTTGTCCTTCAGTTGATTGGGTGGACATTCAAGGATGTTATTCAAGAATTGAAGAGTCGATTCCTTATATTTATACAGGTATTTGTGTACAATTTCCTAAGATTACAAAAATCGAACTTCCTTTGAAAGATCGCCATATCTTCTTCAATTTTATAATACGTATTACTGAAAATTTCACATCAACTCATTGGGATACTCATTTGTTGAATGTGGATCTGATCTTACTACCGTTTGTGCCATAATGATGTCGTCGACTGAATTTTGGATAGTTTTGTAAAAACGAGTAAGTAATCTACACTTTCTCTTTGACATTTCATAAAAAATTACGTACTTGCAGGTAAAGCAATGATGATTGCTTATTAGCCGAAAGCGTTCTGCAATTTGGTAATAAAAATTTTACAGGAAATACAAAATTCCCTCATTTTATATCTACCATCATCCTGGAATAAGATTAAAAAACCCAAAACCATTTCCACAAGGCAATTCTAAGAGTATCATTCGAACATTTGAACCCACCTTGATCAAAATAGGGTTGCCACTTGTACCTTCTCCCCTCGTACACCTCGCCGTCATGCGCAGAGCACTGCGTCGCCCTGAACGTCGGCCGACCGGCCGGGCACGCCTGCGCGTTGCAGATGCGGTACCGCTCCCTCTCGCCCACGCAGAACCGTCCGCCCGCGGTCGGCGTCGGATGGTCGCACCGCCGAGTCTGCGCGGAGACACCCGAGCCGCAGGAGCGCGAGCATGCGCTCCACGGGCCCCACTCCCCCCACCCACCGTCCGTCGGGAGGGGGGGTTCTAGCATCGGGACGCATCTGCGTTTTTGGCACCACTGGAAAGATGGATGAGGCAATGAACTCATAGACCTTGGCATAATTTTAGATCGAAAGCTTACGTTTGAAAGTCACATTGAATGTACAGTCAGAAAATCCTTGGAAATATTAGGTTTCATCCTACGTAGTACTCACGACTTCAGAAATCACACTTCAATTTTAACAATGTACAAAACTTTAGTGAGACCTATCCTCGAGTACAACTCTGTAATATGGAATCCTGTCTATGAAAAATATGTTAAGCGATTAGAGTCTGTCCAAAGGAGGTTGATTAGTAATCTGAATTATCGTTTTTTTCGTCATAGGCATTATATTAATTATGAAGTGAATCTTGATTTCTACAATTTGGAACCGTTATTCTTGAGACGCGAATTCTATGACTCGTCTTTTGTATTCAAACTTATAAACAACCTCACTGACTCAGCATTATGCTTGCAACAACTATCACTAAATTGTAATCCCCGTATTTCACGAAATCGATTAACATTCTATCCACCACCATATTCAACAAATTACTATTGTAACTCTCCCCTTATCAGATGCATGAACTCTTATAACATAATCTGTGACCATGATATTGACATCTTCAGCAACGATTTCACAATGTTCAAGAAACAACTCAAGTACAAATTAACTATATAATATGGTAGAGCTGTAACCTGAGACAGCATTGTACTCACTACATTCAGGTATATATATATATATATTTTCTCTTCTTCTCTTTGATCCTCAATAATAGTGGTAGTTCATTTAATGATATTTATATATTATTATTATTATTATATATTGTTACATTTTGTATAAACTTTAGCGACTAGCATAGCTCACATTGTAAACTATGATTGTATTCTGTGTCACCCTGTAATTGAACAAGCTCTTTGTTTGTCTGTTGGGTGTCCTCATTAAATAAATAAATAAATAAATAGCCAATTTTCCTCGAAGTTAACCACACAAACCGGGTCAACATTAAGTTAACCAGTCAATTTTCTTCGAAGTGTATTCCAAACTACAAGATTGTCTTTTGTTCTCCAATATCTCCTTGAATAACGTCAGAAAGAAATAAAAGCGATGCCCATGAAAGACATCCTTATCTTGGACACAGTGTATGAAATTCTCCAGTCCCTGTAACGGTGTTTGTTGCCAAATTCTTCCGAAACGGCTTGGTCGATTCTTATGAACATTTTCGCGCATATATTCAGTAGGTCTGAGAATCGGTCGTGAACTATTTGTCATATTGAAAATTCTAGATTGCGGATACAATATGGCGAAAGAATTTAATGTTCTGATTCTACTCAAATTTGGTAACTGAGGGATTTTGGGATCGGTTATTATAATTATTTCATAACAATTTGGATATTAAAGATGGCGGATCCAATATGGCGGAAGAATTTCGTAATTATGGTTCGATTCAATTGAAAATTGGTATCTAGGGGTTTTCGGGGTAATAGATTATGAATTGTTCGTCAAAATTCAAGTAAATGGCTGATCCAATATGGTGGACTAGTTTTTTAATTAAGATCAGATTCTATCAAAAAATTGGTATCGGGTGGTTTTCAGATTGGAAGACTAAGATTCTTTCGTCAAAATTTGGAAATTCAAGATGGTGGATCCAATATGGCAAGTGAATTTTGTAAATATAATCCGATCCGACTCGTATAGAATGGAATAGAATAGAATAGAATAGAATTTTATTAACCACGTTATGTATAAATATATTTGAAGCAAGTCAAAATGAGATACAGGTAATAGGGTGTATTGAAAGCAATATGAACTAAAATAAGCTCTATAAGATTTTCAAATTATTCTAAACCTAATATAGCACAACATACTTATAACAATTGTCTGCTCCGGAAAAAACGCCATTCAACAGTTAAGAAATATATTTATATGCAAAGGAATGATCAAAGCTGAAAGACTATGAATTTCCTTTTTTTTTTCACTATTTTTATTTTTCCCCTTCTTGTTCACTATAATATGACTGTATCTTAATGATATGTAAGTTTTGTTCACTATTTGTAATTTCAATTATACAACAGTCGATAACACTTCATGAATGATCTTATACCAGGAATTACTGTCTGATCATTCATGTCATTCCTACTAGAAAATCAATTATACTTTATATATTATTTGTATGAAATGTATCAATGAAGAAAAGAATGTAATGCAATAACTGAAATAAATAAATAAATAAAAATAAATAAATAAATAAAGTCTTGAAAGGGGATTCCAAATACTATTTAAATCATGGGGAGTGCTTTATTGGACTGTCAGATACTTGTTGTTGGTAAATCACATTTCTTGTCATTGTATGAATTTTTATAGTTGATACTTTTTCGATGGAAATGCCCTGTATCTTTTTCCACAGCATTATCGTAATAAGTCATGATTGATCCTATCTATTGCGATAGGATCAACTTTCGCCATAGTTTGTTATAATATAGTTATGACTCACCCTGTATAATGGATGATTCATTTTGCTTGTTCAAAAATCATTGAATGTATGAAAGTTTAAATGAGTAGATGTTTTGTAAGCTACCCACCATATGTTTTCCACAGTATGTGCCATGAGCAGAAGGCCTCAATAGGGTCGTACAGCTGTTGTTGACCGTACACCAAAGATGGAGACAAATTTCCTCAGGGGGTGAACATAACGTGGCGTTCGCCCCGAATTGAAGCCGGCACTGATAGTTAGCGTCGTACATGACTCCTGGTGGCAAGTCCGGGTACTTGTAGACGTCCAGGTCTTGAGGATGGTTCTGCAAGCATTTTCCCAAACCCTTGCTGCAAACAGATATCCAGGTATCAGACCCTTTGTGATCTGCATATCTATCGGCATCTCTAATCGCACGTTGAGAACAATAGTGTGATAATTCAAAATTCTTAGTTTTGAGCAGATTGAAATCGAAAATTTTCGCTTCTCAAAGGTGGTAAATTTTTCTCTTACGTGTCTCATTCACCGCAGAAAGTAACTTTTCTGTTAGTTTTTTTTGCAATTACATTACCTCGTTGGTTCCAGCACTGGAACCAAACGCCCCATAAGTCGAAACTTGTCCGGGGTTAGGTAAGTATACAAACCCAAACATCCATGGCCTAACTAGGATTCGAACCTAAGTCTCGGTGGGAGTCCCCATACGAACTCAGCGCATTCACGCTCTCGACCACCTATTTATATACCAAACTGTCTTGATAAGCTGACATGCGACATTTTTTTCAGTCAGTTCTTTTTCGAATTTTTCAAGATGAAGTTTCGATTTGTTGCAGTTTTGATTCATCACATTCGAACATTCTTTCAGATGTCACGCCTAAAAAGCAGCCATTTTCTAAGATGTAACGCCTCAAAAAAAATGCCATATGACATGTAGTAGGCATTTATTTCCATTTGTAGACATCATTAACATTCATGAATAGATTTATGAATAGGCGCAGTCTGCACTTAGTTACTGTCATTTTAGCAGAATTCAAATCATGCTCTTTGATTGCTGAACATTATCTCTTTTGGCAGCTTCCCTATTTCATTTTATTTTCTGAATAGAAACAAACTATTCTTTCCATAAGACAGGTTTTGAATTGAATAGCAACGAGTCGTTGAGAATTTGCATGAGATTGGAATGCCATAGTTTGGGAAAAGATGTGACTATAGACCCGATGGTAGGTGATTTTGTCAAATGAAGAAAGTAGGTATGGTCGCTCCAAAGTCAGTTGGAGTACCTCTAGAAAAAACATATGTTCCTATATGTTTTTTTTCTTCTTTCGAAGTTCGATTTTTCCGATTTCTCTGCATGCAGGTTTCTAAAGACTTGTTTTGCCTACTTCATTGCATTACCTGCAAAGTATGCAATAATGTGACAAATTGAAATGTTTCCTACTGTGACGTTACAACTCGAAAAGTCGTTGGGTTTATGCAGTATTTCATGCACTGATGAAATAGCAATAACGTGATAACTCAGAAAATACCAAATTGTGATTGAACAATAAGGTACCTACTGACTTTATGACTTGACACATTATTTACCATAAACATTTCTCCAAAGTCAAAATTGGAGGCGATCCTGCGAAGACTTGGTGACAAGGCAGAAAGTCACTACCTTGCTTGGCTATAGCATCAACTTCTCCTCTGTTGCAATAATGTGATCAGCCTTGTCACGCTGCAGCTATTGAACCTTTAGATATCACGATACTCTAGAAGTGTAGAGGTTGAAATTTGCTATCCGACAGTGGTTTTAACACAAAAAATCAGCTTCGTGAGTTTTCACACTATGGTTCTCAACGTGCGATATCGACAACCATTGTTTTCTCTATTTCTAAGTGAAAGTGGCCTAGCTTACGTGCTATCAACTTATTGTCAATTAAAAATTGGGTATCACCTTCTATATCTACTTTTACGAAAATCCTTCTATACTTTCTGCAGTAGAAACCGGGTCCTACCCTCAATCTATTTTCACGAAAACCTTCATATACTTACTCCAGGAACCTAGTTATTTCTCTGCGGCTACAATTGGACCAATCCACATTAACGCTGTCAGCTTCAAAGTTGGGAGTCATTATGTGAACGGTATTTCCATCTTTTTTCCTGCATCCTATTTTTTCTGTATCGTGTATCATACCAAAGCTGAAAAAGATAATATCAAATTATTTGAATAGGAAAGATACAATTGAAACTGGCGAGCCATCATCATTCAGGAGGGTAACAAATATTCCTGGAAATGTTAAAACAAAGGTTTGATATCACTTTCGTTACCCTTCAATTTCTGTAATGATTATCGAGAAATAGTTTCTTAGGTCTACTTTCATTATACTTGTATGAATGAGAGCATTATATCGCCAATTTTTCCAATTACTTACTATATTACCTCGATATTTTCCATGCACATATATTATTGCTCATACGCCTTCGATATTATAGAAAGGCAATTTATCATTGTGGAAATCGATTATTCAGCAGTGTCGACGAGAAGATTACATTTCACTACCCACATTTGTGATTGCTCGAGGCTGTTCAAAGAAGTAATTCGAACCTCTGCTTTATATCCAAGTGCATTGTCGAATCCTTAGACATACCGTTTTGTGAAATCAGAGATAGTCTATTTTCGGTTTCTGTTCCTGCTGCTGGTTTTAGAAATCACGAGATATTTCGAGGAAATTGATCAAACATGCTAATTCACTTCATTAATAGGAGTTATCGTTTGGTATCGAACGCTTTGGAATATTTCCTCAAATTGCAAATACAATTCCTGAAATGAAATCGCTGTATCAGTACAGAACGAGATAATTCAGCATGTTTCTTCATTTATTGATCACGACTTCACTTTATTTGGGATGTAATAACTGATGTGATATTCAGTGAATATCGAATAATTATGTATCTGAAGCATTTAAGATCCGAATGAGATGATTTTTGCTCACCAATATGAAATGATTTGTCAAAATTTAATAATTAATGTTTTCAAATATTTTATTATTCATCAGTTTATTATAATTGTATAGTTTTAGGTATTATTGTTAACTATACTTCCTTATACCAGAACTCGATTCTGACTGGAAGTAACATTTTCAATAAATAAATAAAATAAATAAATAAATAAATAAATAAATAAATGATATGGAAAAGGGTTCGAATTATGAGTTCATGGATCAGGTAGACATAATGGCTGCGAAATGATAATATTGCCTATCTATATATAGTACTGACATTTGGGGTGACTTCGAATGCTCGGCAATTTTTTTGAATATTTTTCTTGTACAGCGAAATATTCAATTATTCTCTATCAGTTTTTTTGTGTGCCCTGAAAAATCATTCGAGTGGGTACATTCGTGAATATTAGACAGTCATTCAATGGTGGGCATAAACTTCAATGATTTATTTTACTCTCGACGGCTTATTACCATTTTTCGATGTGATAAAAACAAACTCTCTTAATTTTGTTTTTTGATGTTTTGACATTACGATATTCTGAAATTCGTATTTTTCAGAAACGATTGAAGAGAATGTCCCACTCACATGGTACAAATATACAAAAAACGGAGATAGTTTCTTGATTTTCACTTGTAATCATTTCCTCATCGTTGGAGGAATAATTTTTGACTTAGATACAATAAACAACATATTTTGATAAAAACAATATTTTAAGTTCTCATGACTTCTAGGTATTTAGAGACTTATGGACTCATCATCTGGCACGTATCTGATCCCAATCATTTTTTTACTGCAAATTGAATCTGTCAATAATCGAAATACCAAAATACAAATTTCCACTTATAATACCACGAGAGCATGAATAATTTCCGGAAATTTTTTCGAGAACACGAATATTTTGAAATTTCCTAAAGTTTCGTGTTCGAGAAAAAATTCCCGGATATTAAATGGAGCTAAAGTGGTATTCAGTAAGAAGATTTCACACTGAAATATTATATTGCAGGTATACCGACATAATATTATATGGTAAACTCTGTTGATGAATGATTTTCATTAATTGACTCATAGAATGAACTGGAAATAATCTGAAGTTGAAAGTAAACGTCATTTAACCTACAAACGTCAAAAAATTTCCAGTGTAATTTCATGCTCCGTCCTCCAACAAGGAGGGAAAAATGTCCAAAGAATTTGTTCAGTTGCTATGGTAACGATACGAAATACAGGCTTTAATAAGTTGATCGAGAAAGTTTGGTGTGGAATTTTCATGAGAATCAGAGCTCTGTTCGAATCAACCCGACACATAGGGGTGAATTTGAAGAACTTTCAGAATGAGAGATGGTTAGAAGATTGTTTGGAGATTTTGAATTATATTTTTTCCATATTTTTTGAAGGTTCCACACGACGATTATAGCCAAAAAAACATAAAAACGCTTTCGAATTCATTCCTAATTACGGTATATACTCATTTCCTATTCATATAGTACCTAAGCAGATGGAATAGGTTTTCTCGAACTATTTATGGTGGTTATCATCAACAAAAGTCTGATCTCAAATTCGATTTTATCAATTGTAAAGCTCATACATCTTTTTGATAGAATACATAAACTGAAGTTCCTAATCATTTACATTCATATATTTAGTTGACATCCCTGAAACCAGACTCATCATATTGCAGTCTACTTCCGTCTTCCTATTCGTTATGTATGATTATGATTGATCATTAGGTCATTCACCATTTCCAGTAACAGTCTATCAATGTATATCTCAACCTCTGTTTTGCGAAAAACTCTAGACACAAGACACTTTTGACATTTGTGACATTGATGCAGGCCTAGGTGAATATCAATAACAATAATAACCTAATTTTTCCAATAAAGACCACGCCTTCTAGCAGCCAAGGTCACCTTCCACCATCTGATCTCGAAGTGTCATTGGTTATCTACTAATATAAACAGTTCAATAAAATGCCTCTACACTATCATCGAATCAGGAATAATAACACTCATTCTGTCTCGTCATCATTGATATTCCGTGTTGAGATTTGAATTTTTCATCCAGCCTAGAAAGAGAGCAATAGTGGGCTGCGAGATTTCTGTCGTGTTTTATACGAGGTTCGGTTGTAATTTATCAGACCAATATGTGCTACGAGGATCACGTATCAAAAAGTATGTCACTCAAATAAGTGTTCTAGCTCATAAAGCGGAAAAACACAAAATAATGATGACATAATGAGTCATAAACGTGATATTTTAATTTTGTCTAAAATAATACAGGTTTTGCAATATAACAATTTTTGTTTTTGATTTCGCTATGATATATATAATTCACATCCACTACTTATTTTACTCACGCTGCAGCTGTAATTTGCTTCCAATTTTTATGAGGTTTCAAGAAATCACAAAAATTGATATGATTCCAAAAATTATGAGCTGTATGCAACTCATAAAGAATATTATAACATTCCATTTGGAAAGGAACAATTGATTGTTTTTCCAAGCATTGATTTCATTTTCTTATTTTTTTGAAATCGGATTGAAACTGAGGGAGTTACAGAATGCTACGTTTTTTATATGACAACCTGTATATTATAAAATTCCATACACAAAGATTATCTTATATGTTATGAGAATCGAATTTTTGATACTATTTTATTTCAATTTGAACCTGGTATAATCAACCTACTGTTCAATCTATTTACAAAAAAATATCGAACCGTTTTTCATAGCTGATCAAATTGTAGGGAATTGTGTAAGTGACACAATTTCATATTTTTGTGACTCTTTGTGCTCATACTCACTTGTGGCCCAGCTCATGCGCAATGGTATGCGCTGAAGTGATGCCATTGTCTTCGTTAACGCTGCAGCTCCTGCTAGCTTTACACATGCCGCCGATATGTGCCACTCCGAGGGTGCCACAGGGTTCATCCTGGCGCGCACAAATGTCCTTGCGAGTAATCAAGATGGCGGCGTCATGACCTAGAAGGATGCAAATGGTTGGGTGGGTACTCTCAAATATAGAAATAATGAATGAGTACTATGAGTTTTCATGAAAGGAATATATGCGTACAATTTATACTAAACCTAGAGATTGCTAGAGAAGTGACAACGCCGTTTATCTCGTATGAATGTTTTCTGTGTCCATTGCGTAGCAGTGATGCCACAAAAGTGGTTTGTACTTTGAAGGATTGTTCACCTCATTTTTTTCATTTTCAAAACGAAACAATTTAGACCACTATAGGTTCCAGATCATTTCATATTACATGAACTGAATAAGAAATATTTCGAGAACATAAAGGAGTTCCATTTGGAAAATTTAATATCATTGGTTCCTTATCTTCTGTTCTATTGATCAAGTTGCGAAGCTGTTCTTGGTTTCAATAGTCTCTTGTATATTTTTAGAATTATTATTTGAGTTGTCATAAACGACAATTTTTGGTTGGCTGTTTCAAAAGAATCTCGGGAGAGTCTTTAAATAAATCAGTTTATTGGTAAATGGTGGTTTGTATACCCGTTAGTAAAAAGAAATTCGACAATTCGCAGCATCAAGTGTACTTGATGGATACACAGAAGAACAGTTTCCTTAAAATTCTTGCGTTTTCCGAAAAGTGATTGAAATGTTGATTGGAACGTTTTACGAGTAGTCCTCAATTTTCTGAAATGACAAAAGGCAAGCACTCAAGCAAACAATTTCTGCTTACAAACATTTTGTTATGTTTTGATGAAGATAATTTGGATGTGAATGCTAGAACGAGAATTGAAAAGAAAAATGGCGTTCCATTTCAAACTGTTATTGATCAGTTCCCAGCAGTTTCAAGCAAGGATAAAAATTCAGAACCATCACGGTATTGGTTTTATGATGATAAATGTAACAAATCAATTGAATGTTTCGTTTCCTATTAGGGATGACGAGTCGATGGTGAACAATCTGAAGGGTTTCACCCACCTTTGGAGTTGTGATTCGGCAGCTGCCACTTGCAGAACGTCTTCAAAGTCAGATCGGCGTTGGTGGTGACATTCAGTAGGGGCTCGGATAGGGGGTCTTCTATGAGAATGATCTTTACTACCACCACGTGGACGCTGTTGCCCAGGCTGGGATCTTGGTAGAGCATGGAGACCTGGATATCCGGAAAATGTTAGACAGTGAAAATATTTTCAATGCCATTCATGCATATCATTATGAAGGTGATACGTTTTGACCCGAGTCCGGGACTCTCTCATGGTCCGAGGAGTCTATGACAGTCAGTAGAACAATGATTTTTTGAATAACAAGCACTAGACTTACTCTACGAGCTCCACGTGGCAATACTGATCACACACTCATCTCTACTACAAATAGGTAGCTTTGGTCTGAGGAATGTTGTGTGGTCAGTTTTTGTGAAGACAATTTAGGGACACCCTGTCTGTTTTTACCCAGGTTCTTAGACACTCCTATAATTCTGATCAGCACACTTTTATTATTTTGTTTTGTACTGCTTTTTAGTTTCGCTATCTATAAAATTGTGTTTCATTAGTATTTCAAACTACTATTTTTATTTTCTACTTCTTTTCAGATCGAAAATCTATCTTGCCTCGAGTTTGGCTATTCTTGAAATCGTGTTTCATTATAGTTCTTGAAACTACTATTTATTTCAAAGCTCTTTCACCATATTGAACCTGCTATCTTGAATTTTCCAATTTAAAAGAATAAAATCATGATCTCCGACCTCGAAAACCCTCAGACATGAATTATTAATGGAATCGGATCATATAATTACAAAATTCCTCCGCCATAATGGATCCTCCATCTTTGATCTTCAAATTTCTCCAATCGGATCATAGTTACGGAAGTTGACCGCCATATTGGATCTGCAATCTTGGATTTCAGAATTTTAATAAAATTATTGATATCTTCGACTCCTAGAACTCCCCGATACCAATTTTTAATAGAATCTGATTATAATTGAGAAACTCGTTTGCCGTATTAGATCCTCCATGTTGAATTTTCTAATTTTGACGAAGGAATCATAATCTCCGACTCAGAAAACCCCTAGATACCAATTTTGAATAGAATCGGTCCATAATCAAAGAATTCCTTCGCCATATTGGATCCCTTATTTTGAATTTCCTAATTTTGACGAATAAATCATAATCTCTGACCCAGAAGATCCCCAGATATCAATTTTGAATAGAATCGGATTACAAAACTCGTCCGCCATCTTGAATTTTCTATTTACAAAATAGATTACGACCAATTCTCCTACCTACCGAATACGCACAAAAATTTTCATACGAATCGGTCGATCCGTTTTGGAGGAGTTTGGTCACTAACACCGTGACTGGAACAATGAATTTTTATACAGGGTGTTGCGAAATTTGACCGACAACGCTTGACTGGTGATAGCTCTCGTGATTTCATAATCACTGAGATAGGGACATACGGTACCTACTTAAGTGTTCAGTTCTCGAGATACAGGGCATTGAAGTTTAGAAATAATGATAGTTTTTTCGCAATATCTCAGAATTGATTGAATATTTCACATCCAAATTCGGTATATGGTATCATTTTTCAATGGCTCATTTTCTGACAAGAAAGACATTCCAAGAATTTTATCCAGATGTGCACTACAGGGGGTTGTAATAACTTTTCCTCCCATATTTCCCACGCCAATGATGACATTCCTATTATTTCCAATTTCTCGAATCAATTGTTCAATGATGTTGAAAGAATGCTCAATTGAGCTCAAATGAACAGTTCTAGAGATATTTGATCCAGAATAGAAGTATGCATATTAATTTTTCATCTTCCTAGTAGTAGAAAATTACGAAAATATTTGTTTTCTCTTTATGCGTGGAATAACTATTTCTGTTAAGTTACAGAAAAATATTTTTGTAATTTTCTACTACTGAAAATGATGAAATATTACTAGGTATGTAATCTCCTATTTTGGGTCGAACATATCGAGAACTGTTCATTTTAGCTCAGTTGAAGGTGATGCATTTTTCGATCAAAATTGAACAATGAATTCGAGGAATTGGGAATAATCGAAATTTAATCAGTGGCGTAAAAAATATGGGAGGAAAAGTTACGACAATCCCCTGTAGGACACCACTGATTAGAACGCCAAGAATGGCTTCGTGGTAAAAAATGACCCATTCAAATATGAAACCATATACCGAATTTGAATGCATTATATTCAATCATTCTTGAGATATTGCGAAAAAACCATTTCTATTTCTTTACTTTAACGCCCTGTATCTCGAGAACTGAACACTTGAATAACGAATGTCCCTATCTCAGTGATTATGAAATCACGAGGGTTATCACTTGTCAAGCGTTGTCGGTCGAATTTCGCAACACCCTGTATATTAGATGTTTGTTAGGCCTTGTTATACGACGCTATACATAGTGGAGTATACTACGGCCTTGCCAAAAATGCTATATCGGAAACTAAGTGAGATAGAGGTATAGTTACTTTGGAGAAAATGATCCCCATCGAATTTTGAGCACTTTTGGTTTTTGTGTGTGGTCTGTCTGTCTGTCTGTACTCTGTGTTAATCATAAATCGATATATCTCCGGAACCCATTGACATATCGACTTGAAATTTTGCCATCTTATTGTACTCAAAAAAATATTATGTCATTAAAATATGAAGGAAATCGGAAAACTCTAAGGTGGTTTTTCCGGGTTTTTTCGATTTTTCACCGAAAGTTTCTTGCGACCACTCTACAAATCGCAAAAGTGGTCCGATCGATTTCATTTTTTGTTAAAAAAAACTTTATCAGGGAGAGACAAAGCCTATTGAAATTGAGCAGGGTCGGGAAATTCCAAGTGGGTTTTTCAAGGAGATGTTCCGAAACACACGGTTCGCTTTAAAACGACATATCTCCTGAACCAATAGACTAAATCCAAATTTGTAAAATGCACCGTATGCCTCTTTGGTGACGCAACAAATTATTATTCAATCATTTTTCCGTGCATCCATCGGAGAATGGAAAAACAAATGGAAATCAAAACATCAAAATTTGAAATCCTTTCAATTCAATATATATCGAAAACAAATAGAAAAATCGAAAATCATCAAAATTGCAAAGTTATCCACTGGAACATTTCCCACGAATTATTACCCGAATTTTTTCCTCTGAACCCAATAGTACAGAAAATGAAATAAAAATTTGAAAAAAATATATGAACGACCCATAGGGTACCATGAAGATATATTGAAAAACAAAAGATTATCGATAGATGAAGATCATCGACTTCCATGAACCATGAAATATTTTTTTCTTTTGTTGATTGGAAGATGGAACAAATGTGTTGAAAATTGTATTCTCAGATGATTGCAAATATCTCGAAAACAACTGGAAATATCTGAAAATCTTAAAGAACCAAAATTATTCCTATTGATAGAATCTACAAAAAATCACCATAACATTTTTCTCTGAATTCAATAGTTCGGGAGATACGATGAAAAAACTAAAAAATTCACAAGTTCCTAGATAATCACTTGCCAATAGAAAACGAAACAAAAAACAAAAGAAAGTAAAAAAGCACACACGACTGTCTTGATTTTTTTCCCCATAAACTACTTACCTAGCTCACTCGACTGTCTTAATTTTTCGCCAATAAACTAGGTACCTAGCTCACTCGACTGTCTTAAGTTTTTGCCCATGAACTACGTACCTAGCTCACTCGACTGTCTTGATTTCCCACAAAGAAGAAATATGTTGGCAAAGTTTCAACTTTCTTTTGATGTTGTTTTTTTAGTCCTTATTGGCAGTCGAGTGGGCTAGGTACTTAGTTTGTGTGGAAAAACCAAGACAGTCGAGTGGGCTAAGTACGTGGTTTGTGGGAAATATCTCCAGATCTCGGAACTTTCATAGCGTCGTATACACATCTTTGGTGCCCAATGATAGTTTCAATATAAAAATATGCTCATCTTATATGAGCAATGATAAAATATCATCTGCTTTTATAGCGTCGTATGAATTATCTGACCTCCATACTAATCTAATACCTAATGAAAACTATATCTATACTAATCTGATACCTTTCACAAACTACGTACGTACTTGTTAGGCTATATCAGAGATTATACACTCATAATCTCTGGCTATATTGTGATTTGGCGGGATATCGAACGCCTTCGCCAAAAATTCAAATACCTATTCGAAGAGCACTGCCAAAACGTATATGGAACCTTTTGTAGAAAAATAAACGAAATATATTATGGTTCCGAAAAGAATATCTTCATTTACCATATTCATGAGGGTCAGAATGTAGGTTTCAATTTCTCCATCTTGATGAAACTCTACCATACTTGCATCGGCTACCACCAGAGTCTCAACATAATGATCCCTGCTTATGGATCTCTGAGCTCTACTTTGCTGTCTCCTGTACTTGAGTTTCTTCATGTTTCCTTTATGTATGTTCGGTATCTCGACAACATCCTTTTGTTTGGATTTCTTCTTCTGGACTTTTACTTTACCTTGTGAATTTTGCCACTCTAGTCTGAAGAAAATCAAAATATGATGTTTCTACTGAGTATTTAGTGTTTCAAAAAACTCACAAGGTCCATTTCTTCGGAACCCTAGTCCCACAGTTTGTAGGTTTCTTCCTTTTCTTCCTTCTCTTTCTTTTAGGGTAGCTCGTCACTACTGCTGATCTCTTGTAGACCAAATGTTTATGACCAGGTGCTACTTTCTTGATTTCATGATGTGCTGGTTCAATATAGTATTTGCCATCTTTGGAAATGATTACTCCGGTCTATGAAAAACACAAATATCAACTTATACAGGGTGTCCTAGAACAACGTACCATGAATTCTACAGGATGAGCTAGAGACCATGCAGAATAGACCGATTGAAGTCAACATATCTCAAAACGAAAATGCACTATTGAGCAGTGGGAGGATGTGGAAGAATATTGTTTTTGAAGGAAGAGCAAATCTCAAAATCATCTCCACGACATTTAATAGGTGAACATAGTTATGTTGCAGATGGGAGGAACATGTTTCGAGCTTATAATAAGACCATCATCAGCCAAGGTTTATAACGTCCTACAATAGTCTAAACTTGTAACAGGAATATGGTAATAGATAATATTACTTACATGAGGATGACAAAATGTTCTTGAAAGTTGTGAAATATATGTACTGAATTTAATAGTAACCGTGATAAATTATTATAAAAAAATAAAACAGGTATTTTTATTTGAATTTATTTATGTAAAAATTTGAGTTGAGTTGAAAACAAGTTATTAACAATGGAGGAACAAGGGTGAAGGAAGAATCTGAATATCAAACAGACTTTGGTGAATTGAAAAATTTTATACAATGAAAAATTACCTGTTTATACTTGTTAGAATTATTATCCTTCAATGAGGAGTTGATCTCGAAGATCTCTAGTAAATTTAGAGTAAACGTCCTTTTTGACGAAAGTGTAAAACTTCCAAATTTCCTTCAATATTGAAACTGTGTTGGGAATTCAAAACATGATTAGCAAAGGAGTAATTTGTGTTATATTCATCTAGGTGCCGAGTTCTCGATTTCTTAATAAGTATTTGTGCTCATTATTGCAAAATCCTCTGAAGATACTGAACTCTGAAATTCAGTATCGTGTATGTGCATGAAAAAAATCTCATACCGATTTAATCAATACAGAGGGAGATAGGTATTTCGCATTCTCTTCGATATAACTTGGATTAACTCTTTTGGAGGCATCAGCCATACTGACCATATTTCGATACCTCAATGAATGTCGTGTTGAGTTATCGACCACGACAATCATGTTTATGAACTACTTCAGCACATGAAACACTAATTGCTTATCTTAAATTTTTTCAGTTTCCCATTTTTTTGCGAAAAGAATAATGAAATTATGAAACGACCATCTCCCAGATATGATGTTGAGCTTGCGAAATGGTGAATATGAATATTGTGGTCAATAACTCAACACAAATGAGCTGAAAATTTGCAAAAAATGATAGATAATCCTGACATTAAAAACAAGTATGGACAAGCACCAAAATAAATGTTGTAAGATATCTCGAAAACCAAGAAGAATGATAAGACAATGCAGTTAGAGAAAAAAAAATAGATATATGATTTTGTCGTTCATGGAAATATCAGAATATTGTTAAAAGATACAACAATTTTCATCGGAGAGAATGTGAAAAACCTATCAAATCAAATCAAATCAAAACTGAGCTTTATTGTCCAAGAAACATTCTTCATCGTATTCTCTCGACTCAATGGTCCATTATCATATGAAGGTATGTTGATTTAAATCAGTCTATTTTGATGTCTAGTTCACCCTGTAGGCTTTATGGTACGTTGTCTGGGGACACCTTGTATATAGAGGACAGAGAGAAATGAGTTTCAGAGACGAGTTCTACTTCTCACTTGACCTAACTGTACTTTGAGCAAATATTTACTTCAGGTAGAATTCAAGTTAAGGTTGAAACCAATATCCTTCAACTGAAGTGATCAACATAATGATAAATCCAATTCAGAAGTATACGTTATTTCTTACCAAACCATTGCATGCTGATATGGCAACCCTGGAATCTTTCTGTCCATCGATAACACCTTGGAAGTGACAATTCTTCGATTCAAATTTGGGCTCCACTCTCATATATTCCCTTCTCCTTCTTCTTTCAATTTGTAGAGTAGGTATAAAGAAATTGGTCGATGGCTGAAGAACGATTAGGTGTTCTTCATTTCCAACCGACACGTTGAAGTGAATTTTTTTTGTGACCTCATCATGAAAGAGGGTGAGATCGTTAGAAAGGTGTTCCCCCTTGTGGGACACTCTTTTAGGCACGATTTCGTTTGCTTCCTCAAGGGCATCTGTGTAGAGACCTGCAACAAGCGAAAAAACTTTATATTGTCAAGAAGTACAAATGCCTATGAATCAACATCACTCAAACTCTTGTTCTTTTCAAGATCCTGTATCATAAATCAACTTTTCCAAATTGAAACATTCAGTACATTGTAGTTTCGATCAGTTCAGCGGAGTTCATAGACGTCAGTTCCATTATAATTTGCAAAAAAACCGCTTACCGTGCATTAATACCTAGGTAAGCAGTACCGGAAGGCAACGACCATTCCCATTGCGGGAAGTTGCGAACCTAGCATCGATTTCGAATAAAAATAGAACCCGAATCGATAAGGAATGGCCAGTATTAGTTCAATCGTTATTCGATTCATTAGTACCGATTATTATATTAAAATCAGTAGATAACACTCATTCATCGATTTCTGACTTCCAAAGTGGCACTGTGCCACTTTGTGGGTGTAACATCTCCTCGACGTTGGTGCTGCTACCCATAACATAATGTAAGTACCAAGAACAATCATCTTGAATTTGTTGTTCGCTCGCTTCATATTTGTGCTTTGCTGTTCCGCCTTTTTGGCACATTTTTATGTTTTCGTTTGTTTGGGGATAAATATGGTTGGGTGGTGGAATGATCAAAACCTCTCGTCATAAAAGCCAAGCAAGTAGCTAAGTTACGACCTATAGGAGGGTCAACATCTGAGTTGCGACACGTGGAGGAGGCGCAGTTTGTTCTCAATAATGCCATATAACTTATTAGAACCATTTGAGTTGCGAAAATATTGTTGTTGAATACTGATTTTTCAATGGGACGATCTGAACTAAAAACAAGGACCCTTGTTATGTTCAACCTGTTCTGATCTGGTGAATAGATGAATCAAAGATTCATGAAGAAACATATGCCAAGTTTGGAATTCTTTGCCAATGGAAGTATTCTGAAGAACTTATAACCTCCAAGAGAATTGAAAAATTTTTATACCTCCCTCCTCTCCCTATCCTCCCTAGGTACGCACGTTGTTCTTTTCGAACATTATAGGAATTTCCATTCGTGCGCCCAAGAGATTTAAAAGAAGCAACATGATGAGAGAATCTGTTACTAGAAACATTTGAGCAAGCATCCACAAATATTCGATACATTTTTTGATAATAATAGATATCCAGATAAGAATACAACAATTCCAGACTGATGTCGCGCATTGTCCCAGAATATACAGGGTGATTCATTGGGTAATGCGCATACAGTAAGGGACAGACAAACATGTTCATTATTATCAAATTCGTGTGTCATTGAGTAAGCAATAACTGTTATTAACGAATAACTTCACAACACAAAACACAAGTGAAATGTACAAACTCATCATCTAACGTCAAACATCAGCCATCTTGACAATTTCAACGATTTGGGATATCAAACCCAAAGTGAACGCGCAGACTGCTTCATTTTATTATTATTATCAAGAATGCATCAGATGAATCGAGAAATGATCATGATCTAGCTGAAAAATTGATCAGACGTGGATAAAGAACAGTAGTTTTGTATTTTCTGTTATATGTCCAACTTATAAAATGAAGATTTGTGGCAAAACGTTATTTTTTTTTTAAACACAGTTATGATTCTTTCGTAATGGGCATTCTGCTTGATTTTCATAACTGTTGGTTAGAATGTAGTGCGAAGTGCGATTAACAAATGTTATGATAATTCAATCACACATACAGGGTATTCAAAGTTAGTCATATGATTATAATAGTTTTTCCCAAATACGGACTAGTCCTCTAATTTTTCAATTGGGTTGAGATCTAATGATTATGGGAATAAACAATAGTTGATGATTTTATGGATCAGACATGGAAAAGTGCCATCTGGTGACGACAAATAATTTTTTTTTCAATTTTGTGCCATCTCATTTTTGAAACCTCTTGATTTGACTCAAGTTAATAGATGAAAAAGTTTCATATGGAAACACCAAATAATTTCAGTCATACGCATTTTTTTCCTCTCTTTCCAAATTAGTACATGGGATTTCAAAATATTGATATAAAGGGTGTTGTTTTGACTCAAAACCTACTCATTTCAAGGTCGGCCCTGAAATAAGACATTTTCTATTATGTCAATCGTCTTCACTGTGGACAAGGAACATACAAACCAGATATCAAATGGGGGAAATCAATAAATCACCCTGTATCTCGGTTATAAAGAATGACCTATGAAATATAGATTATTCAGAAGCACCTCGGTGTCCTCTATCTACCCTTTCTGTATGCGCATTTCCCAATGAATCACCTTGTATGTAAGAATTCGTGATGGATAATGAAATTTCACCCATTATTTTCAATAGGTGTGCACCAGAATTGACATCAATTCCTTGTAGGTCTATTGCCCTGTTATCAGTTATATTCAAAGTGATGGAGAAATCCATCAACATTGAGCATATCAAATATCCGGAAAGCTCAGAAATCAATAATGACAGACAATATGGCTTTAGCCCTCAATGACCAACTAGAGATTTACTTATCTACGTCACCCATATATGGCAACATTCATTAGAGAAACATGGAGAATCCCTAGCTGTGGCTTTGGATATTTCGAAAGCATTCGACCGTGTTTGGTACCAAAGACTCCTCCACAAATTATCATCATACGGCTTACTTGCCACTTCAGCAAGCCATCTTTAATCGAGTTTTCTTTCAGTCAGATCCCTTCAAGTGGTGGTGGACGAAGTAACGTCTGATACCATTGCAATCAATTTCGGCGTTCAATAAGGATCAATAGCATAGTTAACAAAACATAAATCCAAGCATCAGGAGTGGAACCACTTACAAATATTATGTTGGAAAGAACAGTTGAGTAGAGTAAATGTATCCGATTATGAGGAAGATCCTTGAGAAATTCATCAGTTATATCATAGAATGATAATTCCCTACTGATATTTTTCATTTTTACGATTCTTGAGAACACTATGCATTTCTTCAGGTGTATTAGAGTTATCGAAGTATGGATGACGGCAGTGTTGCCAGCTGAAAAATTTCAGAATTCTCAAAACTTGACATCTATATTCACCAGATTTCACCAAATGGAAGGTTCAATCAAGATAAACCCATCAATAAGGTTGTTCTTTGTTTGCAGAATATCTATGTCCAAAGACTCATACATCCAACCAACGAACAGCGAGGCCCTGGAACACATTGCCAAGGAAGGTGTTTCCCGAGGCATATAACCTCCAGAAATTTGAGAAGAACACCAATTCCTACCTGATTTCTCTTGCTTCTCACGATGTTCTCTGAACACTACAGTATATCCCTTTTCGTCGGAACCAGAACATAAAAAAGCTAAATCTCATTCTCTGGAATATTCCTGGATTTGGTATTCCGAGAATTTGCATATAACAATAATTATTGTTCCAGTTAGCCCATAGCTATATTGAATAATCGGAATTTGTTTTCAATTCTGATAAGGCAATAACAATTTTTCGCTAATGTATTGAAGTATTACTTAAAATAACCTATTATTCCAAAGTGATTTTGAGAATTGAGAGAGCATGGTTTGATTTTTATTTTTGTACGGGTTCTCCTCCGTTTCATCAAATGAAGGTCAGAAGCGTACTCACATTTTTTTTTATCGATTTCTTTCCAAGTCAATGCGAAATATCTATATCCCTATAAATTGATCAAATCGGTATGACATGTATTCGATTCATATCCACTATAGTGAATTGCCCTCCGATTTTCAGAGCAGTATCTCTCAAGGATTTTGTGAAATTCTAGAAAATATCAATATAAAATGATTATTCTTCTGTAGTAGTCCATACTCAAAGTGAAGTGGAATGACCAAGAGAGGAAAACTCAAGAAGAAGAAGAAATTGTATACATAAAATCATGTTTGGTTTCTATTGTAGATACACTTCGCTACTTTGACTGAAGATGGCCATTTGAATGGCCGAAACATGTATCAACTTTCAACCTTATTGAAGCAGGATTGACTGCCTTTTTATACAGTAAAAATTGTGGAGACGACTTTGAGTTTTTCTCTCTTTAAATGATTATTCATCGCCCTCTCACAGCTCAACGGTGCGATTTTACCCTGTAAAATGCATAGTACGTTGTTCTAGGACTTTGAGAAGGATGGATGGTTTCCATGACTTTTTATAATGTAATATCTTCTCAATATTGAATCGTCGATTTCCCTGTCACAGAAAAAAATTGTGTAATAAACACGGGAAAATAATAGATTTTAGCTCTCGATTTTTCGTAGGACGTCATTTTCATGTAGAAAATGGTACAAGGTGGATGACCTAGAGACGTCTTGCGTCTGCCTCTGGACATCATGAGTGCATCATCCAGAACTTTGGAGGATATCATCGAGATGTCCTAATACGTGATTTGCTTGTAAAGTTATCAAAACGTCTTTGGAAAGTATCTCAAAAATGAAGTAACACTTTTGAATCAATTCGTATAAGACGCCATTACTTTTGATGATGATGAAACACTAGTTCGACATTACTACCTGTTATTCTCAGTATTTTCTATTCACCAGAAGAAAATGGAGGTGATATAATGACTAATGCTTGTTACGTAAGTCTGTTTGAATGAAGCCGCCTATTCGCTTTAGATGAAATTAATCTCTGCAATTGCATGGACGAACGACCAATGGGATTCCATTAAACTGATTGTATATAATTTATCTTTTATAAGTGGACGGCTAGACTGCACCTGTATTATATCTAATTGCGTCTCACGTGAAGTAACTCGGAAATGTTTTCTTGTAATTATGGAAATCGTTTTAAGGCGTTCAGTCGTACATACATTATATTTTATTCCCATGAAATTGACACCTGCTACACGATTCACCATTCTTTATTGAACTATCATCTTTTATTTATCATTCTTGTTTTTATCTTATTATCGAAATATACTTTTGATGGGATATGCATATTATGCTATTAGTAACATGATACATCATGATTAATACTGAATAATACACAAAGTCATCTCCACGACAATTTATTGCGAGAACTCACGGGTTCATTGT